GTAATATCAAACACCCCACTTTCCTCCCTCGAGAATTGAATTTCTATTTACTGACATTTACTATTTACTGATAGTAGATTCTTGGTCCAGTTGTTTTGGATTAAGGTTTAGAACAATCTTATCATCATCTGTTTGCCCAAGAGAAAAATTAACATTTACTTTTTAAGGTAGTTTCTTTTTAAAAAAATGTTACTTTAAAAATGTTTATACTCCATTATGAGTATAGTCTGTACTTAGTATACAATATTTTAAAAATAGAGAAAAAAGTAGTATCATTAAAAAATCATTTATAATCTTGTGGTTTGGTATTTTTCCAGGTTTTTAATTAGTGCTTAAAAAAACACAACTGCTTTATGTGGAAAATGTCACATGTACCCAAAATGAGAGAGAATGAACCTCTGTCACTTGTCACCCGGCTTCAGCAAACAGCCAGCCTCGTTCCATCTGCACCCTTCCCCAGCTCCCACATGACACCCAAGTGTTTTAAGCAATTCTCAGATATATTGTCAGATTTTCAGTATTTTTTAAAAGAAATACCATTTTCACTTCAGAAAGGTAAATAACCTTTTAATATTACCAAGTAACCTATTAATGTTTAGATTGCCCTGCTTGTCTCATTTAAAAATTATCTTAAAACAGTTTGCTCAAATCGTGATCCAGATAAGGTACACACACATCTCGTTGATTGATGTAGCTCTTTTAAAAAGATTGTTGTTTTGAAATAATTTTAGACACGGGAAGACCTTAATACTGAGAGTTCTCGCTCGACCTTCCCCCAGCGTCTCCTGGTGTTGCTGTCTTACGTGGCCGTGGTCCACTCATCAATGCCGGGCGGGGACTGACCCCAGTCCAGTACCGTTATCGATCGACTGCTTGAATTTTGCCAGTCTTCCCGTTAATGCCCCTTTTCTGGTCCAGGAGTCAATCCAGGATCCAATTGCCTTAATCTGTCACATCTCACCAGGCAGTCATTTTGTGAATGTCCCTGACATTGTCTGGTGTTTCTCACGGTGACACGGAGGCATTTTTGACAGTGGCGCAGGTGCGAGGCGCCCTTCTCACTGTTGTATCGGGAGGCGCGTGGTGCCGACCTGTCTTATGGCTGGAGGGGCTGGTGTTGATCACTTGGTGGCAGGGGGCGGAGGGGGCTCCTGAGTTTTTCCCCAATGAAGTTACCATTTTTCCCTTTGTGACAAGGGTTTCGTGGTGAGATACTATGAAACTTGGGAAATATTTTGTTTCTCCTCATACTGGCAAGAATCTTAGTATCCACTGATGATACCTGCCACATTAATATCCTTGTTATAGTGGTAAATATTTACCCAATACTGATTTTTTGTTTCCACGATTTCCTCTACACTTTGTAGTTGTAGCTCTACTGCCCCTTCTCTTGCATTTATTTATTATGTAGTTGTTTGTATCAGTGTGGACGGGTGGATATTGGTCTCAGTCTGTAGGTTGTAAGCCACTAATATCTTGATTTGTTTCGCTGTGCACACTGTCCCAGATTCGAACACTGGGGGCTCCTTCCGATGGATTCTGGGGCCTTTTCACCATACCCCGTCATTTTCTGAGCACTTCCTTACTCTCTAGGATCAGAGTCGCCCTTGACTCATCTTGTGTTTTCCCTACTCCAGTCCCAGAATCAACCTTATTTCTAGGGATGCCTTGTTTCTTTATTGGAGAATGATACTTAGAAAGCAAGCTCCAGCCCTGGCTGGTGTAGCTCAGTGGAGTGAGCGTGGGCCTGTGAACCAAAAGGTCACTGGTTTGATTCCCAGTCAGGGCACATGCCTGGGTTGCAGGCTGGGTCCCCAGTGCGGGGTATGTGGGAGGCAACCACACACTGCTGTTTCTCTCTTTCCTTTCCTTCCCCTCTCTCTAAAAATAAGTAAATTAAAAAAAAAAAAAAGAAGGAAAGCAAGCTCCAAATGACAGGTGTCTTCATTGCTACTGGGTTTCATTACGTCTAGGCCCTGTCAGTGTGCAGAGCTTGGAAATACTCGTGTATGTACGTGTATGTACACATGCACACACACATCTATACTTATTTCCATGTCCAACTCTGTGTGTGTGTGTGTGTGTGTGTGTGTGTGTGTGTGAGAGAGAGAGAGAGAGAGAGAGGAGGCTAGAATGAACCTTGTGAAATCAGTATGAATTCATGGGTTCACATTATCCTTCCCTAACTTTCTTAATTATTATTTAATCCATAGGTTCTCCCTCCTTGTTTTGTTTTGTTTTTTTCTTCCATGTACATAAATTACTTGTTTAATAAGTTGGGTCATTTGTTCTTTACAGTTCTTTATTCTGGATTTTGCTGATTGTGTTTTGTAATGGCATTGAACTTGTCCTCTGCTGACTTTCTGGTAAATTGGTAGTTAGATTAAGATGTGTGATCAAATTCAGATTTAATTTTTTGGCAATTTGTACATTATAGGGAGTTACCTGTGCTTCTAGTAGGAAGAATAAAACATTTGGTAGTTCCTGCTTTTGTGATGTTATGTTACTCACCATTGATGACCACTTGCAAAATGGTGATAATTTAATCTCCTCATTCCTTCTTCATTTATAGCTTAATACTTCTATAAAGAAAAACTTATTTTTCATCATCTATTTAGTTACCCTGGGGTGCAGTTCACACAGGAAAGACTAAATAAGGAATTCAGTAGAATTCTCCAAAGGTCTGTATTAAGTTTCCCATTGCTGTGATAGCAAATTACCACGGCCTTGATGGCTTAACAGCACGAATTTGCTTTCTTTTTCTGGACATCATAAGTCTGAGATGGGCCGCACTGAGGGGTCAGCAGCGCTGCATTCCTTCTGGAACCCGCTTCCTTGCCTTTTCCAGCTTCTACAGGCCGCCTGCCTCTCTACACCCGTGACCCCTCCATCCTCAAAGCTAGTAAAGGCTGATGTCTTTCTCCTGCTTCCCTCTTCCACTTTCAAACATCTTTGTAATTATAGCAGACACAACTGGGTAATCTCTCTATTTTAAGGTCAGCTGACAACTAAACTTAATTTCACCTGCAACTTGTATTGCATTTGCCACATAATTGGTGTATTCACTGTTTCTGGGAATTATGACGTAAACATCTTTGGGGGGCATTATTCTGCCTAGTCTGTTGATTGAAGGGTTTTTTGTTTTATTATTATTTGAACACAGATTTTAAACATTTTAGTGTATTTTTATTCATTGTCATTATCCTTGATGTTCTCACTGTCTTGGGACAGTGGAAACATTTATTCGAGTTGACGCCTTGGTTCTTTAGACATGGATGTTGAGTCTTCGGTGGCTTCCTTCCTTTCTGACAGGGGAGGGTGCCTGGGCTCACCTGTGTGTTGCTGCCGCAGGTCTGGAACCTCCCCTCCCCATAAGGAGGACTGTAGTGTGCACTGGAGTCACTAGGAGGGCTTATTAGAGCACAGACCGATGGGCCCTATTTCCTTGCCGCGTTTCTGATCTAACAGGTGTGGGTTGGGGACCCATCAGTTGTTTGCACTTCCTAGGAGGTGCTGATAACCTTGTTCTGGGGGCCACGCTTTGAGAACCACTGCTCTAAAGAATCCTGGTTCTTTTTGTGGGAAATGGTATTTACAGTACAGTCTGGGTGCTCGGGATGACAATGATCCTAGGCTTTTTCACTAAAGGAATGAAATAACAGAAAGTGTAAGTTTACATTGATATTTCCAATGCAAATTTAGAATTACATATTTTAACTTCTTTTACTTTGTTTTCTCTTAGACTTAAAGTCGTGGTTTTGTTGACATAATAATGACTTAATAAATATACACACACAGTTTCAGAATAACAATGCCAATAGTATTTCTTACAACATGATACTAAAATAGTTTAAGATTTTTTGGTGGCAATCCCTCTTCTTAGAGAAATGTCCCATTAGGAATGCAGAGTAACTCTGCCTTAAAGTTATGGAAATAATTTCTTTTTGTTTGGCTAACCAGTCAACTTGATACACAGATTCATTTTTTTTTTTTTGGTTCAGCTTTCAGTTTTAGGGGATGTAATTTATTTTTAAAATACTTAATCATTTTAATGGTTTCAGTGTAACATCTATAAAATGAGTTCTGCTGTGTGTCTCTGTCCCTTCCGTCTTCTTTCTTTTTCCTAATAGGCAACCATTTAATTTAGTTTATGGTCAAGTAAATGGCAGTATGCTGTACATACTTCTGTTTTTTTTCTCCTGGGATCTGTCCCCTCCTCCCTTCTCCCTCGAAGCAGTGTACTGTAAAGATGACTTTAGGGCAGTACATTTACATAGAGAGAAACCATTCCTTTTCCTTGATAGCGTCAGAGTTCCCTCTTGTGAGTATGTGCCATCGTTCATCCCTCTGTTGGCGGGCATTTGGGTTACGTCCCCCTTTTACTATTGTGAATGGTGCTTCAGTATTACAAGCAGTACACGTATGAGGTGGTTACAGTCAGTGCGCTGTGGTCTGACGTTCCCTTAACATTACAACACGAGCGTTTCCATGTTATTACTGTAAGTGCTGTGACTTAACAGTATTTTTTATTTTGAAATTCATACAAAATTATTTAGAGATTTCAGAAACTCAGAAAAATAAAAAATGAAAAATCAATTGGAAGGTACCCATAATCCCTCCGCCTAGGTATGCTGTTATGAGCATGTCCCCATAGCTGTGAATATTTAGATAACATTCGGTATCATTGTATGCTATCCGTGTTTGCTTTTCATAATTATGCATTTTTCTTACCATAATCATTTCATAGTTGTTGGATATTTAGTTCCTTTCTGGTTTTTCACTATTATAAATAATGTGATAACATCTGTGCATAAGCTTTTTCCAAATTTCAGATTATTTTTAAAGTTGGCTTTTATGAACTTTAAATGAGAAGGAAGTACACATTTGTTAAGTACATCTGCTAGTGTGCTCTCTTCCTAGCAGCAAGGTAAACAGGTGAGAGATTATCATTTTGAAGTTTTTGTCAAATATATTTCATTTTTTTCTTTTTCTTCTCATAGGACCTTAAAAATGAGGTTGAGAAATTACGCAATGAAGTGAATGAAAGAGAGAAAGCAGTGGAGAAGTCTTACAAGAGTCTGTTGAGTGAAAGTAATAAAAAATTACACAGTCAAGAGCAGATGATCAAACATTTAACAGAAAGTATCGATCTAAAGGACAAGGACTTGCTTCTTCAGGTATCAAAAAATTTTTTTTTGTATTTAAATGACTTGGTGTAGGTTTCTTTAAAAACTCTTTTGCAGGAACATTTATATAGAAACAGGCTGACTGACAAAAATGGTTACAGCCAACACTGCTGTGTATCAGAGCCCTTTCGGGCTGTCTGTGTCATTTCGGCTTCAGCACCAGGAAGGTAAGTGTGGAGAGAGGGAGGGCAGCGGACGGAGGGACATTTTCCTGGGTCACCTGACGAGGCAGCGGCAGATCCTGTTCGGGTCCTGCCCCGTGTTGCTCTGGTGCCCGCCTGAGCACGTCTGCTGCGGTCCTCGCCGTTCCTCCTTCGTGCTGCGTCCTGTGACTCCGCTGGACTTCCTCTAACTGCTCCTGTGTATCTTCAAAAGACCCTTCTTGTTCACTCGGTTTTGATTCAGCGCAGTAATGGGGACTGTCATGGACTCAGCATGGGTGTTCAACTCTGCTCCTGCCAAAGCCTCAATGACGTGGCGGTGAGGGGTGGAAAGGGATGAACCCACAGGCCGGGGCCGGGGGAGTACATGATGGCAGGCTTCCGTCTGGGCAACAAGTGAGCGGGCGGGTGCTGACCACCTAGGATTCCCACTTTTCGCACATGGCTGCTGCATGCTTGGGGATGAAACGCTAAGAAGAAGCAAGCCGATTTACCCTGCAGAACCCAGAAAGGCTCAGCAGGCAGTGGAGGGATGTGCTGCCTTAGTGGACAGGAGACCGGGCCGGGATGCTGGGAGGCTCGGTGACCTGGTTCTCTTCACTAGCAGGAAATGGGAGTTCTACTCTCTGGTGACCTTAAATCAGAGAAGCTCTGGTCCAGGGGCGGGTCACCAGGTACATCAGAAAGCAGAGTGGCAGGGGCAGAAGTGTGTATGCCCAGCTGTCGATTCCTCTGAGGGGGAAGAGGCCGAAAGAGGCCGACAGTTGGGGGTCCTCGACACAGCAGCTGAGACCCCACCTGGTCACATCAGTGAGGCTGCCAGTGATGTGCCCTGCCCACACTCACAGAGCTTCTCGGCACTTCTACACGTAGTTGTGTTTGGATGGCTTGAGTCTGTCACACAGGAGAAAGGCGTCTGAGAGGAAAGGCCAAGGCTGAAACAGACAGCAAAGCTACATGGAGGACATAGAAACCCGGAGGGTGGAAAGAAAACCGCACAGCGCAACAAAGTAACACTAACACCTTTAGCTAGTGAGTGAGATTGGCTCTGATAAAGAAGATATTGGGAAAAGAAGGATGACCTGCTGGAAATTGGAAGTATGATTATAGATATAAGAAGTTTAACAGAAGAGTTAGAGAAGTTGGAAGATAAAGAGTAAGTCTTATAGAAGATGGAATTAAATGAGCAACAATGTGGGAAGATGGGAGAGAAAAGGAGAAATTAGATCCTTGATTGAAGAGCTTCAACAAATGCCTAACAGGAGTGCCAGAGAGAACGGGCAGGCGGAGCAGAGGGGAGGCGATTTTCAAAGTCCTGGGGCATTTCCAGAACGGAGGACAGATAGCTCTCCACCGAAGGGGCCTGCTGTGTTTCTGGCACAGTGAATGAAAGAGATCTACAGCCCAAGACATGCGTTTGTGAAGTTTCAGAATATACAGGGGTCCACCCAGCATCCGAAAGGCTTCTAGAGGGACGAGAACATGGGTCATGTGCCGAGTCCTCAGCGGAAACACTGGGCGCCAGCGACAGTGGGGCAGTGCTTTCGGATTCTCGAGGAAGAGGGATTTCCCACCCAGCATTCTGCACCCAGCAGAGCTGCTAGCGAGCGTGAGGGCAGAATGAAGGCTTTTTCAGACATTCGGTGCCTGAAGTCATCTGCCTTCCACCTACTCTTTGCAGGAAGTGTCTGGAGGGTGACTTCATACAGAGGAAGTTATCAGAAAAGGGAGACCTGGGATCCAGAAAGTAGGGGTTCACCTGGCGTGCGAAGGCGAGTCCCAGGGCGGCCGAGTGCAGTAGGGAGTCCGGATGCCAGCTGCCGAGGGAAGCTGAGGTGGGGTTTCTCCCAGAAACCGAAACGGGGCATCGTTGCCTGACATATCGGACTCCATCCAGAGGAATGTTTGAGTTTTTTTGTGAATTTGGAAATAAATTAACATTTAAGTACATGATTTAGTTTTATGAAGTAAGTAAACAAACAAAACAAAGCTGTTACTAATACCAAGGAAAGCACAGAATTGAAAATGAAATGTGGTCATGGAACTCAGTGCGTGTGGCTGAGCCGTGAGCAGTGGCCATAGTAACGTGAGTGCAGAATGCTGGTTCAGCTAAAACTGTGGTGTGACTGTTAGGAAAAGTGTCGGGGCAGGTGATGTAAGAGTTTTTAAACCATGAGAGGAGCCAACAGGTAGAATCCAACCCTGAGATGTCAAGAAATGTGAGAGTAGGAGCATAATACCGAAACATGGAAGTCAGGAACCGAAGTGGCTGTGGGCCGGGAGGTGATTTTCCGGGAGTGAGACTCAGAGGTGGACATGGGGACGCAGGGCGGCTGTTTTCCACCCGAGCCTCACAGCACTGCCAACCACGTGTGTGTGACTGCACTTCTGACAACGAAATGAACACGTGACTCGGATGCAGCAGCAGGATGGCAGCTCTGAAGCTCACTGTTGGTTCTTCGATTCCTACTTCTTCCTGTTGCAGGTCACTGGGTTTTCACAGAAATTTGTCTTGCCGCTTTTTTGTTTGTGTTCACCTAAATTCTTTGACCAGTTTGACGTGATGAATTAATTCTGGGAGGTGCTGAGGAAGGCGATCTGGTTCTTGTCCTGAATTTCTGACAGTGCAGGAACCTAGTTCAGGAGTTACCAGCTGTTAACTAGGGACAGATTCTGTGCTTGAACTCGGGCGCAGGGCCAGAGAGATGGTCTCCAGTCCTGTCACAGTGTCAGAGCTGACGGAGTCAGGGAGGGCAACTGTGTTGTGTATCATCACGAAGGAGTTTTCCACGGGTGACCAGACCCGGAAGCAGTGTTTGCCTTTTTCCTTCCTGGAAGTCAGTCTCCTCACAAACGTGGGTGGTTCAAATTTTGTCAAATTTGTAGTGTGTCAAGAGAGACTTGGCTTCCTTGGATTGTGATATACAACCTCCCTAATCTAACCCTGTGGGATGGGTCACACCCTGGTCAAGGGGGCCTCAGGGATTGGAGCCCAGTCCCCCGGGGCCAGCGCCTGGCCTTTGTCCTCCACTCCTGCTGGGAGGCTGTCATCGTGCTGGTGAGAAGGAAGGTGTGTGATGACTGCCACCGCGCTGGCACGCTGCCCTGCTGGTTGTAATAACACACAACTGGAGTGCCAGAGTTTGCCAGAGTTTGCCTGTGTTTGCCTGTACTTTGGGTTGATGGAAGTTACTGAGAGGATATATGGGTGTTGTGAAGGGAAAGAAGTATCTTCCCGTAAAGAGTTGGGACGTTGTCTTAATATTTTTTTTTTGATGAAAACTTCCTTACTATTCTGTTTCTTTAGAAATTCAGTGGAAAAGATTCAGAAGCAATGCAGCAAAATCTTTACTTGACGACTGTGGAGGATCTCAAATTCGGGAGCCGAGACTCCATAACGAAACAGCGCTCTTCTCCGCCGTCGCCGGGCGGCAGAGTCGTCTTCCGCGAGGTGAGCCGACTGAGACTGCACGTGCATGTGCGAGCCCGTGTTCTTTTCTGACACTCGTTTGGTAATTCCCGTGATCTGGAGAGCCTCCAATGCCTTCTTGCTGATAATTGAGTTTACAGCAGGTGAGCGGCGGGGGGGCGGTCCGAGCCTCCCCACCTTGGAGATTAGGATCCTGCAGCTGAGCATCAGAGTTTGCACTGCGCAGCAAACAGAAATCCTAGCTCGTTAAGAGATGAGCCGCATATTTGCTCTCCCAGGGTTCACCTCTCAAGGACTGTGTAATCTCAAGTGTTAAGAACATTTTTCTGTTCCAGTGCATGTGAGAAAGGGCTCAGCAGGCCTTTCCTTCTCTGGCCCCAAGTCCTCTGTCCAGTGTCGTTTCCTTTCAGTCCCTGTCCTCTCTGCCGCAGCCAGCTCCAAGCACAAGGTTCCTGAAACGCCGTCTTCGTGCCTCTCTCTGCTTTCACACGTGCTGTTCTGTCTGTGTGGATGCCTTTTTCTTCCTTACCTGGGGACTCCTGAACATCCCTAAGGCCACCCCAGTGTCACCTTCTCTGTGACACCTTCCCTGAACCCACTTAGTAGTGATGTTTTCTCTTCCTCCCTGGTGCACAGCACTTTGCACGCCCGTCCATAGTAGCACTTAGTTCTTGTGTTGACATTACCGGGCCCACCTTTCTGTCTTCTACTTGCGCCCCTGCACCATGGGCAGGCACCTCCGAGGCAGAGAACTGGCACTCGGGTGTGAATCCCAGCGTCTAGCCCAGTGCCTGGCTAGCAAGTGTTTGTTGAGTGAATGAATGACTCTGTTGGTTTGGGAGAGATGTGTAGAGATTGTTCTGACCCCCAGTTTGAATAAAATGCACCTTGGCAGCCAGATACGGGAAAGGGAAGGAGTTCACTGCAGACCAAGTTTTGTTTTTTTCCTAAACTTGGCTTTAATTGGGTTCATACATTCAGGACGGAGAATTCTTATGCAGATTAGTTGTCTGATGAATGGCTGTGATCATGACTTGTGGTTTTGCAATGGGTAAGTGTCCAAATAATTAACTGGTGCAGCACGGGCCCAGCTACTGGAACAGACCCAGGCAGTAGGGATGGAGCAGGGTCCTGGAGGCCTGCTCGTGTGCCCGGGACCAACCCTGTGCTTATTGGGTCTCGGAGAGTCTGCAGGAGTCTTGGGGGGCGGGCAGGGCCGCTGGGCTGGTTGGGGTGGCCAGTCAGGGGTTATTTCACAGCCGGTGTAGTGGAACTTCAGCATTTGGGCACCAGCACTAGCCACTGCACTGTGTATCTGCTGGGCATCGGCCTCGGCCCAGAGGGCCTCACTGGGTGGAAAGTGGGAGCTCTTTTGCAACTCTGACCATTTACGGACTTGCATTTTTCTGTGTCTCTGGAATGAGAGTGTCAGCAGAGATTAGTGGGGAGCCCCGGGGCCAGGCCAGAAGTCTGGATGGAGGCCTGGATTCCTCTCTTGGCTCTGTCACTTCTTTGGGTAAGTCCTGTAACTGAATCTCACGGGGCTGATACTTTGTGATTCTGATTTATGTATGGATGCTTGACTTCGACCATGTTTAGTTGGGTGTTAGGATACCAGTAACCCGTACCAAGGCACAGTCTGTTTTGAAAACAAGACGGTGCCTGGTCAAATGTTTTCTGTGGACAAATCGTCACTAATTCGAATACATTTAGTAAAAGTTTGCTATTTTGAATCATGTGTTAGTCACGTAAAAAGTGTATAAATGTTGCATAAAATGTTTATGAACCTGCCCCACAGGCTGCATATTTTGGAATGTAACTGCACCAGCTTGGTGGTCTGCGCCACGTAGCGTTCGGTTGTTTGTACTGGGCGGCGTGGGAACTGTCACGGCCGCGAGGGCAAAGCCACCTCGCAGGCATTTCCATTGTGCTCAGGTCCTGGTGATGTGTGCATCACTGTGCAGAATACCTAAGTATTTGAGCACAGGTTTTAATTCCATTCTGCAAGACCAATTGCAAATTGTGGGTCAAGAATTACACATTGTCACGAGGAATTTACACGTCTGGGTGTCAGTTTAAGAAAGTCCAGCTGTTGGAGTCTGCAGCCCCGAGCCACCAGCCCGAGCTGCTCGTCCGCACGGGCCTGCTTCTCAGGAGGCATCCTTTCCTCGTGGGGAGCATGGGCTTCTCCCGCTGTGCCCTTGGCCGTTTTGTGTTGACTCAGGTCTTATCCTCTGCCCATTTCTACAAAGCACTTGAGGCTGCGACATGTCCCCATCGACTCTGGGCAGTCTGTTTTCCTTCTAATTGTATGATTCTGAGAATTAATGCTGGATGACAGGGCATTGAGGACAGAGAGGAAAACACACCGCCCGTGTTTAACTTGCTGCAGCCAGAGATTTAGAGCTTGGCTATTGACGTGGTCGGGGCATCGCTGCCGAAGTTCCTGAGTATTAAAGTAAGTGTCTTCCTTGCAGAGCTGTGACGTGGGTACTGAGATCGACACCGTCTATCTCCCAGGCCACTGAACTGCCCTCATTAGTAAGACGTGAGCCATTCAGTTTTCTCTTCACATATCTGCTGCCTCCTCAGGTCGTGGTCAACGCATTGCACGTGGTTCCTTCACGTCACTGAGGAAACTGGTAGAGTGGAAAGTGCCCCGGCTTTGGTCTTGGAATGTCAGTTCTGCTTCTTATTAGCTCTGTGATTTTGGGCAAGTCACTCAATCTCTCTGAAACTCACCTTCCTAATCTGTAAAATGGGGAATTCCATGCTTATTTCCTGAAAGGATTAGAAATAATTTGTGTTAGTTAAGGTTCTTTTGGTTGCTAGCTGTAGAATCCAACATTGAGTAGTTTGAGCAAAAGGGCGCGGAAAGAGTGTTTCCTGGGAGCGTACCGGAGGCTGCCGCCGGCGCCACGGGACAGTCGCGTAGCCGTGCCTGGGGGAGGGTGAAGCTGTGGCAGGCAGCCCACGGGTGGCAGCCCGGGGGCAGCAGAAGTTGTCCACCCTAGAGCTCTGTCTCTGACATGAGTCACACCCGGTGACTCCCAGACTTCCGGCGTCTCAGTTAAAATTTCTAAACGCCTGGAGAGACTTGGACTAGTTTCGTGTGGACCCAGGGGCTGGCTGGCAGAAGAGAGAGGGGTCGTCCAGGGACTCACCCCTGTGTTTTAGGGACAGTTCTCAGATGGCGCAGGGGATGGTGGTGAGCTGGTGGTCACTCTCGGGTGGTGGAGAAGGCACTGCAGAGTCGGATACAGGAGATCCGTGGCGGTGCTAAGTCTTCTGTGGGATGAGCAGCCTCCAGTCTGGGTTGGCTCTTGTCTGGAGGGACAGGACGGAGGGTGGGGGTTGGATGCCCCTGCTCAGAGGTGCTTCTTCTTACTGCCCTTTGGGCAGCCCCCTGCCCCTGTGCTGAGGAGACCCACTGCTTGGTCAGCTCTGCTGACGGAGCCAAGTGACTTCATTCTAGTGGGCGTGATTCAATGGAGGGGAACAGGTGACTGATGAAAGGGGACCCAAATGGCTCTGAAGAGTTCATTTATTTAACAAGGGTGAGCAGTTTGCTTCTAGGAAGACGTTGACTCATTCCGACTGCCATTATGCAAACTGTCCATAGGTATCTCTGCTCTTAAGATCCATTGGGTCTCTGGGTCCCTCTTAGCTATTTAATCATCAAGTCAGCAAGTATGGTGGCAGCGCTTGGTCTGTGCCCAACACTGTGCTGCCCACAAGACCCCCCAGACCCGTAAGCGGGTGGCTGGGGCACCAGCTTGGGCGCAAAGGTCAACCAGGGTGCCACGGGGGCTGGAAGAGGGCATCTGTCTGTCCGGGACAGCTTCCTGCGGAGAGTCTGGCCTGAGCAGGCCTGCGAGGTGCCTGGAGTGTGTCCGTGGAGAGGGGTGACTGATGGAGGTGGTCTCAGAAGAGGAGGTGTTTCCTCCTGGAGCTCAGATGAAGGGGGTTTCAGTTCACAGAGATGGGAGGGTGGGCGGGAAGCAAGCGTGGGTATAGTCAGCTGGCAGGTGGGGGGTGGGGGCCCAGGAAAGTGGTGACGTGAGAAGCCTGGCGAAGGTTCTGAACAGCTTCCAGAAAGAAGGGGAGGGGTGCTGAGCCAGGCACCCAGGCCCTGACAGTGCAGTGGGTGGGCCTCTCAGCCTGAAAGCCTGGCCCACACGGATCCAGGTGCAGGGCCCCCAGGGTCGGACTGTTTCACTGGGAACACACATTCCACACCTGGAGTCTGCTCCATCCATCGGAACTCCGTTTTTGTCTGTCTTTTTTGCAAGCCTACTGGGTTGGCTTTGAAGTTACATATCTTGCACAAATTTTGACTGCCATTTATTAGCTGAACGGACTCATCAAGTCAACTTCTCCTCTCAGAGAATCAGTCTCTTCATCTGGAAAATGGGGAGATTTACATACCTTCCTGGGTGGTTGTGATTAGGGATGGTCCGTGTAAAAATACCTACCGGAGCACCGAGCACCGGAGCACAGGAATTTCGTAGTTAATGGCTGTTGATCACATGTTGACTTTGTGCAGGCATCATGCTGAGAACTTTGCATAGATTGACTCAGTTAATCTCCCTAAGAACTCCCTGCGGTGTAGAATTATTACCTCCATTTATAGGTGAGGATATTGAAGCACAGAGAGGTTGAGTAACTTCTTCAAGGTCACACTCTTAATCATCGCTGCCTCTCATGGTAGGTGCTCAAGAAGCAGTAAGTTTCCTTATTTTCTTTGTCACTGCTGGCTGGTTTTCATGTGGCTGGCAGTGGTGGCGTTACCTTTTTTGAGCACCTGGTGATTTGTATCCATTAGGGGGCATTGACAGATGCACTTGGAGCTCGGCGGGGTCTGTCCCCGCCTCACTGCCCTGACCTTGGGCACACTGCTGCCCCCTGTGCCCCTGATCCCTCATCAGCAGAATGGGGGGAGCCCTGCCATTTGAGCCTATGGGTTGTTGTGAGGTTTGAAGGAGAAAATGCCAGGAAGGCACTTCGGATTGTGGCTGACATGCTGAGGACTCGATGGCCTCACCGTCTTTCTGTCCTCCTGGATTCTGTCCTCCTGGATTCTGCCCCGGAGCCGAGGCGATCCCTGTGGCACTGTCGCCCTGCACAGGAGGCATTGGGAGCTCCTTGTGCAGTGACGTGTGGCAGGGTTTCAGAGGGGCCTGACCTTCCAGCAGTCTTGGTGACTAGCCGATCACGGCCAGACTGGCGGGTTAGTGTTTGAACCTCCCGTTGACAGGTGGTGTCTTCACCTTGCTTTGTCCAGGGCAGGATGCGTAGCTGTGGTCCCTAAGGTCAGGGGCGTCTAACTGAGGTTTGCTCTCTGCTTCCCTTTGGCAGTCGGCTGAAGCAAGGGCCTCTTCCCTGGGAAAATACATAAATGCATAAAATATATGCACAGGATTAAAAAGGAAACCAGTTATTTTAAAACTTGGTTATTGAAATGTTTGAGAAGAGTAAAAATGGCACTGTGATAAATAGCAAGATGACCTAGGGGTGAGCGTGGCTTCGGCTGTAGTTTTGAAGTAGTGATGGGATCACACATGTTGAGATAATCAGGACGTGTGCAAACTGTTTCTTTTGATGACATAGTCCCAGGAAAATGCTAAAACCGCTGTGGCTCACGGCAACAGCATATTCTGTCACGTCATAACCGGAGGGAATGCCAGATTCCAGTCGGAGGTGAGTGAAGCTGTGACTTCTCTCCCTGTTCAGACTCACATTCACACAGCCCCGAGTTTTAACCTCAGTTAGCAACCCCTGTCCCGGGGGTTTTTTAACTGGGGAGAAGCATGAGTTGATGTGAAGCACAAAGCTGCTGGCGGCTCGTCTCTGCAGTAGCTGAGCGCCTCCCTCCCAGCGTTTGGAGAACATCCAGTTTGTGCCGGGCACTGTGCTGGGTCTTCCGCACAGACGAACGCCATTTATTTGAACTTTTTCCTCCTCTTTTTGTTTAAATCCTCACTTGAGGATGTATTTATTGATTTCAGAGAGAGAGGCATCGATGTGAGAGAGACGTTGCCTCCTGTACACGCCCCAACCAGAGATCAGACCTGTAACCTGGGCATGTGCCCTGACCGGGAATCAAACCTGCAACCTTTAGGCATACAGGATGATGCTCCAACCAACTGAGCCACCAGGACAGGGCACAACTTTTAAAGTAACTTCAAATTTATAGGCTACAGTAAATTTACAGGAGAAGGGATTTTGCTTCTCCTGAGCCATCTGAGAGTGAGCTGTCGTGTGAAGCCCTGTCACCTCTGCACACGTTAGTGTGTGTCTCATAGGCAAGTACACGCTCCTGTGCGGTACGGCACAGCTCTCCCACGAAAGAATCGGCAGAGGCACTTTGCCACCTTCCGGTCCTCAGGCTCATTCAGGCCTCACCAGCGTCCCATTAAGGCCGTAGTAGCAGAAGGATCCAGTTCAGCATCATGTGCTGCGTTTATCTCGAGTCTTCAGTCTCCAGGTTGGAGCCGTTCCTCTGTCCTTCCTTGGCTGTTACGGCCTCGGTGCCTGGATGCAGTGTGGCTGAATCCAGGCCCGTCGTACGCAGGGTGTCCTTAGGTCTGGGCTCTCGGCGTCTTCGGCGGGAACGGCACAGGAGCGATGCTGTGTTCTGTTGTGTCCCGTTGGGTGGCATGTGATTTCGATTTGTCCCATTGCTGGTCACTCTGGCTTTGATAACTTGGTGAAGGTAATGTCTACCAGGTGTCTCAGCTGTACAGTTATTCTTTTTCCTTCATAATTAATAAGTTTTTTTTTGTCGGGGGGGTGTTTTGAATCTCTGTAAATATCTTGATCTTCAAACTTTCACCCGTGAGTTTCCTTTTATATTTCTCGGCTGAGTTCTTAATTCCCACAATGGTTGGTAAAGGGTGAGTTTTTTAATTTCATCATTCTTTCTACATTTAGTAGTTGTTATTTTTCTGTGAAGAAAAGCCTACTTTTCTTCCTATGTATTCATATCAATATATACTCACGAATTCATATTTTATTAAATAGGTTGTGACCTATTACTATTGTTGTTTATTCTGGTGCTCAAACTACTCCAGAGCTGGCCTTTTCAAACTGGGCCCCTGCCCTTCTGATGACACACTCCATCACTCTTTGAGCAGGTCCGTCTTTCTGTCGTGACAACACCGTGGACACACAACACTGTGGACACACAACACTGTGGACACAACACCGTGGACACACCTTGTGTTGTCCTTGACCTTCTCGCCCCAGTGTTGGTGTCAGCCACTTCTCTTGGGAGCCCTGGTTCCTCACGGAGCACGTGTCACTGCTCCGTAGCTCCATGAGGTGGTGGTTCCTGTCCACCATTGGACGGGTAGGAATACCAGGGCTTCATTCAGAAACTCCCTCAGGTCCCAGAGCTGGTAAGTAGCAGAGCCATATTTTGAACTCAAAAAAGAATTCACTTTTGTGAGTGCTAATTCACAAAATTACATCCCATTTTATAAACGAGGAGACTGAACCGCGTAGAGGTCTGTGAGGCTGGTTGCCGGGGCCTCCGCAGATCTCTTTGTCGTCGTCACTCCGCTCAGCAGGCCTGGAAAGCGCCCTCGCTCGACCGCTTCCACGTCAAGTCCCTTGTCCCTGAGGCTTGTCAGGTGTCGGTTGAGGAATTTTTTTTTGTGTGCGGAGCAAGAACAAATGTGGAAAGGCATTGTTTGTAGTGTTGTGAGATGACGGCCAGAAGCTCTGAGGGGTGGCTGTTTTATGATGGGCCAATCAGGTAACCAGGGTGGTTCTTCTGTGGCAGCCGCTCCGTGTTGGGAGCGCAGCTCTCAGCTGTGCTCTGAGGTGAGATGCACAGTCAGTCATTCCCGGCGCCACCTGCAGGTGGTGCTGTCTGACTGTGGCCTGGTCCAGAGCCTGGCGCCGGTCACCTTCGTTTGGGTTTAGAAACCCATGTATGTTTGCATGATGTAAGGATGTGCTCTTCTAAAATTCTCCTCTTAATGTCAGATGCTCATTGTCATTTCCAGGAAAAGCAACAATTAGACTATGAAGAGCTGATTCAGGTCTTAAAGAAAGAGCAGGACATCTATGCCCACCTGGTCAAATCTCTGCAGGACCCAGACAGGTAAGGGTATCTCTCTGGACATCACACGCACGTGCGTGAGAACACACACACACACACACACACACACACGTATTTTGAATAGATGCTTCTTATCTCCAAGGCAGCAAAGTTTTCTTAGGAAGCTTAAAGTTCTTGGGTGATGATTGCTTTGTTTAAATCAGATGTACCTGTTTTCTATCAAGGATTGTCAATCTTTTGCCCTAGCTGGGTAGCTCAGTTGATTAGAGCGTTGTCCCGATACACCAAGGTCATGGGTTCGGTCCCTGGTCAGGGCACAGAGAAGCATCAACTGGCGAGAGCATGGGTGAGTGCAACAACAGATCGATGTCCCCCCCCCCCACCCCCCCCCGTCCTCTCTCTAAAGTCAATAAATAAAGAAAAAAAGGATTGTCCGACACTTGACAACAAACTTAGGGTAAAAATATCTAATAAGAATCACTCAGATTTTTATAGCACTTTATTATTGATTTAGAAAGTGCTTCTATGTATTATCTTAAATGATCTCACAGCTGTTCTGTGACATAAGTGATACTGTTACTTTTATTTTCTATAAAGCAGTTTTCCATAAGAGAGGTTTTCCAGAGTCATGGGAGACAGAGCCCTGCGACTCACTCAAGTGACCTGGGTCTTTACAGACTTGCTGAGATGATCTGGTGCCTGTGAGGTGTGGTGAGAGAGTCAATGTGGCTGACGGTCTCCTTCCGGCCCTGGCTCTGTGCCCACAGGCAAGCGTCCACCTCTGGGCCTCTGTTTGCCCACCTGTAGGTACAGGGGCGGCCTCTGTGATTTCCGATAGTAACAGTTTAGCTTTCTACACCCTGGGACAGTTACAGGTGGAGGGAGTGGTGTCTGGGGTTCCTTGCAAAGAGGTGCAGGAGCAGAGGAAGTGGGCGGGGTGCCGTGGAGCAAGGCTCCCTGGTTGTCGGGTCTGGGGTGTGGTTGATGGAGGAGGGGCTCATTACATTACAGTTTGTTTTCTTTTGTATATGGCTACAATTATTCATAATAAAACTTAAAAAAAGAAAAAAATCCCCCCTCATTGCTCCTTCTCTTGCCCTGCACTCTAGCCCTAATGTCTTCTTGACGGCTCCCCTGGGCCGTGTGCTCTCCTGCCCCTGCCTTCGCCTGGGTTCCCGCTCCTTTGTCTCCCATGGGTCCTTGAGGCTTCATCTCGAGGGCTCCCCTTGTCAGGAGGCCCACGGTAGTGCCCAGGAAAGTTGCCCCGGGTGCCCTGCCTCCTCGTTTGGACCGTGGGCTCTTCCTTTGGGCAGGGGTCCTATCGTCTTTAATTCCATTTCCAGTGCCTCTCACGGCGGCTGGTATGCAGCAGGCGCTTGGGAAATGTTCATTGGATGGACTCCCCTCCCCAGGGACCTTCTAAGTTATGAGCTAATTTTCATATTTTTTAAATCTAAAATGAGTTTAGAAAAGATGAAAAGTAGGCATCACTCTGAGAAAGTGAGTGTTTTCCAGAAGCCTCAGCTGCTACTAATGGTCACTTGGGGGAGGGGCTGAGTAATGCTGGGCAACGCAGAGGGGGGCGGGCAGAGTGGGCGGGGCTGCGGCTCCTCCAGGTGGGTGCGGATCTGACTGTGGGCGCTGTCAGGCCCTGTGGGTGAGTGTGTCGCTGTCGGCTGTCTCGGCCTCGTGGATGGCTCTGAGTTGCACAGGCTCGTTCTTAATGTATAAAAACATAAGATGGGCCTTGTCTGGGTGGCTCAGTTGGTTGGAGTGTTGTCCTGTCCACCGAAAGGTTGCAGGTTCAGTCCCCAGTCAGGGCACACACCTGGTTGTGGGTTTGATCACTGGTTGAGGCGTGTGTGGGAGGCAGCTGAATGGTGTTTCTCTCTCACGTTGATGCTTGTCTTTCTCTCTCTCCCTTCCTCTCTCTCTAAAACCAATAAACGTATCCTTGGGTGAGGATAAAAACAAAACCTGTCGGATGAGACCAAGACAGGTCAGTGCTGTGAGTGACAAAGATGCTTACACAGTTTCCTGGTCATCTTTAGTGTGAAACACCTTTAGGGTGAGACAGACCTGGGTCCATATCCTAGCTCTGCCCTCGGCAGCTCTGAATTGTGGGCTGAATCACCTTTTACTCTGAGCCTCAGCATATGTGTTTTTACAGTTGATATTGGCTGACCTACCTTTCTGCTTAACCTCCCCACCTGCCTACCTACCTATTTACCTACCTACCTGCTTACCTACCTTATAGGGTGGTTTTGAAAACAGACGACGGTGTGTGAAGCCCTGATACTGCCTGGCACATGTAAACACTCAGTATGTGGTAACACAGTACGAGCACAACACGAAAAGCTTCTGTGGGCCTCACCGCCCCCATACGCATGAACTCAGCTCCGTGGGGTTTCTGGATCCTCAGTCCTTGCCACGTGCAGAGGGCAGGGTTGTGGGCTAAGGGAGGTGGCACGCCTGTTGGTAATGCCAGCGTCGCTGGCTTCCTGGAAACCAGCAGCAGAGGGGATGTCTCTGGAGACGGATGCCGCTGTGCTTGTAGTTCAGATTGGGAAGGGAGGTCAGGGGTCGTGGGCAGCCGCGTGCCTGGCCCTTTCCCCTTCACCTGTTTATTCCTCACAGCAGCACTTAGAAGTCAGCGGCTTTGTCCTGGTTTCAGGAGAGGACGTCTGCTGTCGGTGGTGTTCAGGGTGTTGTCCAAGTGCCTGTAGTTGGGAACCACCGGTGCTCAGATCTCCCTGGCTCCTGAGCCAAGGCCCTGCCACAGACGCGCCTCGTCTTGCAAACTAGTGTGGTTTCCACTTCCCAGTGACCCAGTCCCCTCACCCTCAGCACTGTTGGGACGTGGGGCTGGGCAGCTTTTTGTTAGGAGGGGCTGCCCGGTGCCTTGTAGGATGTGCAGCAACATCTCTGACTTTCTCCACTGCGTGCCGCGGGCACTCTGCCCTGCCCCAGGTGTGACAGCCATCAGTATTGCCCCTTGTTCACTGGGTGCCACCGTCGTCTCCAGAGGAGAATCACTGTCACAGCTCATGAGAATCAGAAAGTTTGGCTTACAAATACTGTCTTTTGTTCAGGAGTTTCTAGGATATGTGGAAGGAAGGAAATGATGTATATTTTGGCATCTAGTGTATGTTAGGTGTTCTTTCCCATATTACATCTCATTCAGTCCTCAGAACAGTCTTGAAGGAAAGATACTGCCCCATTTTACAGAGGAGGACATTGGGACTAAGGCCTGACTGAGGTCATGGAGCTGGTCGGTGCTGGTTTGCCTTTTGGAGCTTGAGTCTCCCGCGCTTCTCGTGTCCTCCTCCTCCCCCCTCGCATGCCAGGAAGAGGCATGCACGGGCTTTTGCTACCTTCGCTTTTTTTGTTCCACTAATGCCTCCCACTGTGAGGTCTGGGGTTGGGGAGACCGAAATGACAGACGGGACCCGGCAGCCGTGCCCTTTTGCCCTGCCGGAGAGTGGAAGAGGGGTGAAGCCGTTAGCTTTCCCAGCCCCGTCTCCATCGCCGGAGCTTCGCTAAAACAATGTTTTCTTTTTTTTCCGTGGTTGAATGTGTTGCAGCCTGACCACCTCCGAGTGAGTGCTGTGCTGTGTCACCTCTGGAAGGATTTCCATCAGCCTTACAAATTGGCCATTATGATTGCCTTGAAGTGGAAGTGGGCGCAAGTGGCTGGTGGGGCCCCTTCCTTTGCAAGAAGCCGGCTTCACAATGAGCCATCGTCAAAGCAGTGAGCCTAGAAGATTAGACATAATGGCTTATTTTCCTTCTGATATATGTCGATTTATGTGTGCAGGCCGGCGGGTGGAGCTGGAGGAAGTTTCTGCAGGAGAAGTGGGGCTCGAGCCTGTAGCACGCATTTACAGCGGCAGCTCCTTGCGTTTGGGGATACAGACCCCTTTTGAAAAGTCTGTGGAAAGCTGGTGGGCCCTCTCCCTAGAAAAAGCCACATAAAGAGCCGCCATTTCAAGGTGTCGATGGACACTCGTGGGGAACCAGAGGTCAGATGCTGGACAGGGACTGGGGTAGTTCTTGGTGTCCAAAAAAGAAAGGCTTCCTGCTTTGTTAGTGTGTTTCGGTAGTCTTGAAAATGGTGCTGTAGTTGGACCCACTAATTGCACTGCTGGGAATTTGTCTCACAGAACTAACCTGAGTGTGAAACGAGGCTTTCCGCACAGAGTTCAGAAAAGCTTGGGTTGTTTTCCAGGTGGCAGTGAGGGTTTCTCAGAGGGGCAGAAACCCCTGGTAACCAGGGCTTCCGGCCCCTGCCACGGGCACATCCTTGTGGTCCTGCATGGCCCCATCAGCAGCCACTAGTCAGGGGACTATTTAAATTTTAAAAAATCAAGCACTCAGTTCTTCAGTACGTTAGCCACAGTGTAAATGTGCAGTCGGCACCTCCAGCTGGCAGACAGTCCTCCCCAAGACCTGCGCCGGTTCCGGGGGGCGGTCGTTTCCATCACCTCCTCTGGGTTCTGGGGTGCGCTCCGTGGGGCTCAGCCCTGCACCACAGTGACCCTGCGGTGGCACGCGGCACCCGGCCCAAAAAAACCTTTCGCACTACGTATTCGTGCTTCTCTTGGCCCCCACGTTGGCCCTTCCCTCCCTCCCTCCCTGTATTGGCTCACTCCTTGTTCTTAACCCTTCTCTTCCTTCCTGCCCCTCACCCCGACCCCCGTGCCATGGCTTTTTGAGTGACACAACAGACGTTCTCTCTCGTGTCCTCTTCCTGAAGCCTGGGTGCCAGGTGACAGCCAGGCTCTGGAGAGCTGCCCCTTTTATACCCAGCATCTCACTGGCATCTTCCAAGGAGAGGAACACTGTGTGTTAAACCATAATTACATCTGTAGCAAAAACTTGGGAATGATCTCGATGTGCCCTGATAGGAGCAAGTTAAAGTAAATGGTGGGACATCACCCGTTAATGTCATATGGTGAAAAAATGGTGTTTGCGAGTAATTAAAAAATTCAGGGAGTCGTTCAGTGTGGAACGCACAGTTTAGCACTGTATTTTATGTCCAGTATTACTTCAGTGTTGTAAAATTACTCAGGAAAAAATGGGGTGGGAATACAGTCTGCCGTGTGTTAATTGGTAGTAGGATCGTGGTAATTTTTGCTTTCTTTATACTTCTGTCTTATATTTAAATTTTCTGTAATAAACATACTTACATTTATAACCAGAAAATAACCTCAGATGATGTACAAATCAAAGGAAAGGCTGGCAGGTTTTGTATCTTAAAGCACAAGCAGGTCTTTTAACATTTCTGGTGTCTTGCTTTACCAAGTGCCCACAACCTGCAGGCTGAGTTAAACAGCATCCTGGCCCTGCGGAGGCAGCTGGAGCGGGACGTGCTCGCCTATCAGAATTTGAAAAAGACACTGGAGGAGCAGATCAGCGAAATTCGGAGGCGGGAAGGTACAGACTGTGTGTGTTTCCCTTTGGTTTTTCCACTTGAGGGGCCTTGGCTGGACGTTAAGGGAATCCTAAACTCCAGTGGGACGGGGCACCCACAGGACTTCATCTGGCGGTCCTTTTCGTGGTGACCGTGCCAGTGTTGGCTCTCTCTGTCTGAGTGCGCCTGGCTTTGGCCTTCACTGTGGGAGACGCAGCAAACTGTGTTAATTCTGCAGAGGTCTGCTGCAGGTTGTTCCCGAGCCTCTGCTCCGTTCTGTAGCATTTGATACTCCAGGTACCCGTGGAAACTTGCACCCTCCTTTCTCTGGGAAACAGCCCTGTTGCCCCAAACGTCTGGGCTCTGCCTACCACTGCACCCCATGCAGAGAGCCCAGACGGCAGACACGTGGGGGTGAGATTGCTGCTTCGTGTGGAAAGGTTGCTTTTTGCATCGTCACTGCCCCATGCGGATTCACATAGGGAGGGGCTGCAAGGGGAGGGCCCTGAGGTGCTGGCATCGTGGCGCCCGTTGTGGTAGTATCAGCCCTCTCCCTTCCTCCATCCTGAGCCCCTTGGAGTCTGGGCTGGATCCTCTTCCTCTCTGTACCGCTAGCCCAGCTTGCATGGCAGAACTGTGTAATGGTAGTAGGTTGACATTTCTTGAGCAAGGACTGTATGTAAAGCACAGCACCAGGCACCTAACTTCTCACCCCTGATTCTGACGGTCATCCCATTAGGTGGAGATACTGATTTCATTTTACAGATGAAGAAACTGAGGCTGGAAGTGGAAGTGGGGTTGATATACCCAGATAGGAGCCAGGACAACTTTCTTCGAAGTTTAGTTCTTTCTAGTACATTAGATGTATCAGCTCTTAACACCCACATGTGTTAACATATGAGGTCGTGTTTGTGGACACGCCTCACTCAGTGAACAGACTCCCCCAACCCCGCGTCTTCCCCCCATTTGTGTGTCCGCACGGCTATGGGGAAGCAGTCCTTTACGTAGTAGGTGCCTCGATTCCCTTGTGTGAGCCCCAGCAGGCGGTCTCTGCACTTGCCGTGCTTGCCCCCAGGGAGGCTGTGGGGCCAGTAAAGCACATCGCGCACTTGCTGCCCTGAGTTGCTCCCTCAAGAGTCACATCTGCTTTTCCCGTGTTAACACCTAAACGGAATCACTCCCTCGCAGAAACTCAAATCACCACTTTCTTGGGCCACTTGGAATGGTCTCCAGGCACAGCACTTGGTACGCAAGTTATCATTCAGAATGGGCTACAGTGAAAGCTGACGCAGCCCATGATGAAACCATACTTGAGATATCAGCCCGTAGAGAAAGAAAGGAAGTGACTTCGCCCCAAAGGTTACATCCCTGTGCGCTTCTGCCCCGCCAGCCCCCCCCCCCAATTCGAGCTGCCTGAGGTGGACGGTGCTGGAGTCGGCCTTGGAAGGAAAAGGATCTGTTTCTGATCTTCTTCTCCTCCCCCCACTTTTTTTTTTTTTTTTGCAGAAGAACCGTTTTCGTTTTATAGCGATCAAACATCTTATCTGAGTATTTGCCTTGAAGACCGCAGTCCGTTTCAAGTGGAGCATTTTTCTCAAGAAGAACTGAAGAAGAAGGTATTGACCTACTACTCTCAGTACTGTATCGTCTCAGTGACTGTATCTTACCTATTTCAGGTTTCCCAGTACCTGGCACACGTAATCGGAGTTAATAGATGCTTTTTGAAAGAATAAATGTTCAGGTTTGATCCATAAGTCTTTCTAAAGCTGAAAAGGTTTTTCACTCTCTTGCTTGTTGGTGTGGTTACAGTGATTTAGTATTTCAAGGTTCTAAGAGCCATTGATAAGAACAAGAAGTGTGTGCTCCGAGGAGCTGCTTTAGTGTAAAATTGTCGTATGTCTACGACAGGCTCAGCTTCTGTCTTGGAGTACTTCGCGTTCTGACAGAGGACAGGCGTGTGGATAGGGCCCTGCAGTGTGGATGGAGTGCAGGGGTCGCTGTGGCAGGCGGGCGTGCGCGGTAGAGGGGTGGCCGGGGAGCGGCGGACTGCTGCGCCCGGGGAGTGCTGCTTCGTCAGAAAGCTTCTCCGCAGGAGCAAGGCCTGAACTGGGTTTTGAAGGATGAATAGGAGTTTGTCTGGGTAGACAATTTTCTCAGCAGAAAAAGAGAAGATAGCTAGTGTGAGGTGCAAAAGTAAGAAATAGAAAGGAGAACTATAAAGATTTTAGTATTTTGGGAGAAGTAAGGCACAGAACATTGAGGCATTTAATTTCTGAAGGTAAAGAGAATGGGGCGGATAACAGCTGCTGCAAGCACCTGCTGTGTCTGTGTTAAGGGCAGGAGGTCGTTCACTTGGTTGGCACTTGGTGTTCACAGAATCAGAATGTCCTGCATGTCCCACTGTAACCTTCAGGGCTGGGTTCATTTGCATTCATGTTTTGGTGTATTGTGGACATCTGTGATGGGCAGTCAGTCTGGGTGGGATTTCCCCTTCCTTTGAGGGGCTACTGATTACCATGTTAAGAAGGCTTTGGGAAATTACTGGCCATTGGGATTCAAAACTTGCTGGGGACAGGTGGTGTCCGCTCCATTGCTTATGTACCTGCCCTAGCAAGACCTGCATGCACCTCAAGGAGGAGCACTGGGCTGGCGGTCCCCAGATCTCGGCCCTGAGCCTGGCTGTGCCTCCGCGGCGGCACTGTGGCTGTTAGATGCCATGGCATTCTCCAGACACCACCAGCTGCGGGACCTTGGGCAATAAACTTCTTGTATCTGAGATTCTTTGTTGTAAAATGAGGAGAGTCATACTAGCCCACCCACCTCCTCAAGACTTTTGTAAAGAATGATTGACTAAAGCTTGTAGGAGTATTTTAGTAGCTACAAATTGCTTTGTAATTGAAGACAATTATTATTACTGACATTGCTAGGTAAGTGTACAAACGAGGCGATGCTGTGAAATAAGGCTCCGACAGTTTCAGAAACTTCAGTCTGGGGCAGTTTTCACCCGAGGGTCTCAGGTACGAGAGAGGTAGTATTAGCTGTCGTTAGACTGTCCTGGGGGCCTCAGTGCACTGTGGCCGTGATCATGTCCTGTTCCCACAGTGACCCATTGCATAGATGAGCTGCAGGCTTAGCTTGGACAGCTTGCCCAGGGTCTCTTTGCCTTGAAGGGTGGCTCTGGGGCTCGAGTACAGGCAGGCTGGTGGTTTTTCCACCGTGCCCAGGGTAGCCGGAGACTGGAATCAGGCCACCTGGTTCTCCCTGGCTGTGGTGCTAAAGGGAGGGAGGTCTGTGGCCCTGGGAAGCCGAAGTCTGCCTGTGGGTCTCTAGTCTTCTCTCTGCTCTTATCTCCTAGGTCAGTGACCTCATACAACTAGTGAAGGAGCTGTATACAGACAACCAGCACCTGAAGAAAACCATTTTTGATCTCTCCTGCTTGGGCTTCCAGGGGGATGGCAGGCTTGAGTCAACAGAACAAATGGAGGTAAGAAAAATGTTCTTGTTGTCATGTGCTAATTACCCCCCCCCCCCCCGCAAAAAAAAAATCCCAAATTTCTCAAGACTGCTTCTGTCCTGGGGAGTCACTATCGAAATTCCCCTGGCTGTGGTTGGGGTTTTGAGGGTGCCCATGGAGCCCTCAACTGTCTGCAGGCTTCCTCACGTTTGGGTCACATCTGCGTGGACACAGTCGATGTGTTGTGATGCTTTTGACTCCAAGTCCAGCCCTGGGACCTGTGCTGCAGATGACTCGTCCCAAAGACTGAGTGGTCACGGAGGGGTCTGGAGAGTTGCCAGACCACCCAGATAATTTGTAGATGCAACAGTAGATGAATTCATTAACACCGAAAGACAAACGAGGAAACACAGTTTTCATTTTCTTTCTGTGTTAATCCTCTGAATTCGGTGCATCTTCTCACGCACGGCATCTGGACCTCTGGATTCGACCGGACGTGTGTCGTTCCTTCCCACACACGCCCAGGCGCTCCTGCGCTCTGCCACACGCAGGGGACGCGGCAGGAAGTCAGCAGTCAGTGTCCCGTCAGCCCACAAGTCCAGGTTCAGGAGCGTGGGAATCGTTGCTGGCACTGAAAAGTTTGGCAGGGCCCTGAGAGGTGAAGTCCCGGCATGGGACTTCTCTGTCCGTGATGGCCACGCAGGGCGTGTAGTTCACTGGCGTGTGCTGCGAGGGTGAGAGGCCCCTTCTCTCGGTTCCGCCCCAGCGAAGCCTCCTTCACCCTGATGGCTCCTGGTCTCTGCTCATCCTTGTGATGCGCTGTATCGGATTTTCTCTGTTCTCGGCCAGTGCTGTCCCCTGGAAGGGCCCTGAAGTTGGGGTTGGTGGGGAAGAGTTTGTTATTACCTCCCTTTACCACTGAACCACCAATGCACACATCATTATTACCTCCCTTTAGCCCCTAACTTGGCCGATCTCGCCTGCTTCCGGAGCCTTGCTCTCTGCACCCGTTCGCTGGTTCGGAAGACTGGCGCTCTTCTCACCGTGAAAGACAGGGGGGCCCGTTTGTACTCGGGGACCCTGGAGTATTCTTGGTTGGCGTTGTCTTGAAGTCAGCCTGGCAGGCCAGGTGAATGGAAGTCTCATTGCCACCTCTTTACTGGGGGAAAATGTGTCAACTTTAAGCTGTCTCCTCCCCCCTTCAAAGTGGGGAGTGCTCAAAGGTATTTGTGCTGTGCTGTGGCCATCTGCTGTCTTTGAGAGAGGGATTATTATTGATCTAAGCCTCCAGGGCTCCAGATAATTTTCAAAACCAAGAATATCTGCAATCCATTTAGGGAGAAACAAGTCTCTTGGCTTATTTTCTCCAAGGCAGCATTTTTAATAAGCAGCTCATTCTTCACCTACTTCATTTGAGTCATAAATGGCGAGTTTGTTTGTTCATTTGCCCTTTGAAAAAATCTGTTAAATGTCCCATTGTGTCCTTTGGAGAACGGAGGCTTTTTCCCCTTCCCACTCTGAGATCTTAATACCAACCGATTCATTTGTCAGGTTGAGTCATTTGTCAGATTGCGTTCAACCGGATGTTCCCTCTGAATAGCCTTGTCCTTTGCAGCACAGTTCACAGGTCGGGGGATCCGCCTGGGAGGGGCGATGTTCCCAAACCTGAGCCCAGGTGGGGGAGATATTGTTAGGGGTGAGGGTGGGGTGGCAAGGAGGCGTGGCTGAGGCCGTGAAGTGGGTGTGGTTCTCTTTGGTGAGATGGGAGACAGGGACACACTGGACATGCTTGTCCAAAGCAAATATGTTTTGTGACTTTAAAAGTTGGTATTTTTTTGTCTGATACTTAATTAACCCACAGCGTTACCTAATACTTGGGAAAGGGAGAAAAGAAATTACGCCTACTCCTATCACTTTAAAATACAGTTAACTAACATTTTGAAATCTTTTTCTATTTGTGCATATGAACATGTGTATGCCCACAGTACATGTACACAGTTTTGTTTTTTCCAGTTGCTGTTATGTTATAGCATCTTATGCGATTTTATGAATGTACTGAAATGTCACTAACTGCCTCACTGTTGTTGAACTTGGAGGTTGTTTCCAGAGATTCACGAGTTTACATTCACCTGTGAGTATCTTAGGACCCAGATCTTTCTCTGGGTTTAGGATTGTTTTTTCCTTAGACTCTATTTCCAGATACGTAGTTACTAGGTCAAAAGTACAAATAGATAATAGGTATAAAATAGGCCTGTCATCTATTTTTATATACCCTCCCCCTACATCTTTTAATTCGACAAAAGGGTGTAAATAGCAGCGGCCCCTGACGACGGTTTGTCAGGGTCGGCTTCAAATGGTGGCTGGGGTGTGCACTCCGCGGCCACTGCACGCTGCTCCCTCCCCGCGTGGGGGCCGTTCACTTCCACACCGGCTGAAAAACGGATGGCCAAGAACAGGCGTGCTCTTGTCCTAAAGTGCACTTGAAACCTCTCATGAGGTTGCCTGTTATTTCCTCGTGTTTATTTACTGGGGATTAATTCGTGTATTTGAGAAGAACGTGGTTGACGTTCAGGCGTGAGCAGAAGAGAGCCAGGGAAGTCCCTCCACCCAGATCCCGCTGTTCCCGTTTTCCGCCTGCCCTCCCTCACTCCACCTTACCTTTCTGACAAATTTTAGTACACAGACATCAGTGCACCTCCCCATGAACACTTCAGCACGCTCATCTTTAACTTGAATGTGCTTTATAGTTGTTTTTTTAAAGATTTTATTTATTTATCTTTAGAGGGGAAGGGAAGGAGAGGAGAGAAATACCAATGTATGGTTGCCTCTCATGAGTCCCCTGCTGGGAACTGGCCTGCAACCCAGGCATGTGCCCTGACTGGAAATCGAACCACGATCGTGTGGTTTGCAGGCCCGCACTCAATCTACTGAGCTACACCAGCCAGGGCAGTTGTTTTTTCTTTGAAGGTTAATTTTGCACACAAAGAAATGAAGCAATTGTAATTGACATCTGGATTGTTTCCCATTTTGGGTGTTACAGTCAAAGCTGATATGAATATTCACATATAAATCTTTGTGTGGACATGTTTCCACTCTCCTGACAAACACCTAGGAATGGAATTCCTGGGCCATAGGGTTATTAGTTTCATTAAAAATTCCAGTATTTTTTCTATAGTAGTTGAACATTTTATACTCTCACTAACATGTTGAATAGTTCTTGTTGATCTATATCCCTGAGAAAGTTTTAATGAGGGAAGAAGCCAGTAGCGAGAGAGGGTTCCTCACTTAAACTTTCTAACACTTTAGAAACTTGTGCTTAGTAAGTATGCTTATGTGTGTTTAGTCTGTTTATTGCTTGGTAACTAGTATAGTAAGGTCTGATTTGTGATCCCCATTTCTGTTCGATCCTTATTGCAGATTTGGATGTGGTAGATTGAATATGTTCTGATCCTGGGACGTTTTCTATAAAATGACTTTTCTGATTCAGTTTGCTGTGTTTTGCTTTTCTTCTTCCAAAACAAGGGTTTCCTCTAAAAGGAAGATCAGAACAATCTAAATTGGGCTGGGAGAATCATGGGGGTAATTGACTAAATGCAGGAACTTGTAGAATAAAGCTGTGGCCCTAGAACCCCAGCCATCTCGTATGTACAACATGCCCAGAAAGTGACTCGGCACTTAGTTGGGGGATTTAACACTTCAGTGAATTGGGGTTCGGTGTAGTTATTGAAACAGCTTTGACTGATTCCCTCCCTGGGTGTGGCTGCGTTTTCCCATTTTTAACTCAGTCAGTGCAGGTCCCACGACCAGAATTCTCCCTCTTCCAGGCAGCTGAGGTTTGGACTTCTTGACGGCTTGGTGCTGTCCACTGTACAGAATGCAGAACCTCTGGGACTTACACTTATTGAAAGCATTAGGGATTTACGCACTTTTCATAAATAACTGTCCTTCATTTTCAAAAGCATGACGTTATCATCAGGGAAGCCTGACACTCTTTATTAGCAATGAGGACCTCTTGTCAGCAAAATGACAGCGTTGCTGGGACTGCCGTCCATCGCAGAAGTGTGACAGTCGGAAGAGGGGTTGGTGACCTGTGCTGCACAGGAGGGGCGGTGCCTGCATCAGGCACACTGTAAATTTCATTACTGCTCTCTCGCTGTTTGATGTTTTCAATTCCATCGGTAGTTGTTTTCCAAAATCTTGTTACTATAATCTGAGAGTGAAGTTAGCAATGGCAGGAATGTCAACAGCACAACAGACAGCGTATTTGATTTACAGCGGCTCAGGGAAGGACCAGCAAGGCAGCGGAAATAGCTGGAGTTATTTCTTGGGAGTCTGTCCTGAAATGATGCCTGAGCCCAGGCAGCTGTGTATGATCTGCCAAAACTAGCAGCTCTAACTTCAGCTCATTTTATTTCATGGCTTGGCCATTTGTTTCTGCCTCTTTTTTGGTTTGTTTTTTTGTTTTGCATTATTTTTTTAAAAAGTCATCACTGACTTATTCATACATATTCATGCTGCATCCTTTTTTTGGGTTGCATTTTCACGCCATTCCATGCACCATGTAGCTTTCAGCCCGCCAGGAGGACAAGGACACGATCAGAATTGGCAAGGATGACGAGAGTAATTTCCTGAGTGGCCAGCATTCGGAGCAGAGTAACAAGGTAGGAACATGGCAGTTAACTCCTCATTCCCTCACCCCCTCTCTGTGCCCAAGCCTGTCTTCTTGTCTGGGGTGGGTCTGGTGGCTTTTCTGTTCATTCCACCGTTACCGAGTGCCTGCCGTCTGCCTGTGGAGAGTAAAGAGGCGAGGTCTCTTCCTTCTCAGAAGTTACAGACTGGATGGGAGAGCTGGTCATGAAAACAGCCAACAAACATATACTTGCAAATAAAAGCTGGGCTTCGATAGGAGAATAATGGGCATTGGATATGGGACCTGGACAGATCTTTAGAGATCTAACCTGACCCATTCGTTGTTCGCATTGGTGACTGAGGCCTATGAGGGGATGGTTTATCCAAGGCACAGAGTGACTTAGTGACATTTGTTGGGACAAGAGCCCTGCTTTCTGGACTGTCGCAAGCTCACAGGTCATTGGCTTGCAGAGTAAGGAGCCACTGATAAAACCAAACCCCTCTTCTTGGGGGGTTTGATCTGGAGCCCAGCTTAGCGTCATCTGGGCCCTGATGAGAACTGGCCTCTGTCCACACAGACTGTGCGTCCAGTCACAGCGGTCCTGGGCGTTTGGAGCAGGCTCTCTCCAGGTTTGAAGAGGACCATGACGGCTGGGATGTGGTGGGGGACAGGAGGCTACAGACTGATATTTGTGTCCTTTGAGGTGTTGAAGTTTGTGATGACGAGTGGGAGATCATTAAAATGTAGATAGTTATGTAGCTGAAATGTAGAGAGCAGAGCAGCTAACAGCGAGGGCTTTGCAATGAGATCTGATTTTGAGTCTCTGTGACCTTGGTTCACCTCTGCTTAACCCCTAAGCCTGAATTTCCCCATCACTGAAGATAATAATATTTTTTGTTAGAATTGTTGTGATATTTAAATAGAAAGGCATGTACTAAGTGCTCAGTAAATGATAGCAATTACTATTTTTCTTATTACATTCTAGACTTTTCCTTCTTGGGAGGTTGCTTGTTTAGATGGATTTAATAACTAGGTTGGTGGCAAATAAGACCCTATAAATATCAGCTCATTTGTGTAGGTCTTGTCTTCCATTTAAAATCTTAATCACTTTACAAGTGTGGAGAGAGGAGTGCGATGGCTAGTGCATATATCACCAGCAGTGATGGAGTCACGGGGAGTTATTTATGGGTTGGCAGAAGAAATTTGTAGCTCTGGGAGGGAGGGGCCAGGATGCTAATTGCAGCACCTCCAGACACGCTCAGCGCAGGCTGTAACTAGACGCTTCCTTGGCACCACTCCTCTGGGACCCTTGGTGACCTAAGAAGTTGGATCCGTAAATAACATCTCCCTGGGAATTAGGAACTCTCCATGTTCCTAATGAGACAAATCAAAGTTACGTTAATTAGGATGTATCTGTAAGGAGCCAGTTGGCTTTCTGTTGCAGAGTGGCGAGGCTACATTGCAAAAGCACCTATAAATGCCAAAAGCATTGGTAACGGCATGGGTTCTGTGCGCTTGTCAGGAACAACTTTCAAAGGGTGGGCTGTGGGGTGGGGGACGTGCCGTAGTGGGTGAGACCCTGAGCCCCACACATGTAGCTGAGTCAGTCTTCTCAGTCTGTGTTAACGGTCACCCTGGGAGGTGGCATTACTGTCCCCATTTTATAGAGGAGGAAACTGATGTGAACATCTTTGTGCTCTTGCCAGAGCACCTCCCTGCTCTAAAGAGAGTGCGTGCGGCCCCGTGTGCCTGGGTCCCTCTCCCCCTCCCCCTCCCCCCTCTCCCCCCCCCCTCCCCTTCTCCTTCCTCTCCCTCCCCCCCCCTCTCATTTTCTGCCAGGCTCACTGGTGCTCACTCGCTCACTCTCTGTCTCTATCCTTTCTCTCTCCCCACCCGTCCCCTCCCCTTCTCCAGAGTCCATTATTTGACCAGATACTTTGATGATTTACAGATTGTTCAGGATGGTTCCAAAGAGGGCTGCAAAAATGGGTACATAAGGCACATGGATTCCAGTATTTTAGACCACGGTGGAGCCCACAGGCATGGCCGTCTTGGAGACCAGAGTCTGGAGGAAGGCGAGCTCGGGAACCTGCTTGCCCCTTTCTTCAGTGAGAAGGCCGCATTGTTACTGGAAGCCAGGTACACGTGGGGCTCAGGTGTTGCCCTGTCCCTGTAGTTTGAGGGGAGAACAAACTCATTTTGCTAAATGGCTGTAGATGATGGTGCTGTGTAATTTACCTGAGAGAGCTCCTGAAAAGACTTGGAAGGAATCTTGCCAGTCATGCAGTTAAGGAATTAGGTTACATGCTAGTGGCTGTGAGGGGACTTCAGCGAGGCCTCACGCAAGCCCATTATAGAGAGGAGAAAGCACGCTTTCCGCTAGAATTAGTCCTGTGAGCCCCCGAAGGGGCTGTCTGGGTGTCAGCGCGAGGAACCAGCCCCAGTGAAATTTTTTCCAGTTCTGCAGCAGCTTAAAAACTACCACTGTAGTTGTGACTGCTGTTTTATGTTGAGCTTGAACTAAAATTCTCCTCTCATTGTATCTGCTGGGAGTCGTTCTTACATGAGGAAATACTACAGGGTGTTTTTCTTAAAACAAAAATGGAGAAACAGTTGATATAGTTATGCTTTCAAAATTAACCCTTTAGGGGCCAGTATTCCCCCTTTCCCATTCTTCCTGGCTCATCAACAGCTGCTAGGGCTTTGGAGCCAGAAAGTGCGGGGCCTTTTGCTCAGGGCCTCAGCCTCTCCGTCTGCCCCTTAGGTGAGCTGTGTGGCATAAGACCAAGTCCTGTGTAGGAAAACGGCCGGCCCGTGGTGTGTTCAGTAAGTGTTTCCATTCTCTTCCAGTGTAGACAGAGAGATGGAGCGGTGACCACTGCCCGTGACTCTTGGCAAGAGCCAGGGACCCTACTGTTTCTGTATCATTGGTGGACTAAGCCTCATAGGCATTTTTTTAGCTAAAAAAAAAAATAGATGAAAGTGTTCTGTTTTTGTGAGCACACAGCAAGCTAACCCTTCCCCAACTCCAACATTGGTCTAAAATTTTTCCAGCCTGAGTCCTCTTAGGGGACACGCCCAGTGTCTGTTGTGGTTTCTTATCATAGGGAGTTTGGTGACCACAGTGTCAGAGTCCCAAATATTACAGCAGAGTTAGAAGATGCACATCTCTCTCTCTCTGTCTTACTGTCTTTCTCAGGACCACCTAGAACGTACCTGGATGATGTGAGCTGGGGAAAGTCTAGTGGGCGCGCCCGGGTGGGGCGACCCCGGTGTGAGTGCTCCCTCCTCGTGGGCAGGAGCTTCTCAGCCCCACTGGTCGTTGTCCTGCGAACACATGGGCTTGGAGCTTCCAGACTTCCAGCAGAAGCCCAAAAATTATATTCTAAATCTCTTGATTTTTTAAAAAATTGAGACCAAGTTACATTTTTAAAGAAGGCACTCCATGGGCCAACACCCTACAGCAAGCTCATCATGTGTGATTTAGTGACCTGTTCTCTGTAGGTTCTGGAGGTTTCTGGGCCGTTGCCAGCCAGTGCTAGGATCAGAAAAGGCTTTCGTACGCTGGCCCAAATCTGCTGCCCTAATCTCGTAGCAGATTCACTGTCATTGAGAGCGTGCCATTGAGTTCCTTGACAGAGGGGTCCTAGCTTTCGGGGCCCCCCTGAAGTCCTGACTGGGACCTGCACCCCTTGCTGGCACACTGTGCATTGCTAGGGCCCAGGCGGGCACTTGTAGTAAAATGCCTGATCACATTTAACCGCATACCAGCCTTGCATGCTGCTGATCTTTTTCACTGTGGGAGCTGACTTTGGGGAGTTGACATTTCCTTAGCTAGTCAGTGCTGGAGCCAACGGAGACTTCTCTGGAGCAGTCTTTTAAAAAGACTCCTTGGCACCCTGGCTGGTACCTCAGTTGTTAGAGCCTTGCCCCGATATGCCAAGGTTGGGTGGGGTTCTGATCCCCGATCAGGGCACCTTCAAGAATCAACCATTGAATGTCTAGATAAGCGGCACAACAAATCGATGTTTCTCTCTCCCTCTAAAAAAATCACTAAATAATTATAATAATAAATAAGAAGACTCCTTGAGATAACCAGGATTCTGATTGGTCAGAGAAACCCCATCTTCTGTCTGGGAATACCCTAAGAAGCAAGGTGGTATTGATGCACTGGGAAAAGCAGAGTTTTAGAGTCAGATGGACAGACCTGTGCTCCGGTCCAGCTCTGTCATTTAGACCATCTCCATCTTGGTTTCCTCATCTACCCCATAGGTATCTTTTGAGGATTAAGTGAAATAATGGGTATATAGTATAGATCCAGGTTAGTGTGAGGTGGGATTTTAGTGATACTGCTGCTTAAATTGTGCCCTGCCAATTACTCCTACCCTTTCCCACTACCCTCAGGTGAGATTTATACCATATGCAAGACACAGCAGCCAGCCTGTGATCTGTGCCTCTGAGGTCATTGCTGAGCCATGTCTACTAACCCCACTGCAGATCTGTCAACGACATGGCCTGAGACTTCCCTTCAGCTTTTGTGCTCCCCCACCTTCCAGCCATCCTAGGCCCTGAGAGGCTCGCAGACGAGCTGGGCCCCTGGACAGCTCTGGTTCAACTTGCCCGTCCGCCAGGGTGGAATAAGGAAGCAACTTGTCCAGCAGTTACCTTAGCCTAACTAGTTGTCTCGCACTTGACCAACTGGAGCAATATATTCGAAGGAGGTTGGTGCAGGCCCGCCTGACCTCTGCCCCTCTCCCGTGGTGCTCCCCGTGTTGGCTTCAAATGCGTTTTGGCCCCATTCCCAGGAGGACACGGTTTAGGATGTTATCACCTAAATGTTTTGGTCTTTGTAGCCTAAAATTAGGTGTGAAATTTGATATCTAAAAATCTAAAAAGGTAGCCCTGGGGGATTATTATTTTTTTTTTAAAGCTAGTAACAGTCTTGAGCTCTATGTAGTAGAAATGGGGAAGCTAACTCCTAGAAAATCTGAGTCTGCCCTGCTGGGCGTGGTTGAGGGACAGGTGAGGCACCACCGGAGAAAGGCACTGGCGAGAGGTCCGAGAGGTGGAGAAGTGGGCAGATAAACAGCTGGAGAGACTCCGTGTGTGTCAGCTGCAGAGAGCAGACTCGGCAAGAGCCTGGGGTGCTGTCGGTGCCAAAGAGGGACTAGGTCTGTGAGCTCCAGACAGGACCTCCTTGATTCTCCCCTTTTCTTCACCTCCCAAACCTGCATCTGCCTCTTACATAGTTCTTAACTGACACACTTCTCACCATCCCTGCTGCCTCCTGCCCATCCTCAGCTCCGTCAGAGCGCTCCGGCGTCACTGCAGTGGTCTCCTAACTAGCCCCCTGTAGCCAGCCTTGCTCCCTCCAGTCTGTCTTCGACGCTACTTCCAGAGCAGTTCTCTGCTTAAAACTCTTCAGAGACTCTCCACTTCTCCTGGGACCAAAGCGTGATCTGGCAACCCTGTCTTTTGGCTCTGTTCGTGCTGTTCTTGCTTTCAGTGCTTCTTTCAGCCCCCAGAATAAGCTGACTGCCTGTTTCAGAGCCTTTGCAATATGCAGAGATTGAACTTTCCCTCCCCAGGGCACAGGTAATCCCTGTTCATCTGTTGCATCCAACCCTTTCTCAAAGACCATCTACTCATGGGACATTCGATCACATGACATCAGATTATCATCACTAATTTCAAAGTGAGCATTCAGCATTGCCCAGCACAAGACTGTTTTTTGCAGCTTCTCTTCCCCCTTCCCTGACTGGTGCTCCTGCCTTATACTTGATTGAAAAAACAAACAATGAACTCAAGCTGTCTCTCTTGTACTACCAGAGCGGCCAGCTCATTTGCCTCCACGTCCAGTAACTCAGACTGTCCTGCTGTCAGAAGGGAAGCAGCAAATATCCTGCTCCTACTGAAGACCAGCCCTCTCCCTGGGATTCACAAGCTGCTATCCTCTTGGGTGCCCTCTCTTCTCTGCATCATTAGTAACAGAATAATTGCCATTAGCATAGGGCGTGCATTTGCATCAGCCATTTGGGAGAGGGTCCTCCTGCACCCCCTCCTCCCCAGTTTCACTCCAGCCACTGTCCCATTTCCATATTCCCCAGAAAGGCAAGGTTTCTTTTTTTAAATTTTTGCAGATAAATGTTTTTATTTGTTTGAAAAAAGATTGTATTTATTTATTCATATAATTTTAATTTTAATTTTTTTCATTGTTGTTCATGTACCGTTGTCTCCATTTCCCATCATTCCGCCCATCCCAGCCACCCCCACCTCCCACCCTCGATCCCACCCCACTTTGGTTTTGTCCATGCGTCCTTTATAGTTGTTCCTGAAAACCCTTTCCCCTTTTTCCTTATCCCCTTCTACCTCCCCTCTGGTTACTGTCAGTTTGTTCTTAATTCCAAAGTTTCTGGTTATATTTTTCTTGCTTGTTTGTTTTGTTGATTAGGTTCCACTTATAGGTGAGATCATATGGTATTTGTCTTTCACCACCTGGCTTATTTCACTCAGCATAATGCTCTCCAGTTCCATCACACTGTCGCAAAGGGTAGGAGCTCTTCTTTCTGCTGCGTAGTGTTCTGTCGTGTAAGTGTACCACAGTTTTTTTGATGAAAGGCAAGATTTCTCGGAAGAACCATTCCTATTCACCATATCCACTTTCTTTCTTCTCATCCCTCTTTATCTTGTTCCTAGGGTATCATACCCTTTACTGCACTTACCAGGGTCAGTGACTTTCTCCAAGTTGTGAAGTTCAGTGGCCAGTGTCGGCCTTCCAGTAGCAGCAGCTGGCCACTCTTTGTGGCTTTCTGTTCACGACTCTCCCTCCCTGCTTGCTTCTGCCTCACTGGCCGTTCCTTCTCGGTCTCCTTTGCTGCCTTTTGGATGTTGGAGTGTCCCAGAGCTGTGTCCTTTGCCCATGTCCCTATGTGTTCCTTCTCCCGGGGCTTTAGAGTAGCTTTGGGACTTCCAAATTTATACCCACAGCCCAGACCTTCCCCAAATCACACAGTCAGCTGCCTGCTTGACATCTCCACCTTGATGTCTGAAAGATGTGTCAGCATTAATCCATCCAGAGCCAACTCCCTGTTCAGATCTTCCTTGTGTCCGTTAACAGCACTGCTGTCTATCTGATTGGTGTAGCCGAAAGCCTAGTTTCCACAATCCCTGTATTCATCAGCGAGTCCTGTTGCTCCCACATTCAGTGTGTGTACCCCTGTTCAGCCACTTCGCATCTCTTCTACTAGTCTTGCCCGGACTCCCACAGCACAGCCTCCTCTACAGTCCATTCACCACAGAGCAGCCAGGGGATCTTTTTAAAAATTAGATCAGGCTCTTCCACACTTAAAACCCGGCAGTGGATTTCCATTGCCCTCACAGTGAGATCAGAGCTTCCTGGCCCGGCTCCACCGGTTTCTCTGTCTTTATCACCTGCCTGTCTTGTTCACTGCGCCCCAGCCACGCGGCCTTCTTTCTGTTCCTCAAGTGTCCCAGCTTGTTCTCCTCTCAGGGCCTTTCCCGTAGCCGTTCTCTCCAGCCAGAGTGCTCTTTTCCTGGGTGTACACAAGGCTGGCGGTGTCTCCGCTGGATTATCAGCTCTGCAGGGCCCTTTCCTGACCACTCTGTCTGAAGAATCAGCTTCTACTCACTGCCTCAGGACCTCCCTCCCTTCTTACTTCCCTCCTCCCTCCCTTCTTACTTCCCTCCTCCCTCCCTTCTTACTTCCCTCCTCCCTCCCTTCTTACGTCCCTCCTCCCTCCCTTCTTACGTCCCTCCTCCCTCCCTTCTTACGTCCCTCCTCCCTCCCTTCTTACGTCCCTCCTCCCTCCCTTCTTACTTCCCTCCTCCCTCCCTTCTTATTTCCCTCCTCCCTCCCTTCTTACTTCCCTCCTCCTTCCCTTACTTCGCAGTACTCATCATTGCTGCCACTGTGTGAATGTCTGTCTGTCTCTCTGCCTGCTCCTTAATGACGTCTAAGCTCCACGACTCTTCTTCGCTGTGCGTTGCCACTGCCATACATGACAAATGACGGGTGCTCAATAAGTACTTGAACGTGCAATTAAGAGCTCACCATTCTAGCAGAAGACTTGTTTAGAAAACTGGGCAGAGCGCCATGCTTTGGAGTCAGGAAGGCCTGAGTTCCAGTCCTTCCTCTGGGCTTTGCTGGGGCTCTTGGATCTTTACAAGCCCATTTCTTCATCTGTAAAATGGGCTTGATATTAGTCCCTGTCTTACCATCTTACTCCGAGGACTAAATGCAGTTAGTGTATTTAAAGGATCTGACACCGGCGAGTGCTTCATAGACGTCAGTTCCTTTCCCCTTACACCTTCCATGTGACTAGATGCCCAGGGGGCACATAAACAGTGTTTGGGCTTTGACAGGACCCTTGGACTGGACCACGGAAAAGGGCCCGGTTATAGTGACAACTTAATGAATCTGCTGTTCACGTTTCTAGCAAAGGAACACTTGAAATATTTTATTTAACAGCACACCACTTTAGTGTATTATAATGGCCTCTTTCACCACCTTTTACTACCCATTTGTAAAGTCTTTTTCCTGGGTTTTACTGTGTATTGTTTGGTTGTGAGTAATGGTGCTCCTTTGGCAGGCTGGAGAGCGATCATCATTATTTTTAATCTATATTAAGGGAAGGAGAAGGAAGGAAAATTCAGCTTAACATGTGTAGGACACAAGAGATATTTCTAATAGTCTGGGTTTGCTGAATTTTAAGATGGTTTGTGTAGTCTAAATGATTTCATATTAGAAGTGTGAAATGCACCAGACATTTTAATTTTGTTTTTTATAATTTTATTTCTTACTTTGTTTTGGTTTGCGGGAGCTGTCTCATTTGAATTGCATTGACTCTGCCCCACAGCTAGAAGGTTGGAATCCAGGTACGAGACCTGCCCTGCCCTGAGAGGTTCAGTGGGGCAGGTGGGGCCAGGGCTCCTGTCACTGCTGGTTGTGGGACAGACACAGAGCGAGGGGGGCTCAGGGTGCTGGTAGAGGCAGTCTGACTGCCCCACAAGGACCTGGAAATAAATAAGGCAGGAGAAAAACCGCAGAGAGAAAAGGAAAGATCGGCCACCGCTGGGGGCCTCTCCTGTCCCTGCCGCTCCCTGGACCGTGGCTGCTTGTGGCTGGAGGACGGCCGCAGCTTTCTGGCCTCTCCTACTGTGCTTGCCCCGCCACTGCCTTTCGTTATCATTTGCTGTCTCAATTTCATAACCTCTTCTTTTTCTATGAATATTTTTTCCCTTATATTTTTAGATGATTTAAACATGCTTATTTTAAAATCTTCAGATTGCTTCATTATTTCTATTTTCTTGAGTGTGAGGTCTCACTTGCTAGTGTGTTATCTTTCATAGAAGTGGGTTTTGCTGGCAGGCTTGTTTTGCCTGTGGCCACAGCCCCGCTCCGTCCCCTACCCTCACCCTTACCCTTTCTGTATGGCGGTTTTGCCTCAACCTGACTTTCGAAGGCTTATGAAATTTGCATGGTTCTTCTTCTGCCATGGAGTTGAATTTCTCATCCCACTGCAAGTGCCCCTTTCTCCTGACTCTGGGTCTCTGCTGTTTCTGACCTTTGGATAAATTTTATCTTGATTTTGAATCCTGCAGTGCACCTCAAAACATTTTTGCTGTTCCAGGTTTGTGCTGTCCTTCCGTGGGTGGAGAACAGTGGGAGGGGCTCCTGTGCGTGCTGACTCCACCTTCTGGACAGGAAACCTCTCCGTTCCTCCCTTACGCCGCAGCACGTGTGGCCGTGCCGCACCCGCGCACAGAGCCTTGCAGTGGCTCCTCTTTCCTTAGCGTGGCTGGCTCCACCCCTGCCTCACTCCCAGCCCCACCTCCCTGTTCTCCAGAGTGTCCTGGCCGTGCTCATGTTGTAACTTGTGTGCGTGCCTGTCTCCGACAGCAGGCTCGCTCCTCGTAGGCTGTTCTGCACCCCCAGTGCCTACTACAGGATTCTTCTTGAACTACTCCATGCTCTATTACTTGCTGGTTTGATCCGAGTTCCCAGGAAAGCAGAGCCTGAGATAAGGACTTGGGTGCAAATGGTTTATTCGGAATGCTGATTCTAGGGAGTAGAAAGGAGGAAGCAGGGGGAGGAAGATGGAAATGAAGGCAAAGCCAATAAGGGCACCTTATTGTTCCCGCTACTGCTGTAGGCAGCTGGGGCTCGGTCCCACTGGGCACTGTCTGAGGGACGGCACAGACTGTGCCTTAATGTTGTCCCTCCAGACATGGGAGCCTGGGGCGTTTACTCCACAGTTCTCTGCCTTCATTGCTTGAGGGTGTCCCTCAGGTACTCACTGGTCTGCACTCCCTGCTGCCATGCTGGCTGGCCCAGAGAGCTCTGGGAAAAGTCCCACGGCAGTGGAGTGGGCAGGGAGTGCTCAGGTGGGCCTGTCTGTGTGAGCTGCCCACGCAGCTGCAGCTGGAGTCCCAGTGAGGCCCAGGGCGTGTGGCAAGGGGCGTGAAAAACATCTGCTGCTCGTCCGCTCTCTCATTGAACCCTCAGAGCTGTGCTGTGGAGGAAGACTTACCTTACTTTCAAAGAATTGTGGGTAGAATTTGAGCCCACTTTTGTTGGGTTTTAGAACCACTCCTCTTTGGATTAAGAGCAGTTTATAATATCCCTTTATTTAATACCTAGTTACTGAGCACTAATTCTGCACTGTGACCAGGTCACTGATGGATCCACCAGGCTGGCCAGCTTCATGCAAAGCCAGTTTTACCCTTTGGATGCAGGAATAGGGCCAGAGGGGCAGGGGACCTTGCATTGTTATGAATACTTTGTGACCCTGCTTGTTTCTTTCTTAGGTCCAGCCTGCATCCATGCAGCCATGTAGCCCCCTCACTTGCTGTGTTGCTTAAGTCAAATTAATTCTCTTTTTCTTCATGAAATGGACATGGTAGTACCTACCTTGTGTGGCTGTGAGGTGACAGGGGGTAAAATACTTGGAGTGATTCCTGACATGTGGCGGGAGCTTAAACAGAACTTGGGCCAGTTGTGAGGAAAACCCAGGGGACTGCATGGGGGACAAGGCCAGAGCAGAAGGCTTAGATCTGCCACTTCTTTCCCTTCTGGTAAAACAGGCCCGACCTTCTGAAAGAGCTGCGTGAACTGCTTCTGGGACGAATATGCTTGCCAGAGCAGGACGTTTCTGGAGAACACCCTGGTGGGAAAACTGAGAAGACACTTCAGCAGATGGCTGTTCAGCTAAGAGGCGAACTCGGACAGTTCCTCCAAGCCAACTTGTTTTCCAGGCCCCATGGTGACCTGAAGTCACCCTGGGGAGCCCAGCTGGTGAAGGCTGCTGAGCCAGCCAAGGTGGAGCTGAAAGATGTCTCCGTGCAGACCACGGCCGTGGAAGGCGACACGCTCGGATTCAAGCACGAAGGCAGGAGGGAGGCTTGGGAGGAGACGCGGACGGACGCCGCCTTCAGCACTGAGCACCAGCCCGAGAACCTGGGCGGGCCGCCGGGGCCACAGGCCGCCCCTTCTGCCTTCTTCCATGGGACTGACCGAGTGAGTTTTCCACGTGTCTCTTATTTTGTACAAACAAAAGACTTTGAAAATCTCCCAGGTTTGTCAAAAACTGGATTGATATGAAACCCGGCATCCTCCTCTGCCTGCACTTGTCCTGGCCTCTACTTAGGGGTGTGCATCCGTCCTAACCTTCCTGCAAGTGTGACTGCCGTTTCTCCGCCTCTCCTCTCCGATCCCAGCCTTATCTTATTTCTCTCACCATCTTGACACTTACGTGCTTTCCTCCTAAAAATAGTCACAGGTGCGCCTCTATCTATAGCTCTCTTTCTCGTGTTACGCAGTCAGGCACATCTCCTTGTAATGGCTGTGAACACTTGCATTGTGTAGAATGTGCCTAAATTTATACAATTCTCACCTATTGCTGGACATTTACCTTTGCAGGATGCAATAAAATTGTAATGGCCAGATTTTAGGGGCAGGGAGGAGAAGCCAGGTTCTCGTTTGTGCAGACTCTGTGTCTGAGAGGTCCTGTTCTGTGGCTGGTGTCTGCATCCCGTGATCCTTACGAATCGGAGCTGAGGAAGCCAGGTCCTGAGGGCCTGTGTTTACCTGCAGTAAAGGGGCTGAGTGGGGACCCTCACTGCGCCTGCGTGCACAGCCATGCCCTTTCCCTGGGTCAAGCCGCCCTCCAGCCCGTGCTGGCCTGAAGTGGTAGGGTCTGGTTTTGTTGAATGAATGTACGCATTTTGTTTCCACCAAGATGCTGTCTCTGAGTTTCTCCTCAAGTACAATCCAATATACCAGCTTATTAAAAGCTTTCTCTCCTGGTACTGTTTGATTGGGCCTTCTGCTGAAGTTTTCCTGGGAAGAGGGTTTGGGGATGGGAATCCCCATGGCAGGGTGATGTGAGAGTTCTGGTAGAGAAGGAAGGAGGTTGGTTGTGTTTCTGATAGTGCTCTAGTGGTGGCTGTTGGTGTTCTTGTTTGTGATGGGTGTTTCGTGTCTGAGAAGTCAGCTTTACAGTGTCAGAATGGAGAATTAAGTTTATTTTCTGACCACCAAATTGTTGCTTTTGTGTATTCCAAAGATGGTTAGATAGATCATTAGCAAAATTGCTTTTGATTGTTTTAAATTATGTACCCAAACTATAATTTCTAGAAAAGGGTTTTCTAAAGATACCAGTAGAGACAAATATATATATATATATATATATATATATACACACACACACACACACACACACACACACATACACTGCCATTATACTAATAGTTCTTGAGATGCAATTTGGCTAGAATAGAAATGCTCTCCTCTTCCCCATCTCCTTTAGTTTTTACCTGTATGTTAGGAAAACTAGAATCCCTCTGCGCATTTATATGGGAGATACCATTCAAGAAGTTTAGATAATTGAATGAATTTAATTTCCCCAAATATACTGATATACTTTATTGAGTTTGGAATTATTCTTTTTGCTTGTGTAAAAGAAAGGTAACTGCTTATTTTTTAGCATCTTCTTTGTGTGCCAGGATGGCGCCTCTACACACATCATCACGTTTATCCTTTTCAATAAGCATGTGAGTTAGGTGACCTGCCCTTTACTTGTGAAGTAGTATAGGCTGCGGAAGGCTCAGAAAACTGTCCACAATGACTCAGCGGTTAGGAGGAGGAAGAGGCATAGAAACTGAGGCCCTGTTTCAGACGTTGACAGGGGTGTCAAGACAGCCTTTCTCAGGAAGAGAGGAGCCCTCTTACCACCCTGGTGGCCTCCATTCTGTGCAGAGTAGAAGAAAATTCAGTGATTTTTCTTTGTGGTCTTTGGTTAGTCAGTGCATCAGTAATCCTAAGGCTTAAGCCGGAACTCTGGTATCCCGTTAAAAGGGTCATCACTGCAGTCCAGCTGTGGAACAAGGAGATGGATATGCTTCCGGTTGTTTAGTTTGAGGGGTGAGAGGATGGACTTTACAGCTGTACCTGTGATTGCATCGGGCCTGGCCATTTAGCTACTTTGAGTCCTCAGGTAGATCACCCAGCTTTTCCCAGTGGCTTGAATGGGATCAGTGTGACCTAGAGCCCGAGGCTGCCGTGATGAATAAATGGGGTCATGTGTGGTAAGTGCCTTATTCATGGTAGGAGCTCAGTGTGTGTTCTTCCTTGTTCCCCTTCCATTGCCAAGTGAGAAGTTCCATCATGACATCTTTAATAAGGTGGTAGGTGGGAGTCTGTTTGGCATCCATAAGGTAGCATTTTCTGGGGTGTTATTTTAGAACCGGCATTAGGTTGACTGACGGCAGTCTTCTAGCCTGAAATTGGCTTTGGCATTTGTGCACTTGGAGATATGTTTTTGCTGCCATCTGACACACAGATTTGGATCCAAGAATAAAGATTGGAGGAGACAGAGGACCAAGCAAAAGACTGTTATTTTCCAGTGCTTTTTGATGAGGCATCCACCTCCTCCCAAAGGGGTCTTTTCACCACCACAAGTGTTCTTGTCCTTGAACCTGCCTTCTCCTCTTCCCTGGAATTTCAGGGCAGCAAGTTGTCTCACTTTTCTTAACTGGGCAATAGATTCTGAAGAGCTGGTTTAGGTTCCAACTGTCTAACGTTGTTTATAACATTGACTGTTTTTTTTTTTGACATCTCAGTTCTTTGGAAAGTAGGCATGATAACTTTGATTATCCTGTGAACTTGGGGAATACAGAGTTTACTCGAGGGATCTGGGAGAATGTGCTTGAAAGCATTTTATATCCTAGAACATGCAAGAAGGGGTTTTCCCTCTTCTTTCATGCTTGAGAGACGTTGCTGATCTTCTTATTTCCAGAGTCCTAAATATTTCCTGTTCTCCTCAGGTTCCCTTTCCACCACATAGAAATACCTTGTGTAGATACAATTCACATGTCATACAATTTATTTATTGAAAGGGTACAGTGTAGTGGGTTTTTAATAATGTATTCGTAGAGTTGAGCAACCATTATTATAATCAATTTTAGAACATGTTGATTGTTCCAAAAGAAACCTTGAACCCATTAGTAGTCACTGCCTGTCCCCCCTGCCCCTGCCCATCCTTTTTGTAGGCAATCACTGACCTCCTCTCTGTCTTTATATATTTGTCCATTCTGGATAGTTCATATAAATGGAATCCTATTCAATGTGACCTTCCATTCACCATAGTGTTTTCAAGATTCATCCATATTTTAATCTGTAATACTACTTCATTTATTTTTACTGCTAAGCAGTCCACTGTATGGATACAGTAGCTTTAATTTATCCATTCATTAGTTGATAGATGTTTGGACTGTTTCCAGTTTTTGGTTATTACAGATAACATTGCTGTGAACTTTTTTTGTGCAAATTTTGGTGAGCATACATGATTTCATTTCTCCTGAGTGTGTACCTAGGAGTGGAATTGCCAGGTCATAGAGTAAATCTATGTTAAACCTTCGAGGAACCGCCAGCCTGTTTTCTGAAGCATCCGCTCCTCGTTTGCATTTTCACCAGCGAGGTAGGAGGGTTCCAGTTTCTCCACACCTTGGCTAACTCTTCATTATCTCTTTTATTATTGCTGTCCTGATAAGTAGGAAGTGGCACTGCTTCATTGCAGTTTGATTTATATTCCCCTGATGACTGATGATGTTGAGCATCTCTTCATGTGCTTATTGGCCATACGTGTATCTTTTTGAGAAGTGTCTATCACATCCTTTGACAGATCTTTTGAGTTATTTGAATTTTTATTATTGAGTTTGAATATTTTTATATATGCCTAGATTTAGTTTCTCTCCTCAGTGTTTGAATATGTTTAAAATTCCCCCACTGGAAAGGCACCCTCGTTTGGCCTCTTAAGTTACTGCTTGCTTGTTCATTCCACAGTCATTATGGACTACCTACTGTGTGCTAGTTCTTGTACTGGAAGCTGTGGGTAGAGTGTGACCAAGAAATGCAGAGTCCCCGAACTGTGTCTTTCAGCAATCAAAGAACAAGAGTTGCATAGGCATTTAATTACAATGGTACTAATGCTGTCCCAGGAGAGTTGTCAGGGAGCAGTGAGTGTATAACAGGCAGAGCTGACCTTGTCTTGGAAATTGAGACCTATTTTCCTGAGCAAGGCACATTTGAACAGAGTCCTAATGAACGTATTGGGAGTGGTTGGCGAAGTGGGGGATGTGCATGAGTGTCCTGGGCAGAGGAGATAGCATGTGCCGAGGTTCTGAGGTGACAGGACGCTGGCATTTTGAAGAACTGATGGAAGGTGGGTATTTGGCAGTGGGGAAGTGAGAAGGGGCAGTAATTGAGGCCATAGGTCCTGCCCAGCGTGGGCTGTGGTCAGGACTGACCTCATCACAAGGAACTGGGAAGCAGTTAAACTAGTGTAAGCCGAGGAGATGAATGGTTGGTTTGCCTTTTCTGTTGCAGTATGGAGAGTGGACTAGAGAGGGCAAGGGTGAGTGTTGCGGGGACCACTCAGGGTGCTGTGGGCTGTGGCCCATGTTAGAGTTGGCAGTGGCAGTGGAGAATGAGAAGAGTTGAAAGAATTCAGAGACAACTTGGGAATTGGAATTAATGGGACTTGGTAAGTGATGAAAGTGTGTGATGAATATAAAGGGAAGTTTAAAAAGGATTCCCACATACTGGGTTTGCCATAAACTGACGGTGGTTTGATTCACCACGATGGAGACTGCTGAAGTGGCACGGCTTTGGGGGCGTCGGATGATGGGATTGAAGAGTCGAGGTTTCATTTGACTTTGGAGCACCTGGGAGCCATTGAAAATGAAGATGCCTGGGATAGGCGCATCAGGAGCGCTGAGCCTGGGGACTATTTCAAGGATCAATGACTCGGTAGCTGCCGGACACTTTAGTAGGGGGTGGTTCTGGTAGACTGGCAGGGGTGGGAGGCAGATTGGCTTAGTTTGAGGAATGGGTGGGAAATGAGGACATAGACAAGGAGGAAGAAAATGTTTCCCAGAAGATCGTGTTGGAAAAAAGACTGCCATGTATAGAACATCTGGATTGGCCAGAGGGACAGTGGGCCAGGGCCAAGAGGGGGTTGAGGAGGAAAAGCTGGACACTTGCCAAGCAGCAGAGAGACTTGCCAAGATATAAGCTCTGTAGACCAGGAGGCAAAGATGGATGCCAGTGTAGGAACCAGAAGTCTGGACAGTGGTTTGCATTCTGATTTATGAGATTGGTATGAGACAAGTCCAGGAAGCACAGGGAGTCCCAAACAAGACGGATGCAAAGAGGCCCGCTCCAAGACACATAAAAATTAAAACACTAAAGGTTAAAGATAAAAAGAAAATCTTAAAAGCAGCAAGAGAAAAGCAGTTAGTTACCTACAGGGGAATTCCCATAAGTCTGTTAGCTGATTTCTCCGAAGAAACTTTGTAGGCTAGGAGGGATTGGCAAGAAACATTCAAAGTTATGAAAAGCAGGGACCTACAGCCAAGGTGGCTGTATCCAGCAAAGTTATCAGTTAGAATCGAAGGGCAGATAAAGAGCTTCCCAGACAAGAAAAAACTAAAGGAGTTCATCATCACCAAACCATTCTTATATGAAATGTTAAAGGGGCTTATTTAAGAAAAAGAAGAAGATTAAAACTGTAAACAAAAAATGGCCATAAATACATATCTCTCAACAATTGAATCTAAAAAACAAACTAAGTAAATAAGAGGGACAGAGACAGAATCAAGGACACGGAGAGCATTTTGATGGTTGCCAGATGGGAGGGGGTGTGGGGGAGATGGGTGAGGACGTGAGGGGATTAAGAAGTACAAATAGGTAGTTACAGAACAGCCGTGGGGATGTGAATTACAGTGTAGGGAGTGGAGTAGAACTTACGTGCACGACCCATGGCCATGAACATGGTGGGGGATTGCCCGAGGGAGTGGGGGTTCTGGGTGGAGGGGGACAAAGGGGAGAAAATCAGGATAACTCTAATAGCATAATCACTAAAATATAATTTAAAAAAAAGATCGGCATGAGCCTGTTGACTGTGTGACAAAGGAAGTCTGTTCATTGTTGTCTGTGTGTGTTTTCAGGAGGCTAAGAAGTCCCGCTTGCCCGTCCTGATAAAACCGTCCCAGTCGTTGGGAAGTGTGTGTCGGCTCCCTGACCCACAGGAGGTGGTGGCCCAGCTGCAGGGCCAGATCTTGGAGTTGCAGGAGGAGCTGAAGGAGCTTAAAACTCACAATAAGCAACTTCACCAAAAGTTAATTCTGGCCGAAGCAATGATGGAGGAGAGCCCAGTGCCAGACAAAACGCTCCTGAAAGGTAAACACCTAGAAAAATGTATTCCCCGCGAGCTAGATGAATGACCCGATAGAATGGCTTGAAATGTCAGCCTTGTTGTTTAGAATTGGAATAAGTTTGAGTATAAATTTTATGAACTGCAGTGATTAATCTTGACTCTTGACAAATACACAATTGAGGGAAACAATCAGGAAAATGAATCTATTGTTTTCACTTTCGTCGGGCGGCTGGATACATGGGCTCGCAATGCTCACAGGTCTTTCGAGGTCACTGCTCCCTTCACTTGGGGCTGTCCGCAGGGGGCCCTGTTGTGAGGGCCTCAACCTGGGCCTTCTTTCCGGCTTGGTCTGTGAAAGCCTCAGGCATGTGGCTTGGGGCATCTGAAAGTCCTCTTTGCTGGATTCTTGGGATCGTCCGGGGCTAATTCCAAGCACTCCTGACCACGTCTTGCTCCCCCAGTGACCAGCCTCCCTACCCACTTTGAGTCTGCTGTCCATGCTCTCCCGAGAGCGCCCGAAGCAGAGAGCCCCTGGGTCAAGAGGGACTTGGAGGGAGCACCTCAGGCTGGTCCTCTAGGATGGGGCAGTGGCTCTCAGAGATTTGGGACTGCAGCCCCTTTATGCCGCTGAAGAAAGCGGAGGGCCTCTCACGGAACAAGGGCACCTGCTTTCCAGAGGATTCTTGAGTCCACAGCGGTACTTAGGTCGACTCCCAGTTTTGAACATCTGCTATAAGCAGATGAGAGCAACACACAACAATAAGAACAATAGCAATAATCTTTTACTTATCTACTCGGAAAGCGTTTATTAAATCCTCCTGTGAGCCAGCTCTGCTGTAGTCACTCGGGAGACTGGAGTGAACAAATCAGCTGAAGTCGAGTCTAGCTTACCTCCTTGTTGGGGGAGAAAGACCGTTAGCCAGGAAGCAGATAAAGGATGTGTGAGATAAGTGCTGTGGGGAAAATAAGGCAGGGATGATGTGGAATGGGGGTGGTGTTGGCTAATGTACATGGAGTGTTCTAGAAAGTGTCCCTGATGAGGTGGCTTTTAAACAGAAAGCGGGGGAAGCGAGTGGACTGCTCCTCTTGGTAGAAGGAACAAGGGCAAAGTCCCTGATGTTGCTCTGAACTTACAAGTTGGATGAATAGGAAGGTCAATGACGTGGCTGGAGTGGAGTGAGAAGGTGGGAGATGGAGGAGGTCAGGGAGGTCGCAGGTCGAGCAGGGACTTGCAGGCTGTTCCAGGCCTCCGTCTCTAACCCCAGGTAGGCCCGGAAACTGTCGGAGGGTTCTGAGCAGCGCGGTGATACGATCTGACTTAAGCTTTAAAGCAGGGCCTGTTGGTACAGTTTCATTGGAATGCAGCCATCCTCAGTCACTGGCACAGTGTCCGGGACTGCTCCTGTACTGCGATGGCAGAGTCGAGTGGTTGCAGTAGAGACCCTGTGGCTCCCAAAGCCTAGAACATTTATTATTTGGCTTTTAAGAAAAGTAGGCCAGCCTCTCTGTATTGAAGGGCCTCTTGACTATGAGCCGCTGGAAGGGTGGAGTTCTCCTGCTGTGCATGGGAAAGCCTGCAGGAGACGCAGGCCTCAGGGCCCGGTTCCCCACTCAGGGGGGTGCCTGCTGGCCGTCCCACTGGGGACGTCGGGGAGGCAGCTGGAGCACGGGGAGGGGTCTGGGCCGGAGCTCAGATCATAAGAAATAATCAGCATACCCCTGGTATTTGAAGCTGTATGACTTGGAGAGTCATAGGGAGTGGCTCTGGGCACTGAGAGTGGGGTTCTCCACGAAGCAGAGGTCGGACTGAGAAGGAGCAGCCGGTGCTCACGGAGGGGAGCTGAGAGAGGGGCCGGCCAGACGCGGAGTGGAGAGCAGACCAGCTGTGTGGAAGCTGCCCACAAGATGGGCGAGACAAGGACTGAGGACTGGCCTTGGAATTGAGCACTGCGGGGGTGCTTGGTGACTTTGAAGGGAGCCGTTTCAGTGGAGAAGGTGGGCCTGCCTGGCACGGGTTCCGGAGAGAGCACGGGGACAGCAGCTGCAAACAGCAAGGACAGGCAGCTCCGAGGGATTAGAGCCGAGGGGCACTTAGAGCCACTTCGTCACGGAGTCGTGTAACCGTGGGGGATTGCCCGGTGGTCTAGTCTGACAGCATGAGTTGCAACAGCAGAGTGTTTAGGGAAGAGAGAATGTCGTGGAAGTGCCAACGAAGAGCAAAGGCACCTCCACCCCAGGCCCACGGTGTAGGGGGTGTGGGAGGCATACTCTAGGGGCGAGCGGACTGTGCAGGGAGGAGAGCGAGGTTATTTGGGATTTTGCCAATGGAGGGTTTGCCTACTGAGGTGGGAAGATGGCATCGTTTAGGGCAGGGGTGTCAAACTCATTTTCATCAGGGGCCACATCAGCCTCGAGGTTGCCTTCCAAGGGCCGAATGTAATTTCAGTTTCTTAACAGTTAAGGAGTAGTTACATTTATGCAGTCCTAAAATTATGTCAGCCCTTGGGAGCCTGGGAGCCTTCCTGGGGCCGTGAAGAACCAGCACCTACTGTTTGTTCATCCCCACTGTCCATTCTAATACACAACCTAGCTGAACCCCCTTCCAGTCATTTGGAGGCAGGTGCAGTGATGGTCCCTGTTCTATCGCCAAGGCAGCGGTTGAGAGATGGAGCGGCTTGGCTGCAGTCACTGACTTTCCCAGCTAGGCTTGAAGCAGCTACCTGACTTCAAAGCCCACGTCCTTTGCTGTTTCATAAAGCTAGAATATGGTGCTTTGCTTCTGGATTTTATGATGAGCTATAGCCAGGGGTGTTTTCCATTTAATTTTAGGTCCTTTCGTGGGTTTACCATAGCTGTGGTTTCAAGATAAGTTTGCCTCTGGCAAGGCTGCTCTTCTCCCCCTCCCTCCTCTCCCTTCTCTCCATCCACCCTCCTGCCCCAAGCAGGGATCTCTTCACCGGGCGGTGAATGACCCCAAGCACTCCCCGTGTCCCCAGCCTCACACTGGGTGTGGGAGACGGAGAGGAGCGAGAGTCCGCCTTCTGAGGACTTGCCGTCTCGTGGGGCGGGAGTCCGTGTTAAGTCAGTGTGGGTCGGGAGGTGGGGTACTTCAGAGAGGAAAGATTCTTACGGTGAAGGTGGCTCAGCCAAACAGATGCTCCGGCACTTGGCCGAGGGCTTGCCATTTGTACTTAATGATTTTTTAAAATTAATCCTTGCCCAAAGTATGCTTGTTGATTTTGAGAGAGAGAGAGGGAGGAGAGAGAGAGAGAGACTGAGAAACATTGATCGGTTGCCTCTCCTATATGCCCTGACTGGGGATCGAACCTGTAGCTTTTTTGGTGTATGGGACGTTGCTCCAAGCTGTTGAGCCATTTGGCCAGGGCTTAACAATGAGTTTACTTCTTGCTCAGACTTCAGGGTTTCTGAACCAAGTGGTACTTTCTTCCAAAGTTGCCCAGAAGATGCTGGGGCCTCTCTCTTGGGAGAGGTGGGCCTGAGCCTCTAGAATTCATTTTCTCACTCATAGTTTTTTGAGAGCCTGGACTTCAACCATTTCAGACAAGCTGCAGTATATTTATGCTTTTTATGTCCTGTTATGGCAGCTCGATAGATTAATTTTATCTTATAAATTGCATTTTGCCTCCCCAGTGTTTTTATTTCCCTGTTGTATCTTTGTGTTCTTCTCAGTTTCTTGGCTAAGTTTCAAGCCTATGTTTTTATTTATTTTTTGTTCTCTTTGTAAATGCCTATCGCCCAGCCCCTTGTGGGAGCAGCCTACCAGGAGCGCAAACAGGAATTAAAGCCACGCCTGCGTCTGGAGAAATGAGGGGAGGGACAGTAACAGTGATCAGCAAACCAGTTACAAGGTCCCTCAGAATTCAACCCCTCTGTGTATTGAACACCTACTGTGTGCCAGGCACCATTTGCGGTGTCTTCTGTAAAAATTATTACTGAGCTCTGCCGCAGCTCTGCAAAGTGGTGCGTCCTGAACATGCAGGTTCACTGCACCACCAGTGTGTGCAGTGCTCCCTTGCCCTCCGGGCAGTGACTTGTAAATGAAAAATGGCAGCGTCTCCTTTGGAGCCTCGCCGAGGGCCGCAGAGCAGCGGATCACACGGCTGCATCGCTGTGCCAGCGCTGGAGCCTGGAGTCAGGCCTTCGCCTCCGTAAAGCACAACTTGCTGTGGGGTGGGGACACTTCCGGAGTCAAAATGACGAGTGTCAAGCGTCTGAATGTTGGGTTTGTTGTCCTGGAGGAGCAGAGTTTAAAGGGGCCTGAGCATGAGCGCACACACCCTCCCAACCATTCCTGGGGGGTGGGGTGTGAGCGTCGGTGTAGCTAAACATTGGAGCTGGCCTCCGTCTCTATTCAGAAGGACATTTGTGTGGTTCTTATATTTGTCTCTGCCTCATGATTACTTATCAAAACTCATCAGAACTGATCTCCATTCTCACGAGTGAACATTGCTGCTTGCCGTGAAATTCCATTATCATACGGTTGTTATAGCAAAGCTATTTCCTTGGAGGGCGATGCAGTGGGGAACAGAGCCTTGTTGAGAGCCCTCCCTCTGTCTCTCTCCTCCTCACTCAGCCAGCGGCACCTCCTGAGTCCCTTCTCTGCCCCAGGCACTGGGGACACAGAGGCGGGCGAGGTGGTGTCCACCCCGGAGGACCTCAGAGACCAGTGGTTGGTACAGATCTTGTGCAGGAAGAGTGCTGCATTAGGAAGGTTTCCTTTAGGTCAGGTAGCAGCTGCTTTCTAAAATAAAAGGTTTGTTTTATATATTTCCACTGGAAGCAGAGAAACAAGAATGGATTTAGGAGCCGTGAGGAGCAGTCGCAGAACCCAGAAACTGGAGGTACAAAACAGTCCAGCAAGGACTTTCATGGGCTTTTCTTCCTGAGACGGTGCCTCAGGCATCGCGTCCAACCCATGACATTTTCCAAGTGCACAGCCGGAGCCTGAAGGCCTCCCGTGATACGCGTCCTGCCCGTCTTCCAGCAGTTTCAGGGACGCTGAGGGTGTTAATGTTAGTTGGGTTTCTTCCCTACTTTGTACCAGAACCATTAACCTTTTTGCAGATATTGTCCCATTTGATCCTAAAAACAAAACAGACGCAGCCCTTCTTAGTGACTGGTGTTCTTTCCGTTTTGCAGGTGAAGCTGCTGAGGTTCAGAGGGGGGCGTTCAGTAACTTGCCGAAGTTCATGTAACTAGTGGCAAGGAAGCAGATGGCAGAGGCAGAGTTTGACACCAAGTCTGTCTGACTTCAAAGACGGGTTTTTGTTAAATTTTGCTGCCTCTTAAGTGTTCAGACGACTGTTTATGTTGAGTGGGGCTTTTCCTGGACAGCAGGCAGTGTGGTACGGGCTTGAGGACAGACGCTCTGGACTCGGGCCTGAGCTTGAAGCCTCGCAACAGCATATATATCAGGCATCTCTGGGGAAACTGAGGCTCTGGGATAGCAAGTCTGTTGCCTACGGGCGTGCAGCCAGCAAGTGGCGAAGCCGAGTGGGACCCAGTTTCCCTCTGGCTTCAAAGCCGTATGTTTCGGCAGTGCCGCTCTGCCTCTCAAATGTCTACGGCTGCATCCCTGGGGATTTAGAGCAGCCGTAAGGAAATGTGTCCTGGAAGGGCTGTGACCCGTTGCAACAGCTCACTGCAGGGGCTCTGTGGCATCTCCCAGAAGCTGGTACCTGTGGAAATGAGAAGGCGACTCACCTGCGTGGATTGTAGAATTACTGCTCTTTAATCGTACTTCCTTCAGTCTTCAACATTTATTGGACCTTTATTGACTTCTGGTCCAGTTAGGTAATGTACTAGGCACTGAGAACATGAAGGGGAAAGGCCAGGGAGGGAGAGAATCCAAATCACTAATTGCTACGTAAATAAACTTAAGGAGCCAATTGTAATTCCTACACGAGCACTCAGCATGTAGTACATTTGTCCTGGGTAATATATGTAAGGTGCTGTGGAGGCACAGATGGGAGGGACTGTTTTGCATAGTTTGGAGAGGGACTTGCAGAGGAAGGAAATTAGATCTGGGTGTGGAGGGATGAGTAGGAGTTCACTGAGTAGGAGTGGAGCAGATGGGCTGAGTGTATCCCAGGCCGAGGAACACGCACGTGCAAAAGCATGGAGGCGTGAACCAGCCTGGCATGTGGGGGGAATTACGGGAAGCAGGGAATCGCCATGGGTGGTGCCAGAAGATGCTCCAGAAGAGATTGCTTGGAACTAGATCCTGGAGGGTCTCAGATGCTGTGAGAGGGAGTTTGAGTTTGGTCCTCAAGATAGTGGGGATACCGATCAGTGTTTGGTGGCAGGAGGGTGGTTGCCATGGTTAAAGTCACTTCCGTAAGGCAGTTGCTCTGAGGAAGGGGGTGGACCGAGAGGGAAGCTGGCAGTCAGGGAGGCCCTTGCAGTGGCCTCTGCTTGGTGGGGTCTGTGAGGAAGGGCAGGGGTGGGGGGTTCAGTAAAGGAGATACTGACCTAAATGTGTTTGATTTTCAGACTCTGAAATCAACCAGCCCAAGAATCCTGAAGATTTTGGGGGCCCAACTTCAGTAGCTCCTTACCTAAGTCCTAGGAGTCAGCTGTCCACTAAAGTCAGTGCCATTGGAACTGACCAGTCTGAGAACATCGGTACTTCAGATGACACAGAAAACTTAAAACAGAAAATCTGTGACTTGGAAACTGAGCTTGAGGGCTACCGGAACTTCCTCCTTCAGCTTCAGAAGCACTCCCGGTGCAGTGAGGCCATTATCACAGTTTTGTGTGGGACAGAAGGGGCCCAGGATGGCTCCATCAAGCCCAAGGGTGGTACTGACGAAGAAGAAATGACCTTTTCCAGTTTGCACCAAGTACGCTATGTGAAACACATGGAAATCCTCTGTCCGCCGGCCCCGGAGATGATGGACGGCGGGATGCTGGGGAGCCTGGAACAGCAGCGAGGAGAACGGGACTGTGAGCTGCAGAAGGAGCAGACTTTGAACTTGGAACTTTTCAGTGAGATCCATAACCTGCAGAATAAGTTCAGAGATCTCTCGCCCTCAAGGTACATCCCACCTCTGCCTTCTCCCACTGTTAAGTCTGCAGTTTCCCTCTGCTGCCAAAAGGTTGGAGTCGTGATCTAAAAGGGGCCACGGCATGGTGCCTGGACTGCGGGCTCGGTGAGGGTAGCGAGGCCCTGCTGGGAAGTGAGGCCGCAGAGAGTAGTCTTGTGTCCTCTGTCACTGGCAGGGCAGATTCTGCCCTCCTCTGGCTGGGGATTCGGGGTAAATGTTCTGTACCAGTCACTTGGTGCTCTATGTAATATGTTTTCTGAAGGGCAGTGTTCACTCCTGGCTGCCATTATTGGCTTTTACTTACTGTGTTGCAGAACCAAAAAATGTCCTAGGTGAGTGGGAAGAACAGAATATTTTCCGTATCTTTACCCTTTAAGATCATCTTAGAGAAACAAGCTGGCTCTGAAGGAGAAGAATTCTTAGGCCGTGAAGATATGTTTTATGGGCCTAGATACATACAGTTTTGCTTCATGAGATATGGCAAAAATGTGATCATTTGTAAAGCTGACCTTCATTTGTCGATAATTTGAGACAAACACATTGTCAGGAACCAGAGAGAATTTTTCAAAACCCCCCAAATGGTGAGATTGAAGGAAGCTTGTATCTGTTGGAAAGCAGTTGTGTCTGAACTTCAGTTGGGCACTTTTCTTATTTAACCCTCAAAGTCCCCTGAGGAAGAGGTGTTATAAAATGTGTTTTCGTAGTTGAGGAAATTGAGCCTCAAGGGGGTGACCTTGAGTCACCCAAGGGGCTTCACAGAGCTGTGACCTGGGGTCAGGCCCACATCACCCCTCTCTGGTACTCGGCTCCTTCTCATCCATTTGCCCAGTGGGCCCCCCCCCCCCCCAGCAGTCCTGCTGTTCTGTGACTGTGCACACTTGGGGCCTGGGAGTCACTGGTTGCACACACTGTCATCGTTTCAGAGACAGGGGAACACATTGAACTGAAGGGTCAGTGTCTCGGCCAAGCCACTGTAGAGCCAGGTTACTGAGGCCACAGTGAGCCACGCCTTCCTTAACCTGTGTTTTCCTCGGGCCTCCCACTGCCCGAGGACTGCGTGGGGAGCCACGGAAGGGTGTCAGGAGACACTGGTGCACAGCAGAGCACAGGCTTTGTGTGCATCCGAAATCTTCCCTGTTTGACTAACTGCGATCTCTGAGAGTCAGTTTCTTCGTGTGTAAAAGGGGAGGTTCATACACTTGCTGGAAGATTGGGAGGATCAGATGGGTATAGAAGTCCCCCGCTACAGTGGCCGACAGGTCGTAGCCCCTCCGTAAATGGTGGTTACGATTCTGATCGCTCCCTGGCGTTTTTGTTGAGGGCGGGGAGTCCCGTCTTTGTGTTCCTGCCCACACTTTCTTTTGTTGCTCCTCACGAGAGTTTGTGGTGGGTTCCCTGACCCTCGGGCACTTGTTTCTATAATTCGGAATAAGATTTTTGAAGAGCATGTGGAAACTGATTATTCTCCTGAGTCCTTGCCAATCTTACTTTAATTGGGGGCTTCATAAGGTTAAAAATATTGCAGAAGAACCTTTGTTCCAGCATTTGTTGGCTATTTTGAAATTGAAGGAGTGACCTTGTACAGTTTCAATTTTTCTAAAAGTATATATAGTTGTATAGCTGTAGGCTTTTAAAAATTGTGCTCTTGTCATTTTTCCAATTAGTGTTAAGGTCACAAAAATTCAATTCTAAAATGGTACAAGCACTTTCTTTCCCCCTTTTATCAGATACAATTCATTAGTGCAGTCCCAAGCCAGGGAGCTCTCCGTTCAGCGGCAGCAGATTAAGGACAGCCGTGACATCTGTGTCATCTGTCGTCAACACATGAGCACCATGATTAAGGCGTTCGAGGAGCTGCTACAGGCCAGCGATGTGGACTGCTGCGTGGCCGTGGGCTTCCGGGAACAGCTGAACCGCTGCGCCGCGCTGCTGGAGAGGCTGGAGCAGCTGTTTCTCAGTGGTGAGCGGGCGAGGCCCTTCGAGTCCTAAGACACATCAGTGATCAACCCGGGACTTCTTGGAGGGCCCAGGAGGAACCAGCTCCTCGGCCCTACGTACCTTCCACCCTCCGCTTTGATAAGGTGACAGCAAGGCCACGCTGGCCGCTGCTGCCTTCCAATGACTGCGCCACTGCCCCAAACCTGGGTTCGTGTGGCTGCCTCCGGGGCCGGGCTGGTGAGGCACAGAGAAGCCAGTGGAGAGGGGCTGCCCCTCAGCACCTGCCGCATGGTTTCTGGTCCCCGTCGTCAAGAGGTGGCAGTTGGGATTTTTCGGGGTCTGAGGTGGTCAGAGGAAGGATGAAAGAAAACCTTTGCTAACCATTTGCTATATGCTAGGTGCTTTAATTAATATCACTAACTTAGCAAATATTACTGCATTAAAATGTTTTAAAAAGTAATTTGTCATTTTCTGAGACTGCAACACAGAACTTCCATGTACCCTTCTTGCAGCTTTATCAGTGGTTGGTAGTTTGCCACATTATCATTTTTATCATTTCTCTCTCTCTCTACACACATGCAAACACATACATGTGCCCACATACATTAACTTTCCTAACTCTGTGAGAGTGGATTGATGATACCATGTTCATCAGTCCACCTAGATACTCAGACCAAGGCCATCTCTTACTCGACCACAGTTAACGAAATCGGGAAATGGTATTTTCTAATAAGTAGTCTGTAGTCAAATTTCTCTAGCCGATTCAAGGTATCTTTTATGATCCCACAGGCAACTACAGCTCTGAACTTTCCATAGATGAGTCTTGTCTCTTCATGTCAGTGGATCTCACAGTATTAAAGAAAGAATGTCTTTCATGGGAGTTTGGTCTTGATCCTGACCCAGTCCCCACACTGCACAGGAGTTGTCACGGCTCCTGTGGTGTCCTTCAATCTGGAGTAGTTCACCTCTTGTCCTTCATGACATTGACATTTTTCAGGAGTTCAGGCCAGTCTCCATTCAGGGTTATCTGTTGATTCCTCATGATTGGATGAGATGAGTCACGTGGTCTGCGGGAGTGCTACCCCAGTGATTGTGTCCTCCTGGTGTCATGGTCGGGGGTCCATGCAGCGGTTTGTCTCATTTTTGGTGATGTTAATTAACTTTGATCACTTGGTAAGGTAATGTCTGTCAGTTTCTTCACTGTAAGTTACACTATTTCCTGTGTAATGTAAACGTCATTACAGGGGAATACTTTGTAACTCTGCAGGTATTTCATTGCTCCTCAAACTTGTGCCTGTGAGATTTACCATCCATTGATGGTTCTTGCCGTAGTTAACACCATGACGATGGCGGCATGGTGATTGTTTTCCAGTGGTGTCGTTCCTTCTTCCTTTATTGTTAGGTGGCATCTGTTACAAGAATGGATTCTCCCTTTACCTCCTTTTATTTATGTATTTGTTGTTTGTTTATTATCAGTGTTGACCTGGAGATTTATTTTTTATTTTATTTATTTATGTATGTATTTATTTATTTTTAGGCAGAGGTGAAGGGAAGGAGAAAGAGAGGCAGAGAAGTATTGATGTGTGGCTGCCTGTCCCACATCCCCGACTGGGAATCAAACTGGTGATCCTTTGGTTCACAGGCCCGCACTTAATCCACTGAGCCACACCAGCCAGGACAGATTCTTTCTTTTTCTAGTGGACTATTTATTATCCATTCTGTCATTCATATCAATGCTCAAATTGTTCAAGAATCGGCAGGTGGCAGTTCCTTTTGATGTGTCTCCCACGTTTTGGGGGGATGCTTTCTTACTTTCTAGCACAAAACAGGTGTTCCGAGCTCATCTTCTCCTGTCCTTGTCCCTGACTCAGCCATCTCTCTGTTAGCCCTGGTTCCCTTTAAAGGGCACCGCCATTCGAGAACCCAGAGTTGGTGCCGACTGTGTGTGTCGCTGTGGCCGCGTGGCTGTTTCTAGGTCCGTTAGCAGGCAGTTCACGTACATACACACACACACAAAATATATGTACAGTATGTTTGTATAAAAAGTATGTATATTTAAAAATGTATAATACATTTTAAAATCACAGTGGTACCTCCAGTTCCTGGTCTCACCCACTGTGGTCTTTCTTGCCCTTCTTGCTTCCGTGTTTGCGCCTCCCTCTCCTGGCTCTCACGGCATCAGCCTGTCTGTGCATTAGCTTAATTCTGTAATACACGCAGGGTTCCAGAATCGCCTCGCTCACACCACGGTGAAAAACAAACCCAAAAGAGTTAAAATTTGTCTGTAGTGATTTTTGTCTTTAGGCTAAGGGCGTTCAGTCAGGTATTGAATTTAGTCATTTGGCTTCATTCTTTCTACAGTCTTGTTATGTTATTCATTTGAAGTACAGTTAAATTTTTTTGGTTCCATTTATATCCAATTTTAGGGTTCCCCTACCCTTATTGATTTAACCTAATTTTCCGTTTTAAATATGAGTATCGTTAAGGTGGTTCCAAGGTTACAACTTTTATTCTTTTAAGTTGTTTCTATGCAGTCTTTATTTTTGTGCCTTTTCTTAAACCCACTAGAGTGGGGCCCTCAGACAGCCAGCGGCATTTGCCACAGTCACTAACGTCCTCCACTTGCTGATTCCAGTGCTCCGTTTTCAGACTGCATTTTACCCGAACCCACAGCACTTTTGGACACGGGAACCCTTGGGCTTGCCTCCCTTGGCTCCTAAGATGACGCCGATGAGTCAGTTCTCCACCCACCCCACTGGCTGCCCCTTGGAAGCTGTCCCTTCAACTGTATTCCAGATCGGACCAGTCTTCACCACCTGGGCCCCAGTCCGCCATCACCACCCCGCTTCCTCCCCGGGTCCGCACCCCCACCTTGTCCCAGCACTGTCCATTTCCACACAGTAGTCAGTGAGCCTTTCACATGTAAGCAGCCCAGCTCCTTCTCTGCCCAAGTTCTAAGGCTTGCCTTTGTGAGTTGCAAGGGTTAAATTAAATAACGGGTGGGAAACACTCACGGGGTGCATGGCCCCACATCCTGCGGGCCCCCCTGTGTCTGTTCCTGTGAGCTGGGGGCGCAGTCCTCAGGGCAGCCTGGCCGACGTGAGGAACTTTGCCCTCACAGAGGCGCGTCAGTTGCTCAAAGTCACAGCTAACTTGGCAGAACCAGGATTTGACCTCAGTTCTTCTCTCTTCATGCATGTGGTACAGATGGTTCATGAAGGTCCACATATGTTCATTTCCACTCCAAGACAGAACGTGGGGTGGCTTGGCCCCTGGGCCCAGGGATGGTTGTGCCTGATTTTTGAAAGAGCCCAGCAGGGAGGCCCGTTGCAGACTGACTTCTCTAGTCCCCGGTCTGTGGGACCTTTGAGGGCCGCCAGGGCGTAGGAGCACTTGACTTTTCCCAGCTTTATGAAATCTGCATCCTTCTGGCTAAGGTTTTCCAAAGCTAGTTTTCATTTATTATTGGAGAAATTACCGAGTCCTCAAGATGGAGCTGCATCTTCCAGGCCCGAGATGCTTTCCATCTGTTTCTTTCCTTCCTGCAAGCCCTCTCCCCGAGCCCTAGGCAGTGGGGGCTGAGAGAGAGAGGCCCTGCGCCGGCTGCCCTCCCTCATGCCCTCCCTCATGCCCCCTCTTGATTTATTTCTTAGTTATTTACCTTGACAAGCCCAGGGAGGTCTCACTCTTTGTCTCCTGCGAAGCAGAAGTGTTGCAGGCTTGGCAGACAGCACAAACAGGACTGTATTTTCTTTTCCAAAAGGCGTAAAGGTCTCAGGGACCTCGCTGTGCCTTTTTTTCCTTGCAAAAAAAAAAAATGCAGCCCAGGTGGGTCTTTCCTAGATGCTGTCGAAGAGGTCTGCCTCCTGAATAATGAAGTGAGCTGCTCACAAAGCAGTTTTATATCGGAGGCAGGCACATAGCATGAGTTCTTAAAAAATTTAGTCTTTTTTACTAATACAAAGCAGCACATGTTTATTGTGGGATAACAGATAAGCAAATACTCCTGTAATTGCATCATATATATAGCAAAACATGAACACCCTGTAGTTTATATTTTCAGACCTTTTTTAATACATATTAGTGGTTTTTTGGTAGTAGGACTGTTCGCGGTCTCTCCCTTTGTTCGGTTATAGATAATGAACGTTGATCTACATTGTAAGTGCTAGTTGCTGCAGAGCGTGCTTTCGTTTGAGTGTACGATTATTTCAGTCATTCCCCGTTAGATGGACGTTTCGGTTGTTCTCAGGTTGGGGTTATTGTAATGGACAGTGTAGTGGAGTTCTTTGTGCATATCCTTGCTGTTTCTTTGTTAATATTTAATTGGTTGAATGCAACAAGTAGTTTGACAGTGTGGTGTTATAATGCTTGTAAGGAGCTTACGGGGCCCAGACCTATAAGCGCTGGGTCTAGGCCCTACAGATTTTGTGAGTATGTGCCTTTTTCTGGGGTGAGGTCTAAAACAGATTTCCTAAAACAGGTTGAGACCTGAAGTAGATCAAGAAGTGGTGTTGTGGTCTCAGGTTTCTACCACCTCCTTGTGCGCGGTGCCAGGGTGCACTGGCGTAAACCAGGGTGGCGGTGTTTGTCTTCAGTATGGCCGAGTAAGCCCTGGGGACGGTACAAAGAAGACTGGGCGCGTCCCCTTCCTTAGGGAGCTCCCTGTGTGTGCCAGGGCTTAGCCACCCGAAGCAGAAGATGCTGTGGGGTCCCTTCCCCAGGCTCTCCTTCGCCTGCAGGGATGAGCCTGACACACCCATTTCTTTCAAGGCCTTCTGCTGCATTTGCCTTTTCCAGCCCACTAACCTGCAAATGGTGGTGATGATAAGGAGAAATGGTGAGGGGGGCTGGTCTCTGACAAAGGCTTCTTATATGCCGGGCATTGTTCTCAGCCTATGAGGAGGTATTATTCATCTTAATGAATGAGGAACGGAGAGGTTGCTTCACTGGCTCAGGGTCACACAGGAAGTGGCAGAGTCTGAGCCCAGGCAGTTTGTTTCTGCAGCCCGACCTCCGGGTCCCCACGGCGTCCATCTCACACTCCTGTCACGTGAGGTGCCCTGGTCGAACGTGTCTGTGGGTCAGGCCTTGCCTTTCCCCGCTCCTGTGACGCTCTTCACACCAGCCCCTTTTCTAGAACGCTTCTCCTCACGGCCCTCCAGGAGGCTTTCCTCGCTCACCCCGAAGCTTTGACTCAGCGCACACGCGTGGCCCCCCATCCTGTGTGCTCCCTCGTGTCCGTTCCTGTGAGCGGGGGGCCCAGTCCTCAGGGCAGCCCGGCTGACACGAGGAACTGAGCCCTCACAGAGGCACGTCAGTTGCTCAAGGTCACAGCTGACTTAGCTGAACTAGTTACTTCTGGGTTGTTTGTAGCTCGCAGATGACAGTCACTTCTGGGCTTATGATGGAGGCCCGGTGCTGGGGTGGGAAGAATGACAGCTTTGGAGCCCAACAGACTTGGCTCAGATCCCATTTTTACGGTTAAGGGATTGGTTTCCTCTGTGAGGTAGCAGCACCTGTTTTGCAAAGTGGCCTAGCCAATGGTGGGAAACAGCAATGGTTTCTTGTGGGCACATTTTATTTCCTTAGAGCGTAAGCTCCTGGAAGATGGGGGCCTTATCTTGTTCTGGCCTTCGACCTCGGGAGGGGCAGGACAGGCAGCGTCCAGTCAGGATTTGATGGCAGCGCTGGCAGCTGTGTGGAGTTCCAGAGGGCCACTTTATTCCAGAGGCTCCCTTGGGGTTGAAATCCCCCAGCCCTGTCTGACCCGCAACGTGAGCCCAGCAGGAGGCACCTCTGAGCTCTGAAGACAGGACTTCCAGGAGGAAAGGGTGTTGGACCTTGGCCTCCACAGTGGAAGGGGTTCATGGTCACTGGGGAGGGGTCGTAGAAGGGTAGAGGGGTGTGCGTGTTAGGGTCAGCACAGCGGGCCAGGCTGTCAGAGAACGGGGGGGCTTTTTCTTCCTGTCTGCTGCTGCGGTCCGGCTCCACGTAGCCCCTCGGCTGCTTCTTCTCTCTGTGGAGCAGTGCTTTCCTGCCTCACAGATAGAGCCGAGCTGTCGCCTCCTCTACATTGTCCCCCGTGGTCAGGTTGGGTCTTGTTTGTGTCCTCCATGTGCCCTCCCAGCTGCCCTTTGTCTCAGCCCTGCAGTGGACTTGCCTTTGGGTCCATCACCCGCCTCAGCCGTGAACTCGCTGCAGGCAGGCTGGGTCTGCCCTCCTCTCTGTGCCCTCAGTGTCCAGCACAGGCACCTGGGAGGAGCCTTGTAACCCTGAGGAGGAGCTACTGTGACACAGGAAGGGAGAGACACTCGGGTCGGTAGGAGACGCCAGGCTCTGGTATCTGAACATAGTTTTGTGTGACTGGTGGATTTGAGCTGGGGAGTCCTGTTTGCGAAGGGGCTGTTTAAGTGGGGCCAGTGTGCAGGAGGGACCGGTGCAGAGAGGAAGCGGAAGGCAGGGCACCAGGTGCGAGTCTGCTGCGTGGTCATCTCTCGTTCACATAGGAATTGGATAACCAAATGTCCTTCTCTTTGGAAAGACGAAGTCTCTTCACGGCCACACAGCTTTTAGGGGGAGCAGTGAGATTTACCTGAGAGATGGGAGCAGTGTTGTCACAACACCATCCTCAGTGTTGGGACTGGCCTGACAGATGGAACCTGGTCACCCGTATTCAGGCAGTTCCCACCACGACACTCGGTGCATCAGCCCTAACGACCTCCCTGCACATCCGAGGTCACAGTTTCTACTTCCGGGTTTAAGGAGCACTTGTGGTCGGGCTGTGGCCGGAATGCAGTTGGTGGGTCATTACTAGCTCCTCGAAGGCTCTCTTATTTGAAGAGGAGGAAACCTGTGCTGCTGGAGTATCGGGACTTTTTCTTCCGTGGTCATGGGTTTCGCTAGGAGTCCAGGAGAGTTTTTTGGGTTTTAAGATCAGTTCAGGAATGCTTAAAACTTGCCCCCAGACCAAGGGTCTGCGGCCCCTCGAGGTTCCTGAGGCAGGTATCTGCTCCCAAAGGGCAGTGGTGAGTGTGAAGCGGGAGTTCTGTTGGCCTGCCCGGTGAGCGTGCAGCGCCGGAGCTCTTTGGAAGGCTGGGCTGTGGCAGATGGCTCTCCTCGGCGTCTGCGGGGCCGAAATCAGGCCATCGCAGAGCGCTGGTAAGCAGCTCCAGTGCAGGTGTGAGATGTGAGAGGAGAAGTGCTGTCTGCATGTGCCGAGGGCGTGCGCTTGTGCCTGTCTGTCCAAGGTGGTCCCGCCGTCTGGGACTTGCATTCAGGGTCTTGGATTCTGACTTAATCAGATACAGATTCTTTCCCCACCCCCTTAAGGAGGAGTGTAGAGGACAGAAAGGTGGAGCCCAGCAAACATCCACTGTGGGAGAGACCTGTCAACCCCCTTCTGCCTTCTGGGGAGCCGAAATACCGTGTCATTGCAGGATGTGAGCACAAGGAGGGAGACACAGGTGTGCGGTCGAGCTGGCAGCAGCCATGTCTCTACGTCCCTTGCGAACCAGGAGCCGGCAGGAAAGTAGGCGAGAGTGTGTGGGCCGTGTGAGGAGTGGGAACATGAAACCTCCCGCATCACCACTTCTTTGTTGTGAAAGGGAGGTGCTGACCCTGGGCCTGGAGGGCTGTTTTGAGATCCAGGACATTAAAGAACTATCCTCAGGCCTGTCTGACTCACTGCCCGTGCCAAACAGGACCCCGCAGGGGAGGGTGACCTCCAAGCACTGGGTGCACGGCACTGACCCGGGCCCAGTGGCTGTCCTGGTTGGGGGGGCGGGGAGCAAACAGCCCCGTGAGTTCATCAGTGGGAACCATGAGGCACAAGGCAAATGTGCGAGTCTCCAGTGACCCTTTCCTGTGCGCTCTGGGGCGTGAGAACTTCTCTTTCAGGAGTGGTTTTGAAAATGCAGCGTGGGTGTGGTTTAATTATAGTCTCATTCTTCAAGCGCAGCTATGGAAGGGTTTGTTTTTCTCTTTAGCCACACATTAGTTTCTTCAAAGAGCTCATCCCAGGCTGCAATTTCCAGGGTTCTGAAGTATTTTTCAAACAAAGTTGTTAGTCTCTTTGAAATCCAGGCTCCTGCGCTGCCTTTCAAACAGCAGATGACAACAGGCGGGAGAGAGAGGAGGACCTTGTGCCCAGCTGCGCTTGTTTTGTCATTTCTTTCCGTCATGTCCCCTGTTGCAGACGCTGGCTTTTTCTCTGTGCTCCTTTCCGTAGTAATCCCTCTTCTGAGATAAAGGCAGATAAAGCAGCATGCACAGAGATGTTTGTTTCATTTGTTTGTATAAAAGTGAAAAAAATGCAGATGACCTAAATGTCATCTGGGAAAAGGGACTGGCAAAATAGTGGTGTATGTATGTCTACCATGGGGAAGTAACGTGGTCATTAAAAATGAGGCTTCAAAAGCATATTTAGTAAGAGAAATGCTTACAATAAAGTAAGAAGTGAAAAATTAAGTCATGGTGTCCTGCCACCCATGGGAAAATACCCAGAAAAATAATGGGAGGCGATCCTGCAGGTGGTGCCCATTACCCCGTAGAGACCCCAGGTTCCCTTAGTGTCAGAGGTTAGAGAAGGACAGAGAGCCAGCAGCCAGCGGCGTTTGTCGTTGCTTTTAGCTTCAGTGCTGCCACGTTCCCACTCGAATGAGTGATAAGGAGTCTGTAGTCTGAATTGTGTTCTTGTAATCCTACTGTAAATACCCAGGGTTGTTAGAAAGAGTGGTTCAACAAAGGAAATAGTTCCTGTGCAAACGCAGGAGCGAGAAATTACTCGGGAAAACTCTTTGAATGTTATTTCTGCTTCCAGGGAAATCAGGAGGAGTGGAAATGAGCACCCAGAACGAACTGATAGAGAGGTGAGTGCACAGCGCTCGTTTGGAAGACTTTGTGGGTTTGGATTGTCTGCCTGCTGTTTCGGTGTTCCGGCTCCTTCCCACTGTTAGTAATGCACAAACACCTGGGACACTGGGAACGGCCACACAAAACCAAGGGCTCATGCCGCGGATCAGGCAGCCTTCATTCAGTTGTTTTAGGTTACCTGTCACATTTCTCTGTCAGGTGATGTGACCCAGATGACACCTCCTTCTGTTGGCATCTGGTCACCTGCAGAATAAATTCCAGACTCCCTAGCCTGACCTTTGAGGCCCTTCTCAGTCTGACCCAGCGTTCCTTTCCACCAGGTACCCCTGCTCCTGTCTCCTCTGACTTGTTCTCCAGGCCGTGACTTGGCACAGTGCACACTCTACCTTCTTCCCCTTGTAGTTTGAGGGGAAGTAGTCTGACTTCTTCAGAGTCAGGTCTCAGGACACAAACCTGGCTCCTCCTGACACCCCATCTCTCCAGTACATTCCAGGATCAGTTGTTCTTCCTGTAGCACTTGACATGTAATTACATTACAGAACTTACCACATGGTTGTGTCATCCTCGCTGCATTTATCTTTGGCCCCCAGAATTCCTTGAGAGAGGAAAGGAGCTAGCATTAATTGGGTATTAACATTCCATATTTCTGACCCTATAAGGTAAGCAATAGTCTCATTTTTGGATGAGGCGCCTGAGGGTCACAGTTATATACTTGCCATTGAGAGGCAGAGGTGGGATTTTGAACTTGAGTCTGTTGTAGGGTACTCCAAGCCTGAGCTGTTATTGTTATTCCACATTGCCTGTGGAGGGCAAACACTGTGTTTTTAATGCCTTTATACCTGCTCCAGCCCCGGGTATCTGGCATGTAGTTGGAATTCAGAAGACATTCACGGGATAAAGGGGTTGCATACTTTCTAAGCTTTCCTCTGTGGCCAACTGGAAGTGTCAGGGTCTTGTCCTCCTCTGTTTACTTGTTAAAGGCTCTTACTGCTGTAAGTGCTGTGGGTGCTTCCCTCCTCTTCGGGGCAGCAGCCTTTTGGCCTCTTGAGAGTAAAATAAAGAAATAGAGACCAAACAAACGGAACTAACAAGGTAAATAGAGACAGAGTTGTAGATAGAGAAGAGAACAGCAGCTGAAGTTGAGGGGAGGTTGGGGGTAGCAGGGACTGAACTAAAAGGAGAAAGGACTCACGGACATGGACAATAGTGGGGTGCTTTCAGGGTGAGGGGGTTGTAAGAAGACTAAATGGAATGGAAAGCTGCAATAAAGATAAAACTAAACTTAAAAAAAAGGAAATAGAGACCAGTCTGGGGTGCAGAATTTTAGTTTTTGTTGGTGTCACAAAAGCCACCAGTGTCATTAGAGCGGGCATGGGGGTGGCCGCAGCCACTGGAGGGCGTTTTTATCAAGGCTTCTGTAGCTTCAGAAGAAGTACTCCTCTCCCGCTGCAGTCTTCCCAGTTCACCCTCCACTTCCGTCCTTAGAATAACAGGTCCCGTCCCACTGGCAGGCAGTGGGGAGGGCAGGGAAGGCCTCCTAGGCTGGACATAGTCTTCGCTGGCATCTCAAGGCTGCAAACGGGGGTGTTTGGGCTTGTTTCCCGCCTGAGGTGGGAGAGACATCACTCCTCTGAGCAGTGTGGCTGGTGCATTGAACATGAGAGTCATGGCTAGAGAGGCAGGCAGGGCCTGGCTGGGTTGGGCAGAGCCCGAACTCTGTTCTGTAGAAAGAGGGGAGTCTGAAAGAGGGGAAGTTGGGACAGGATGTGATCAGATTCGCCACCTCGAAAGGCGGTGGTGGTTCTTGGCGATTGGCTTGGAGGGAGGCAGCCTGCTCAGCCACGTGCCACCCTGTCTCCGACAGGTTCTTTCTCTCCTCTGCCTTTTTCAGCTGTAGGTTTAGCACTCACATGGGTCACTCCTAAGCTAATTAAATGGGTGTCCTTGGCCCATTCGGCACTGTTGCAAGGCAGCAGCAAGCCCATGCATCCATCATGCTGTCTGAGCAAAGTTGCATCTGGTGTTTACCTGTTAATGAATGCGTTGCAGCTTTGGAGTCCTTTGCTCTTGTCTGAGCTTATGAATAATGAGACAAGAAGTAATAGGAAAAGGGGGAGGAAAAAAAGAGCTTAAATTAAGGAGCTTATCTATAATGGAGATTCACATGGGCTTTTCACAGAGTTCAGGGTGGTTTTCCTCACAGCTTAGGTTGCCCTTGGGAAATGCAGGTTAATAACCAGATGATTACCAGGACGGTGATATTGCGGCCTGCCAGGGGACCACCAGAGGCCTGAGGTGTTTAAGCCCTATAAGACCCCTTCATGGGTTTGGGTTGGCCTCCCACACTCTCCTGGGGTCTTGAAGGCAGGCAGACCCTGCTCAAATATGAGCTCTGTCACTTGGAAGCTGTCAGATAATGGGCAAGTTTATGATGAGCCTCAGTCTCCCCAGCTCTAAGTGAGGGTCATCCTCCCTACTTCAAAGGGGTTCTGCGAGGACCAAATGAGAGGGTGTATCAAAAGTGCCTGGTGTGGCGCCGGCGTTTGGTCAACAGCCGCCGTCGGCTGATGCCCTCTCTCGGGTCTCTCCCCTGCAAGCCAGATGGTAGCCACCCTTCTTCATGGGCTCCGGACTCAAGCCCACTGAGCCTGTTTTGGTATTAGAATGTCCTTGCTAAGAAAAGCTCTAGGGAAATGAAGGGGCTCCCAAGCAGCAGTGCAAATACGGGGGAGTTTATAAAGGGCCCAGGAATCCGAAGTGTTCTTCGGTCAGGGTCCTGGCTGGGATCTTGATGCGGAACACGATTTCTCTCCTGATGCCGATGGTCCAGGGTGGAGGAAGACAGCTTGACTGATCAGCATATCCTCCCCGGGTCTCCTGAGCCTTCAGCCTCTCACGCCTTGTCTGATGGTGACACGTCCGAAAAGTCCTCCTGCTCACGAGACCAGAAGCAAGACAGCGAGACCGAGAAGACTTCAGTCACGGTGAACAATTTTTCTCAAGGTAAGCGAAGCTTTGCGAAGCATTTCCGGATAGCCGGGGTTTCCTGGTTTGAACAACAATTTGTCATCGTGCCTTGGTAAGCAGCGTGTAGTGACGTTTGGTTATTTCTCTGATGAAAGGAGATCCTGCGAGGGCTGCAGCGGGTCCTTCAGAGTGCCATTTGTCACTGGGGAGAGCTATGGTGGTTGGAAGTGCTGCTGGTTGGGGAAAGTCATCTTTAGTTTTTAGGTGATGACTTGTGTGATTTGCCATTCCCTCGTGCTTCTGACAGTGGCAGGCTGGGGAGCGCTGAGGTTACACATCAGTTCCGACTCTTCCAAACCCTTCCTCAGGCAGGGTACTTCCAAGACTCTCCAGAGATCACCTAACCCTGTTTGGACATTCTGTAATTCTAGAAATCTGCCGTGCTTCTCTTCTGTGCAACCCTTGGCCCCCAGTCAACCCCTTGTCCTGCCTCTGACCATGGAGCCGTGGGCCCAGGTGGCCGGACCAGCCTCCCAAGCCCCCACCTGCCCCTAAGCTGCCCTTTACCCCTTCTGCATTGGCAGCCTTTATTACCCCTGTTGGGGTGTTAGGTAGGGTATTTCAGAAGTTCAAGAAACAGTATAGACCAGAACAGATAAGTCAGGGATCAGTGCTCCCTAGAAGAGGCCAGATAGTAAATACAGGATCTGGCACAAATAACACTCCCTTTTATCACCTAAAATCTTTTATTACAAAATCATAAGCATGTGATTCTGTAACATAACCATATCACACGCAGCACATCATATGACACTTTAGGTGAAATGTTCAAATTGCTGTCCATCTTGTGCGAGACATTCATACGCCCTACCGACAACACTAATGGCGTTACTTCTGCTGGACCCTGTGTTTTAAGCTTTGGAGAGCATCTGGTCTTTTGTACTAAATCCTGGTGCAGAAGCACAAAGGAGCCACTGATAGTATGTAAACAAATGATGTGGTTGGGGTCCAATGAAACTTTCCTGACCAAAACAGGCGTGGGTGTATTTGACCCAGAGGCCCTGGTTTTCTGGCCCCTGGAATAGCCTCCGGACCTCAGCCGACATCTTTCGGTCTCTCTTCTGGTGGATTCTTTGCACAGAGTCCAGAGTGGACCCGGAGCACACAGGTCAGGCACTGGCACATCCTTGTTCAAGTTCTTTGTTGACACCTGATTACATGGAACATTGGTTTTCAGAAACTTTAAGTCTTTTTTTAGCAACGCCCCCTCCCTTTTTTTCCAGACGAACCTTTACATGTAGCTCCAGTCTGTGAAGGGAACGAGTGGAGGCTTCGTCCCCATGTCCCCTCTCAGGCTTCCCTGGGACGCAGGGCCCTGAGGAGCACAGCTGGAAAACACACCTGGAGCGAGACGGGCACCCGTTTGATGTAACTCAGGTCTCAGCTGGGGTTGTCCGGTGGCCGGTGGCCTACATTTGCTTTCTTTGGATTTCTGGCTGTGCCCTCTGCAATGTCTGTGAGTTTCAGAGTATGATCTGCCTTCTCTAATTTAGGTCAGACCACGAATTGTTTTGTCCCCAGTGCTTCGGTGCAGAATTTTTTATTGTCGACACTATTGCAGATGTCCCCTCCCCAACCTTTGCCACCTCCATCCAGCCGTCTCCTTCCCCCGGCCTTCACCACGCTGTTGTCTGTGTCCATGGGCTATGTGTCTATGTTCTTTAGCTGATTCCTTCATCTTTTGTCCAGTTGCCCCCAGCCAGGAGGAGCAGACTTGGCCGAGTGTGTGGAACTGGAGGGGCTGGGTTCACAGGGCAGCAAGGCCGCTCGCTGACGTTGGAGATCCCTGTTCTTTGGAACCTCCTGCTGGGTTATGGGGCACGTCCCAGTTTCTCCTCTGGCCTGCCCCTCTTTTTTCCTAGTCTGCACCCTGTCTACCACCCCAACCTCCGTTTATTTTCTGTGCAGAACCATGTGGTCATCTTTTATTCTGATTCCTCTGAGGGCCCAGGACCACAGGCCTGTCATGCCTTCCTGGTGGGTTGCCGGGCCTTTTCCAGCATGGGGAGAATGCTCGCTGGAGCCACCCGATAAACCCACTTTTCGCTTTCTCTGTTTACATGTCTTCAGGCTTTTCATCTTTGCATCCTTTTTTTTCCTTTTGTCATATTTATACTCTGAACAGGGAGAGAATTTTGTGTTTCTCCTTTTCCACGTAATATTGTATCACAAACTTTCTGACATGTCATTACATAAATTATTGTTAGTGGCTTTAGATTAGTTTGTTGAGCATCTGAACTGCAGTTTTTCTTCCTTCCTAAACCTTCACAGTTTTGAATAGCACTGTAGGGAATATCCTTGAACGTGGAGTTTTCCCTTTATTTGGGGGGTATTTTCTTAACCTAGATTCTCTAAATTGGAACTTCTAGGCAAAAGATGAACACAGTGTTTCTGGTGATTGCTTCTTAGCGGGATTTATGGTCTTAAAGAGTTAGCACTGTAAGAGGGTATTTATCGTGAGAGGGGTGGATATTTTTCTCCCACTTTGTAAAGGCGAGTATAGTGTTTCCTTCGCCTTGATGAGGGCTGCATAATTAATACGTGGTGTCCGGTTCGACTGGGATGTTTCCTTACGCTCAAGCGGTGATTCCAGCTCTCAGCCAGGCTCCAAGGAAGGTGACTTGTTCTGATGGCTGCTGAGCATTATCCCCGAGAAGCCAGCGGCGTGTGGTGTGGACAAACCAGCAAGCAAGGCTGCAGGCAGAGCAGATGAGTTCCTGGCCCACTCTGACCTGGCTGGCTGCTGGCTGCTGGCCGGTGTGCAGGGCAGCGAGGCAGGAGCGGCAGGTGCGGGGCAGGGACGTGGCGGGCGTGACGTGCCCGACGTGCCCGGAGTCCGTGGCAGACGGTCCTTCAGTGCCAGGCTGCAGCGGGGCCTCCGTCAGACATTCCGGCAAATGACTTGCCACACTTGTGGTGTTAATAGGAGGTAGCTGAAGGTTTGGGAATTAAGTCATCTCATAAACATTTAGATTCATGGTGAAATTACTATTTAATTAGGAAAAGATCTGTAATATTGTACTACTTTTAAATGAAAGTCATTTTGGAGGAATTAAAACTGGGTCATAGCATTAGTGTAATGTTTTAAAATAAACATTACTAAGACATACCGAATGTACCCTAATTGATAAATTAAAGACATTAGTTTTTGCCTTTGGATACTTGATTCTGTTTTAAACACTGATTCTAGAAACCTATCTCTGGATGGGAACTGTTTCTTTCTTTGTTAAAGTGAAGTTTGACAGAGGCTAAAAAATGATATATGTGCTCATTTTGGGAAATAAGGAAAATTAAAATTTTAAGTACTGTATTATTAAATATAACATTAAGATGGATATAGAAGTTTTGAAAGACCTAACATCTACTACCCAAATGCAACCTCTGTGAGTATTCAGGTGCATTTTCTTTATTTGTATGTGTGTGTGTCTTTGCTGTCTGCAGGTTTTTAAATACAATTATGACTATGCTGAATACCCATTTTGTACGTATACTTTTCTGTGATATTATAGGGTCTTCATAATGTAATTTTTAAATTATATTTTAGTGATTATGCTATTACAGTCGTCCCAATTTTTCCCCCTCTGCCCCCTTCCGCCCAGCACCCTTGCTCCCTCAGGTGGTCCCCCCACCATTGTTCATGTCCATGGGTCATGTGTATAAATGCGTATGAATTCTTTGGCTACTCCATTTCCTGTATTGTACTGTACTATACATCCCATGGCTGTTCTGTAATGCCTTAACCCCCTCACCTCTTCACCTGTCCTCCCACACCCTCCTCAGGGGACAGGAGAGGAAGGGAGTCAACGACCGTGTACAAAGTACTCGTGGACAAAGCCGAAGGGGGGTAGGATTGAGGGTGGGAGGTGTGGGGGTGGGTGGGGTGGGGGGAAAGTGGAGACCACTGTACTTGAACAACAATAAAAAAACAAAAAAACTAAGCAAAAAAGAACAACAGAGACAGAATTATGAGCACAGAAAGCTTTTTGAGGGTCTTCATAATATTTTAATAGCTATGTGATACACCGTAATGGATGTAATACAATTTTTTTAGTAATTTGAGTACTTGTAGTTCTTACTATTATATACAGTGCCAAAAAGAACATTTTCATGCATTCCAGCAAATGGTCGTCAGCCTCTCTGGTGACCTCTTTACATGAACTCCTAGAAGTAGTTTTCTTTTTTGGTAAATGACGTTGAGAAGAACCTTTCTCTCTAAGACTAATGATAAAAGTCTTCATATATATATATGTGTGCGTACATATTTATACTTATGCTAACGGGTGTAGTCTTGAGAGTGCCCTTCTCACCATTCTCATTAACGTCGAGATGACCATTTTGTTTTGTTTTTAAGTCTGAAATTAGTTAAGTGATACATGGATAGCATTCCTTTCAAAGACTTAGCCCTGAGAATGTCTGGATTCATGATGAAGGGAGTTTAATCAACTTTCAGGCAATTCACGCAGACTTGAAAATGAAGTTAGTTTCACCATAAGGAAGAGTTTAAATTAATATTTGATATTTACGAGAATAAAGGGCTGCATTAGAGTTACCACTGAAGTTGTATGGAGTGTAATCTTTCTCCATGATGTAAATACCTTCCCGGCGGAGGCTGCGGGGAGTCCCATCAGAGCCCTGCCTGTGGGCGGTGGTGCAGCCTCCCCACGTAGGCCTGGGGCAGAATCGCCATCACTGACTATCTTAATCCACCCAAGACTGTTGGAATCTCAGGATCGCCCCACAGTCTAGAAATTATTAACTTTGATAGGGGCTTCAGACTTTAAATTTAAAATGTCCTTCCTGTAGACCTACTAATGGAGCATATACAAGAAATTCGAAGTTTGAGAAAACGTTTAGAAGAATCTATTAAGACAAATGAGAAGCTACGGAGGCAGCTGGAACGGCAAGGGTCTGAACTGGATCAAGGTAAGAAGGACCTCCCCAGAGTCAGAGCGAGCGGGTGAGCGCTTTGTTCGTGGCGCATTGGCCGGGGAAGCATTCCGTGTGGTGGGCAGAGCATTGGACTTGTGGCCAGAGAGATTGCAGTTCCAATCCCGACTTTGCCGCTTACCTCCAGGGTGTCCTCACGTAACCTGGCTGACTCTCAGTTATAGTGACTCATCTTCAAAACAGAAATAATAATTTCCATCCTGTCCTGTCGTGATGAGAATTACGTGAGCTGACTTAGGTCCGGTGTCCGCAGTCCCTGACAGCACAGCTGTGTGGTCTGTGCTGATTCCCGTCATGGGAGACGCCTGCCAGCCTCTGCCATCCCGAGCTGTGGTTGGCTCCTTATTTGCCTTTGGCAGCTATAGAGAAATAGATACGTATTTTAAAACAAAACAAAGCAGTATTTTATCTTTTTGTTAATAATGAAGTATAAAAATATTAGCATTTTAGCAGTGTGGCAAATCTCACATGCCAATCAGAGGGTCATCAATGATGTTGTGTAGGGAGTTACAGTTAATATTGAATGGAATAGTCTTCCATGAGGAATCTTAAAATTTGTGTTTTTTTCTGTAGGTAAGACATTCATATGATTCAAAAATTAATACCTCCATTCTGCACCCATCCATGCTATTACGCCTCTCACTAGTATCCTTAAACGGTATTTTTAAATGTAAAAACAAACATATATTCTTTTCTCTTCCTCACTTATCCCAAAGGCATAGGATACCTTACAACACTGTCCTGTCCCCTTTTTTTCTTTGACCAATACATTTTGAACATCTTTTCTTGTTGTTCCAAAGAGAGTGTTCTCATTCCATGAAGAATGTGTTTCGAGAACAGCTTTGTGCAAGAGGAGAAGCCTGAGGTTGTTTGGGGCTAGACTACCTGAGTGTGGGTCCCAGCTCTTCCATTTATTAGCTTTGCGACTCTAGGCGGGTCCCCCCACCTGTCCCAGTCTTAATTAGCTTCTGAGAGTCGCCGAAATTAAAGGAGGCAGCGTGTGCGAGGCCTTGCTCCATGCTCCCCTCAGTAAATGGTGGTTTCTTTACCACTGTCAGTTTTATTTTTCTGTTGTATCTTGTATAACATTCCTAGTTTAACACTGCAAAGCTCTGCAAAGATACCGAGTGCTGGAAAGATGTGCTCAATGGCAGCGCTCGAATCTTTGGACCCCTGGTCTAGTTCCCTTTCCTCTCCAGCCCGTCGTGGCCATCAGCCCAGAAGGACGCCTTCCCAGAGTGCTGTGCGTGCGGCTCTTTGGCTCAGGAGGGCTCCATTTCTCTCTCTGCCTCCACACCCCCTACCCTGCATCCTTTGCTCTCACCCCCGGGAAATTTATTAATCTGAGTTATTAGTCATATCAAACACAGGAAAGAAATACACGCCTGGGCCCTTCGCATTCACTCTTGGTAATGCCTGAATTAGATTCATTCTGTTTTACATTTTCCCTGGCAAATCCAATTACAGAATTATTTGGGGGCTCAAATGGCCACCAGCTATTATGGAGCAGGCAATCGCTCTGGAGACTAATTCACTTTGACGGGAAGATTTACAAAGAGGCATTCATAACAGGCTCACGCTGGTGGGAAGACATGCTCTTCTCCCCATGTTGTCACGGCTTCCGAAGAGACAAAGAAGTGGATGTGGCTGCGCCCTGCCCCCACCGCCCCACCCCGCCGTGCAGGGGTTTACTGGGAGGGGGTGTGAGAAGGCATGGCCCTTTGTAACGCTGAGGTGGACTGCTGTTGAGAGCCGTCCTCTCACATGTCGTATCCACCAGCTGTCACCAGTTACACGGGCTTACAGTGGTGGCAGTTGGGGCAGACTGGCCTCCCGCATCAGAAGTGGCCCCCGCTGGCTCCAGCCTCGTCAGGAGCTGCTCTTTGGCCTGACCATTTCTTTGAAAAGTGACCACCTTAGCTGTGGTCATAGACAACTTCTGTAGAGTTTCTCCTGTTCATCCAGATTGTTCCTGGGTTCTGATTTGGCTCCAGCCTATCAGCAGTCCTGAGATTAGTATAAACGGTAATTGCAGTCACAGTAACTTCCATGTTTCTGTTGAGCTAATGGAGACTTAGGGCAGTTATGTGACTTTCCTTAGGTCATGCAGCTATTAAGAAGCCAGAGCCCTGGTTCAAACCCAGCTGTCTCTGAAAACACTCCAGAATTCACAGGGAGAATGAAGGAAAGGTGGTGAGGAGAGATGTATGTGGAGTAAAATCTGTAAGACATCGTGGCGGGTGAATCACGAGCATGAGCGGGAGGGTGGTGCAGAGTGGCAAGTGTGAGCTTTGGCCCTGGGAGACGGGTGCCACACCTTCCTCGTGGGGGGTTGGATGCTGCAGGTAACCACGCTGTGTGGGGTGGGATGCCTTCAGCTGCAGGTAACAAAGTGCGAGTGCTGACCTGAGTAAACAGTGGGGGTTTACGTTCTCTCCCAGAGCAAGTCCAGAGGCAGGCAGTCCAAGGCAGGGTTAGTGCCTGTGAAGACTGCAGTAGCTGTAAGCATCACAGCCTCTCAGGACAGTGTCCAGAGCACGGGAGGGAAGAGGTTGTGGCTTCTCCCTGTCCTGCTCGTTTCTCTGGGCGGGAAGTCTCCCAGAAGCCCTCAGCAGGCTTCCCAGCCAGTCTCCCCGAGAAGCAGCACGTGGCCCTGGTCTAGCTGCACCGGAGGCTGGGGAGCAGGAGGCCGGCACTTGGCTCTGTGGTGTAGTAGACTCAGTCCCTATGGGAGACCAGGGGGAAGCGGGTCCCCCTGCATGGAGAAGGCTCCTGTACGCTGGCCACATGGGATATTTTTCTCCCACTTTGTAAAGGCTGGAAGGGACAGGGTTTCAGAGACAGACCACAGCCCGGGGAGGTGTTTACGGATAAGGAACTGATCGGGGTCGGTAAGTGACCCAGTCTGTCCAGCTTCAGGCCCTGATCTTGTTAGCATATATGTAGAGGCAGTGAGTTTGAGCTAGAAGTTGAAAAATGGTCTGATTTCTGACAGGGGAAGAGGGGGTATGCTTTCTAGGAAAAGGGAATACCTCATTCCTCAAAGTTAGGGAGATGCATGACCACATAGTACGTTTGGGACACAGAAGTGGCCTAGTTTGCTGGCATTTGAGGCAGGAGATTGGAGCTAAGTAATGGCGCTCTGAAGTTTGCCCTGGCGTTTGGCAGTTTTGTTTACCTTTCACGGTGCTGGGCCATCGCATGTCTTTGAGCAGAAAATAACATGAACGGACGGTGTCTAGGATGCTGACCACATTGGCAGAGTGGTCAGGAGGCAAGGTGATAAGGCCTGGACTATAGGGGCAGCGCAGAGGGGACCAGCATCCAGGCATTTGGAGGAAGACTTGGCGGTCGTGGTTGTGTGACTGGGCAGTGGAGCGGGGTGGCTCCCAGGTTTCCAGCTGGGGTTGGGGAGAGGGGTGATGCTGTCAGCAGGCAGCAGCCCCGGAGACGGAGAGCGAGCAGGTTTGGAAGCACGAGGGAGGGAAGGTGAGGAGTTCCGCTCCGGCTCTGTGGGCTGGGGGAAGTCCCGTGGGCTGCGGGGTGTGTGGGTTCGGGCCTCTGGAGGGAGGTCGGCGGAGGTGAAGACTGTCACCCACAAACCCCACCGCAGCCTCGGTCTCCTCCTTTGGGGCAGGTAAGATGCGGGGAAGCTCCATCTCGTTTCCCTTTCCAGCTCACTCTCATTTCCTCGTTCTTACTGGACTCTGGTTAACACCACATGTAGTTCGCAGGATTGATTTTCAGTGTGTGTGCTATTTCCTCATTGTTTAAAGCTGTCTTCTAGAAACTTCTGTACTGACCTGGAGACTCTACATGTTCACTGTGTGTGTTTTTATAGGTTCTTCAAACACTTTGGTTTGTGGGTCAGAGCTGCATAATTCTCTGACGTCAGAAATTCGTTTCCTGAGGAAGCAGAACCAGGCCCTCAATGCAATGCTTGCCAAAGGCTCCAGAGGTAAGCACTGCAGGGTCCGGAGGTAACCGCCTGCAGCCTTCAGGGGCCCGGAAAGAAGGCAGGCTCTGGAGTAGGTTTGACCTGGGTTCACGCCTTTGGCCTTGTGACTTTGGGCAGGTGACGTGACCTCTCTGAACCTCAGCATTCTTAGCTGTCAACTAGGACTGCCATACCTCATCGGGCTGCCGTGACAGACCCTGTAAAGCCCTGCGCACAGGGCACGTTGCTTTCTTGGCTCGCCGCCCACCCTCCGTACGACCTCCCCTCTCGTCTTGGCGGTGGCGGAGGGGAGGCCCGGCAGTGTTTACGGCCACGTCTCCGTCAGAGATTTCCTGCCATCAGGAACGTTTTCCCAGTATTTCTCATGAAGGTCCCTTTTCTTAATTGCTTCTGTTTGGAGCTTAGCCTCCCAAGAACTTTCACTTACTTTACCTCTTAGACCCTAACGTGTTCCCAGACTGACCATTGTCAGTCCTGCTTCACCGGTGAGAAACTGAGGCCAAAGGCGTTGACTGCACAGTGGGCATGGGGCAGAAGGTGGTGCCGCTGGAACCTGGGCCACTTTTTCCAGAGGTTTTGGTTTGAGAGATGAAATTTGGGCTTCTGCAGGTCATTCATTCATCCAGCAAACACCCCCGGCTCCGGTTCTGTGTCAGGGCCTGGTGGATCCGAACAGAAATGAACGAGAGCTGGTCTGATGGGGGACCTGGCCGGGCTGCCCACGGCAGGCCAGGCTGAGGACTAGCCTCCACGGTAGAGGCCGGCTCAGGGAGCTGCAGGGCCCTGGAGGTGGCATCTGACCCAGGGAAGGCTGGTCTCCAGAAGTGGGGTCTGGAAGGATCAGTACGGACTTACCAAGGTGCCTAAGGTTGAGGAGAGCCAGGACCTTTTCAGCAGAAGAGAACAGACAGGGCCTCGGGGTTGGAGGCGGGGCAAGGGTAGACCAGTCAGGAGTTACTTGCCGCTGAGTGGGCGGAGTCTGCGGGGGGCGGAGAAAACTGGCTGGAAGTCGATGCGTTGAGGTGAAGAGTGGAATCAGGAAACCTGGGTCTGAGTCCTGGCCCTGCCACTCGTTGGCTGTGTGACCTCGGGGAAAGTCTTAGCCTCTTCGCTCCTTATTTTCCTGTCTGGAAAACGGGGAGAAGACTAGTACCTGCCTTGGAGGTTTGCGATGAAGAGTAACTAAGATGACGCATGTGAAGGTCTTAGTGCGATGGCTGCAGGTAGCTGTTAACAGCTCTGCCAGCAGCCGCACTGTGGGGTGCTCACCGCCCTCAGGGGGCTTGTGAGCCCCGTGCATGTAGTTGCCCGGCTAATCCTCACACTGGCACAAATGAGGAAACTGAGGCACAGAGAACTGAAGAAACCCACTCAAGGTTGTGGAGTCAGTAAGCAGGAGAACACTCGAACTCGAACACGGCCCCTGACTCAGGGTGCTGGGCGAACTCATTCCTTAGGGCGGGTGCTGCCCTCGGAGCCTGGGGGTGGATGGGTCCCGGGCTACCATCTGCCCAGCCCGCTGGCCTGGCAGCAGGGAGGCTTGTGGACTTTTCCAACACCCAGTGCCAGGATCTGGGGCCTGTTTCTTGCCTCTGCCTGTAATTTCTCCCCACTGTTTGCTCTGTGAAGGCAAAGTAACTAGGTTTGCACAGCCCATTATTTAATAGAAAATTAAACAGGGCCATTTCATCCCAGTGACGTTTAATCTGCAGCCTTGATGTTGACAGATTTATCTGCCCAAAATGCATAAGATAATTGGAATGCCAGAATCATAAATGCCAGATTAAATCTCATTCTCTTTTGTATTCTTGGAGTGCTCGAGCTGAAGTGCTGTATTTGCGTAATAAGGTTGGAAAAAACAAATGGTGTCTCTTCTCAGTGGCGCGTTTTGGGTTTGCAGATAAACAGAAGGAGAATGAAAAATTACGAGAGTCCCTCTCCAGGAAGGCTGCGGACCTCGAGCACCTCCAGCTCGAGTTTGCCGGTGTGAAGGCGGAGAAGGGAAGGCTGCAGCAGGAGGCGGGCCAGTGGCGGAGGCACAGCCAGCAGCTGCTGCAGGAGCTCTGTGACAGCCGCAGCGAGCTGAGCAGGTAGCAGCCTGGGGCACCCGTGTCCTGGGGCATGTGCGGGTGTCCATGTTCTGGGCCGCAGGCACGGCACAGGGCACATCCACCCGCCTAGTGCACGGGGCCGGCAGTAAGACAGTGAGCACCCCAACATAGAGTGCATCAGGCGGGATCAAACTTACCAAGGGAGATCATTGGAGGAAGGAGGATGGGGCTTGGGGCAGGCTGTGGTGGTTTTTCCAGGGCGGGTCAAGGGAGGCCTCCGCAGAGGTGCCCTTTGGAAAGTGAGGGCGTGAGCTCTGCAGTATCTGGCAGAAGGTCATCGTTGGAGGAAGGGTACAGGCCCTGAGGCACGTGTCCTTGGTCTCTGCAGGGAAGAGCAGGGAGGCTGAGGCGGGGTGAGGGCAGAGATGTGGCTGAGTGCTGGATCATGCAGGACCTTGTCACACGATAAAGACTTTGGTTTTTGCTGTGAGTGACACAGCGAGGTTGGGGAAGATTCTGAGGAGGGCACAAATCAGACTTCGGTTTTAAAGGGGCTGTACCAACTGCTCTTTGCAGTTTCCCCTTAGACCCCGTCTTGTCCCCCATGTCTTCCGTCTTCCTATCAGCACTCTGTGTCCGGCCCTTTTAGAGTGACCAACATCAGCCTGGGTCACCCGAGGTGGTGCGGTGATTCAGCCAGATCAGTGACTTGGCCGTCACACAGTCCTGGCTCCTCAGTGGGGTGGTGCACCCTGGAGAAGACATAGCGTTGGAGCCTCACCGCCTCCTCTCTGAGTTGAGGGTTAGCACGCCCCTTATTAGGTGGTGCCTCTGAAGATTTCAGGAGATGACGTGTGTAAAGGGCTGGGCTCGGAGGGGCACTCTGGAAGTGGTGGCTGTGACTGGAATTCTTAACCATGCTTGTCACCTAGTCCACGCTCTTCTAGCTGGAGGGTGGATTGGCTCACTGTGGGGTGAGACGGAGTCCCTCTGAGTTGGAACTGACCTCTCCTCCCGTGGTGCTGGGCCTCTGCAGGGTGCAGGAGGAGGTGAAGTGGAGGCAGCAGCTGCTCTCACAGAACGACACGGTGCTTCAGTCCCTGCGAGTGGAGCTGAAGGTGTATGAGAAGCTGGACGAGGAGCACAGGATCCCCAGAGGTGCGGGCACGCTGGGCCGAGGCCTCTCTCGGCCTGGGCTGTGCGTCTTGGGCTGTCTGCTCACCCAGACAGGGTCCAGCGCTCCTTCCTGAAATGCTGTCCACGCTCACCTCCCGGGTGCAGTAGGTGAATTGTGCAGCTTTTTCTGAAGGAGCCGCAGGAAACATGGAAGGCTCAGGAGTCAGGCCAGCTGGGCTCTGGGTTTCCACTGGCTTGGTGCCCGGCTCTGGCTTTCGGCAGGTGGTCTCACCCCTCTGGGCCTGCGTCTTCCTCTGGAAAACATGCCTACTGATACCTGTTCTGTAGATTGTCGTGAAAATTAGGTGAAGTAGCGTATTAAACGCATCCTCGCACAGCACCTAGCACACAGCAGGCACTCGGGATAGGACTCGTATTAGGGTTTTCTTGTCAGTGTGTGTTTCTTTTGCCCATTCAATCAGCACGTGTTTATGGAGCTCCCACTCCACACTGGGCATCGCTCAGAGGTGGGTAATGGCCCCGGTCCTCTCTGTACCCCAAGAGAGACTCGACTGACTGTAAACTCAGATGTTTTAGAATCAATTTTGAGGTGTGGTGGTTTTTTTTTAAGCTAATTTTCCACATGATTTCTCCCTATTGAAAGTTTATCTAGAAAAAGGTCACCTCCCAGCTTTTATTTTCTCTTCAAGTTGCTGTTCTTATTCTTGTTGTGCCTTTTTAATATACTCTGGCTCTTAAAATCAGCCCCTTTCATTCTATAATTCCACCCAAATAGATTTTATTACTACCAGACATAATTTCAGGGTTTTGGTGTGCAATTTGCTGGGCTTTTATGGCCAGAAGTGAAAATTAATTTCCAGCTCTTATTTAGCCTGTGGAATAGCAGCAATTAAGCCTGCCAATATTTTTGTTTTTAAAGTCAGGTTGTTATTTTAAATTGTACCTGGTTTTGAGGAAGGGAAGGGTAGGTGCTGGTGGTGGCGGGTTTAAAACTCTGTCAAGCTCCTTCGGGGGCTGATCCTGTGGTGGAAGAAGATGACAAGGCTTCCCTTTGCACATGTTTGCAGAGTCCCGAGCAGAGGCATTGGGAGAAGCCTGGCAGGGGCAGGCCCCTCTTGGTGACCTGCGTGACCTGCTGACGGAGATCCGGGCTCTGCGGACACAGCTGGAAAGGAGCATCGAAACCAACAGCACGCTGCAGGGCAGGCTCCAGGAGCAGCTGGCGCAGGGCGGGGGCCAGGCTCCAGATGCAGCTCTCGCTCTGGCTCTCCAGACCCTGCCCACGCCCGAGCCCCTTCAGCCAGACCAGCACGGTACTGCTCCCGGCTCTCCTCGCTGTCAGAGGAGGCAGCCCTCCTCCTCCACCGGGCTGTCCCATAGTCCGTGCGGGACCCTCGAGCTCCTGCATGTTGCCCTTGCTCACAGAGGTGTCCTTCCCTTGACAGCAGACATACTGTACCCTGACCACTAATTAGCTGTCACCTTTGGCAAAACGGTGTAATCTCTGTCTGGGGCCCCCTGGTTCTCAGGGAAGGAGAGTTCGGGCTTCTGGCTTCTCATACACCTTCAGCTCCACTCGCAGGGACTGAAGCACCTCATGGCCTCTGGTCTTGCTCCCTCCCATCCATTCAGTCCTGCCCACGTCCCTTCACTGCTGAAAATCCAGTCCCTCTTCCTGCCTTTGATAGGGAATTTAAACCCTTTGTCCTGGCTGTCCGTGTTTTTCTGACTCTGAAAAGCATCCTGGTAGTTTGAAAACTGGTTCCGTTTTGCACTTGTTTGTGGGTTTATTGTCTAGCCCAGCAGAGGCTGTGCAGGGTGGCGAAGGGGGCGAGACTGGGCTCAGTCCGCTGCCACCTGCCCAGCAGAGGGCCAGGCTCACAGCAGTCGGGCAGGCTGTCCTCTTGGCTCCGGATGGAGGAACCAAGACCCAGCGAGCTGCCCAAAATGACATAATGAGTCGGTGACAGAGCTGGAGCTAGAAATGGTTTTTCAGCTCTGAGTCCAGAGCTGTCCCCGAAGCACCACCTGACCTTCCGGAGCCTCAGGGGCCCAGGGTTCCCCAGCCCGTCCAGTGGGACGAAGGATGCCAATGCGTTTCATACACACGTGTTGTGAGGGTTTGGGCAGTCTTTACTTGAACTGGAAATTATGTCTGTTGCCTTTAATTAAAAAAATTAACATCTCTTAAAGACTTCCAGTCAGCCTGCTTTAGAGCTTGTGATTGGCTCATCGGTTTTTCCTTGTAAGGATTTTAAGTTTTTAACTAAAAAGATGATGTGACAATATGAAACAGAAAGTGGGGAAAAACCCTTCACGATCTACAAAAAGACAGTTCTTTTTTGGCATACTTTGTCCATTCTAGGCCACATTTCCCAGGTGTAGGCGTGCATTTGTGTTGCTCAGAGTGGTTTTGTGCCGTTCTGTGTCCTTTCTCTGTTTCCGCCCAGTCTCACACCATAAATGTTTCCCCTCCTCCCCACGGGCTTTCTGATGATTGTTTGCAGGTTACTCTTGGTCGCCAGACCGTGACCCTGGTGATTATTAGGTCTCTGATTTGGGGCTTTATTAGACATCAGTGTAAATATGCTTTTTGCTGGTAAACAGAATTCTTAGCATAAAATTCTACTAGGAGAGTCTCAAAGGGCCTGAAGGTGCCATATTGTCACCTCCTGCACGAGGCACACGTCAGCAGTGGGCATTGCTATTTCAAATGCAGGTGCTTCCCTTCTTAGAGCTTTGAGAGGGGCCCAGGAGACTGTGGGGACAGGCTGGGGGAGACCGAAGCAGGGGATAGTCCTGTGCTTGGGGTGCCCGGGCGGGGGAGTCGGGCCGCTGGAGCAAGGAGGCCACCGCACAGCCTGTGCCTGCTGCCGAGCCTGGTCCGGGGTCAGCCCTGCGTGGGCCTCACAGGGGCCCCCCGAGAGTGTGTCGGGAATCACATGGCTGCCACAGAGAAACACTTCCGTGAGTGAAGGTTCGAGCTGTATCTAGGCAGCAGCCTCTTTCCCTTTGCGGAGGACTTTTTCAGGACTGGATTTACGTGCCCCCATTGGAAAGTTCTGCTGGGAAGACTGCTGTTTGGGCAGAAAGAGATACCTTTTAGGAGTCAGAGTGTACCTTCCAGAGGTGCCTGGGCAGGAGGAGCTGGGTGGAAGGAGCCGGGTGGGGCATCTGAAGGCCTGGACGGTTCAGGCTCTGCCAGCGTACTCTGGGCAGTGCCAGGCAGGTCACCTCTCTCTGTTTCTCTGCCTTGGTCTCGTCTTCCAGGAAATCTGAATTACATTGCCCTCCTGCTCACCAAGCTTCTTACTGCATTCCTAAGTGGAAGTGGTTTCAGAATCAGAAGTCACAGGTCATCTTGTACAGCATCTTGCTGATTTCTCCTCCTTGTATTGTTTCAAATGCATCACCTCCCAGATCCTACTTTGGGTCACTCTTCTGTCTTACTTGGGTTCCTGCAGCAGCCTGCAGACTCACTCTTGCAGTCCAGAGCGCAGATCTCAGCTGGACACTGCCCTGCCCCACCCACCCTGGGTGGGTCCCCACAGTCCTCACAGTGGCTCTCTGGGCTCAGCCGTTGACCAGCTTCATGCCCCCTGGGGGTGTCATGACTGCTCACTGCTCAGTGCCTTTGTATCTGCTCCTTCCTCTGCTTGCATTTCACTCTCCCCCTGGGTTAGCACCCTTCCTCTGAGCTCCCGCAGCCCCGGGCCTCCCTCGCTTAGCCCTGACCACCCCAGAGGGAAACTGCCTGTTTACCTGAGTGGACAGGAGGGTCCTCCCCGGGAGGGACTGGGCCGGCTCACTATTACCCGGTGTCTGCACCGGCCCCAGCAGGAGAGGTGCCAGCGAGGGTGTGGACAGATGCTTGTGTGCTGGGCACTTTACTCTTCAGTTCTCTCTGTGAAACTAAAACAGTTTGTTTTCCTTCTCTTGTTTTGCATTTTGTAGATGGTGACAGACATCCTGTGGCCACTACTGGCAATTCATGTGATCTGTTTGACCCCACCCAGGCGGTGGCTCCGAGATCAGGTACAGAGCGGGAGTCTGGGCTGATGACAGCAGGCTTGGGGTCACCTGTGGGGCTTTTTAGGTGGAAGAGAAGGAGGTCCCTGGTCTCAGCGTGGCAGGGCGTTTGGCAGGGTTTGGGATTTCATGTTCTTGGCATCTCCATCTGGCCATCCCCTTCTCTAAGCCAGCTAGTTTGTTCCTGGGTATTACCAACCTCAGTGAGGTCATCGGGTCTCTGTTGATTAAAGTGTGACACCTTTGAGTCGCTTTCAAGGCCCCCCAGCAGCCAGCCTTGGTGCAGCCTGTCCGGCCTTGTCCCTGTGTCCTCGAATCGAGATCTCATCCAGATGGGTCACCACCCTGCAGACATGGTCCCTCTTCCCTCCCTGCCAGATGGCCCTTGTCCCTCTCTCTGCCAGTGAAGCTGCTTCCTCCATGCTCACCATGAGTGCAGACTTCACTGGTGTCCCCGGTCAGAATTATTTGTCCAGACATATTTGGGTCCAAAGGGAAAAGCAACAGGCTTTTACCTCTGTTTAGCATATTTTTTGCTACCTTTTCAACCCAACTCAACTGTTGCTTTTCTAGCAATCCTTCCCTGACCTCCCTTCCCGCAGAGAATGGATGTGTTTTTAACTCTGAGCCCGCCCTTCATCATTGTGCTGTTACTCCTCCCACATGGTGCCTGTACTCCGAGCAGACCACAGGCTCCTGGAGTGCAGACACTGGCTTGATTCATTTGTGAGAATCGGGGTCTTCTGCAGAGTGGGTGCCTGACCTGATAAGTGTTGGTTGAATTGAACTGAGTGTCTCCCACAAGATGCAAAAGCCCAGTGTGGGGTAATGTACAGGCCGAGGGCCGCTCTTAGCCCTCCCGCCTGGCTTCAGCGTGGTTGAACGCAGCTCATGGAACGGACTGCTGCCCCCAGTGGATCTGACATCTTCCCTCTCATTCTGTGGCTTCAGAGATTCCTCCACCCTCTAGAAACGACGTGGACTCCCTCTCCCGTGACAGTGGCAGCTCTACCACCAGTGCCCCATGCGTGTCTCGCCTGGTTCCTGGCCACCACCTGTGGGCCAGCAAGAGTGGCTGCCACGTCCTGGGCCTGATTGAGGACTACAATGCCCTGTGTAAGCACATTGGCCAGGGCCAGAAGCTCCTTGCTGAGATGGACATTCAGATCCAAGAGGATCCCAGCCCCTCAAGTCAAGAGCAGGGAACAAAGGTAACCTGACCCACAGAGCTGGAGGGAGGCGTGGACCTGTCACCTGAGGGTGCTCGGAGGCAAGGGGCGCGAGTGTCCTCACTCAGGCCTGGAAACAGGGGCCTTGGAAACGTAGCCCGTGGGAGCGGAGAAGTTGGGTCCAGTCTGGGGGACTGATGCTCTTTCCGGTGGGAGGGACACTTGTCAAGGCTGCTGCCCTGCAGCACTGCCGTCGCTTCCCGGGGATCTGCCCGGTGTCTGCTTCTTTCTGTCCAGTCTTCCATCCATCCTTCTGCCCTTTGGTCCTTCAGTGTGTCCATTGGTCTCCTGCCCAGTCACCTAGCTATCACCCGCCCAGGCCTCTGTGTGGGCTCAAGCTGCTGTGAGTGAGAGAGCAACATTCCCATGCTTCACGCAGCGGGTGGCAGCCACACGGGAGCTTCTTAGCAGCTCTGCTGAGCCCCCGGTGTGAAACGGCCCGCAGCCCCTCCAGACTGCTGGCGCTGCCATCTCTCCTTGAAGGGCAGCTTTTCAGGTGGTGTTTTCTCCCATCCCAGAACAGCCCTGGGAGTGGATGACATCATTCCTGTTGCTCAGTGCTGGGCTGCAGTGCCTTGGAGCCGTTGAGATTGGAGCTCAGTTCTCTGCCCTCCAAGGCCCTCTCTGTCTCTACTCAGCTTCCCGAAGAACGCTCTTCGTCCCCTCACTCCCCTGGGCAGAGACTCCACGTGCCCCCGGGAGCAGTTTGGGTGCCAGGGGCCCCTCATTTGCAGGCCTGCTGGCTTCCTTCCTCCTACCTCCATCCCCAGGCCCCCTGGGGTGCCCTTCCCCCATCAGCCTTAGCTGCCTGCTGTGTCCTGCTTGCTGGCCACTACTGGCTTCCAGTCCGAGCCCTGATGCCCTCTGGGCTGGAAGACCCCCTCAGTGCCTTGTAGCTATGTCTTCTTCCTGCCTCATCCTGCTGAAATCTTTCTCCGTTAAAGTTACCTTTTTCTGAGGACTCCTGTGCCAGGTGCTTGACATCAGATTTCCTTTTTTCTCCCAGACTGGACCCAAATTCTACTGGTCCCTTTTCCTGGGTTCTTCCTGAGGCTACTTGAGCCCCCTGCTTTCTGATACCTATTTTGCCTTTTTGTTTACTGTTACATTGTAAAGGTCAATTTTGCATTTTATATTTGACTAGATAAGCTCCAGGAGAGCAGGGATAGTGTCTTGCTCAAGATTGTCCACTACCTGGCTCAGGGCCTGGAATAGGTGTGTGGTAGATATTTGTTGAATGAATCAATAAGTATTAATAAGATTTTTGTTCTTTTGTGATTATAATCTTTATTGTGCAAAAGTTAGAAACTAGAGAATCATAAAAACAAAATATCAAAATACCACACAGTGCTCAACACTTAAAATGTTGATAATACACTTTTAGCTCATTCATATAGCTTACTTATGGTTCCAACATATATGAATTTTATATTTTGACTTTCAGTTCACAGTATATTAACATTTTTCCTGTCTCACTCATTATGTTTTAGAACTGATTTTTATGGCTGGAAGTAAGCTGATGTGGATTTATTTATTGTTTCACCTGGCTGTTGGATATTTCAGTTGTGATGGTCCTTGTAAATGCGTCACTGGTCCTATCTTTGACCAATGTGTTAGGGATGAGTTTCCAAAGGTGGAGTTGGACACTCCAAGGCCGTGTGAACGCTTCAGGGCCCCTGTGGCAGACCTGGCCCCGCCCCTTCCAGGAGCCCCGCCCTTTCCAGGAGCCCCGCCCCTTCCAGGAGCACTGCTGTGTGGCTGCACCTTTGTCTTCCCTGAGCAGTGTTATCTAGAAGTGGCTTTGTGGCCAGTTTGATAGCTGAAAGGGGTGTATTGTTTTATTTTTATTTACTTTATTTTGAAGACAATGCCCTTTTGTCTTTTAAAAATGTATTTTGGGAGTTCCAGCCAAGATGGAGGAGAAGGTAGAAATCCTTCACTTCCTCACACAACCCAAAGGAGGATAACAACCAATCAAAAATCAGTAAACAACCAAAAGCCCCAGAAAGTCAAACTGCATGGAACTCTGACAACTAAGGAATTACAGAAAAAATCAGCCAGAACAACCAGACTGGTGGTGCGTGGACTGGCCTGCAGACTCACAAAACTCTCAGAGATGGGCAGCCCGGGGGGGGGGCAGGGCTGGCTGTGGCGTTCAGTGAGCTGCCCCAGGAGGGGCTGACTTAAGGGGACCCAAAGGTGGCTGTGGGCATTGCTGGGGTTGCCATCGTGGGAGATACACCCAGTCTCACACAAGAGCCCCATGAAAAGTATGCTAGGGACAAGCAGGGGAGCTGCACTGTTCCGTCTCTGGGCCCTTCCCACAGGCAATTCCTGAGCGCAGCAAAGAAGGCCCCAACCCCTTACAGCCTATCAGCTTCGCCAAGACAAAGAAATAGGGCCCAAATGAAAGAGCAGGGTATAACCTCAGAACTAAGCAATGAGGAGATCGCCAGCCTATCTGATAGAGAATTTCAAGCCCTGGTAATCAGAATGTTCACATATCTAATTGAGTGTGGTTGAAAAATGAAAAAAACAAATGAAGGATATCCAAAGTGAAATAAAGCAGAATGTTCAGGGAACCAACAGTGACAGGAAGGAAACCAGGACTCAAAGCAACGATTTGGAACAAAAGGAAAAAATAAACATCCATCCAGAAGAAAGTGAAGAAACAAGAATTCAAAAAAGTGAAGGCACTCTTACAAGCCTCTGGGACAACCTGAAACTTTCCAATAGCAGATTATAGGGGTGCCAGAAGGAGAAGGACAACAGCAAGAAACTGGAAACTTATTTGAACAAATAATGAAGGAGAACTTTTCCAATCTGTTGAAGGAAATAGACTTCTAGGAAGCCCAGAGAGTCCCAAAGAAGTTGGACCCAAAGAGGAACATACCAAGGCACATCATAATCACATTACCCAAGAGTAAAGTTAAGGAGAGAATCCTAAAAGAAGCCAGAGAAAAGGAGACAGTTATCTACAAAGGAGTTCCCATAAGACTCTTAGCCAATTTCTCAAAAGAAACCATGCAGGCAAGAAGAGGCTGGAAAGAAGTATTCCAAGTCATGAAAGGCAAGGACTTATATCCATGATGACTCTATTCAGCAAAGCAGTCGTTAGAATGGAAGGGCAGATAAAGTGTTTCCCAGATAAGGTCAAGTTAAAGGAGTCACCAAGCCCTTATCATATGAAATGTTAAAGGGACTTAGATATCTAAGAAAAAGAAGATAAAAACTATGAACTGTAAAATGACAGCAAACTCACAACTATCAACAAATGAACCTAGAAGAAAAGAAAAACAACAAAAACAAAAACTAAGCAAACAGAACAGGAATAGAATCAGAGAAATGGATATCACACGGAGGGATTTCAGTGGGGAGGGGGGGCGGGGAGGGAGGAATGGGGGGAAAGGTACAGGGGAGAAGCATAATCAGTACACATAAAATAGGGAGAGAGAAAGGTATAGGAAACAGGATGCAAAGAACTTACATGTACAACCCATGGACATGAGCTAAGGGGGGGAATGCTGGAGGGCTGGGGGGACACGGTGGAGGGGGGATAAAGAGGAGAAAATTGGAAAAACTGTAATAGCATAATCAATAAAAAATACTTTAAAAATTACCAAAAAATATAGTTTGGGTTTCCCCCTTCTGTTCACGTTCCTTGCTTTCTCATGCTCTTGGCATCCCAGTGTGAGTTGGCTTCTGCCAGCTCAGAGAGGGTGGGAGGGACTCGTGAGGCCGAGCTGTGCAAGGCAATGAGCAGAGCTGTCCAGGGGGCGGCGGGGACAGAGGAGTCCATGTTGCCTCCCTTGCTGTTGGCGGTGCTTGCCACCCCGAGAGGCAGTGAGAGTGGTCCCACCATGCTGCTGCTGCTTGGCGTAGTAAACACAGTTAATGCAGGTGGTTATTAATCATGGTTATTGACTGGGCTAAAATCACCACCAAAATTCTCTCATGATCTGTAATTCACCCGCCTTTAAGAACAATAAATTGGTGTCATCTGGCCCCAGGCTCTTGCTCAGCATGTGGAACACGAGCCCTGCGGTCTGGAGATTTATGCCGCTCGTTGCAGCTGGCTCGTCCCCGGTCTTTTTCAAGACTCCACATAACAGCCTTCTTATCCCCCCACACAGGGTCTGTACCTGGCACCCTGGAGCAGGTTTGTCTCCGGCGTGAGCAGAGCCAAGCTGGCCCTGGAAGAGGCCGAGAGGTTGCTGACGCTTCTCTGGAGGGTCTCACTCCCCACAAGTGGCCAGTGCACACTGCACTGTGAGCAGGTGGGTGGTGCCACATTGGTTCAGAGGCTCAAGGATGCCACTAGGGCTCGTGTCTCAGTCTCTTGTGCATCCAGCCCAGGACCTGGCTCACGGCAGTCGGGCGGGTGCTCAGTATGGGGACTGTGTTGGGGGGGTGGCGGGAGGAGGACAGGGAAGGTGGCATGTTTGTTAAGAGCAGCGTGCCAGGCACCATGCTGGCTGGCCCCTGCGTGTTCCCCCTCCGCCCCCCCCGGCAGCCCTGCTGCCCTCACTCTGCCCCCCTCCCAGGACATCAGTGTTGAGGGAGATCCTGTTTGCCTTCCACACCTGAGGAAACTGAGGGCGGGGTGGGGGGGTGAGGGCTGTGCTGGAGGTTACAGAGCTGGCGTGAAAGCACAGGTGTCTGAGTCCAGAGGATGAACCCTGGTTTTATGGGCTTTGGGTCCAAGCTCGTTCCCTTCTACTCAGAGTCTCAGTTCAGATGCTTTTCTCCGACGTCTGATGCCTTTTGTCAGCTTTTGGCATCATATTTGGTGGGCCTCGTTCAAGTCTGTTTTAACTACTTAGAAACTACGTTTTAAAAATCAGTGAAAAATCACTCGTTATAAAACCATTGAAACTTCCCTTAAAAGCTTGACTTTGTAGTAAGGCGAGTGTGACTAAATTACGAACAGTTGCTCTCGCACCAACAGGAGTCAGCAGCGCGGAGTGGCCCCTGGTTTTCGTCTGCGGGGAAACATGCATCGTGGCAGATGAGCGCCCACGTGGTGGACAGAAACCACCCGGGAGCAGGAGTGCACAGGTTAAGGAGGCCTTAGGGCTCTTTGCAGGGCGGCCTGATAGATGTTTGCCCCTTCACTTCTCTAACCTACAAGTTCTTGCCACAGGCCGGCAGGAAGGCAGAAGGGAACGTGCGTTCCATGTCGGCGCTCACCCGATCACCCCCTTGCTAGCTCCCCGGTCTGTCAGCCGAGGTGGAGGAGGAGCAGCAGCGAGGCAGCTCTCTCTGTGGAAGGGTCTCAGGAGCCTGTCCTCAGGTTCCCTCTCGGATCCTGGGGAGCAGGTGTGGGCGCACTAAGCTCGGGACGTGTGCCACCAGTCCTGGCGCAGGAAAGCCAGCTTTGCTGGTGGGGCCTGGAGTGGGAGAGGGAGCGTCGGAGGGAGGGGGCCCGTTGGCGTCCGGCCCGCACTGGCCTTTCCTCCTAACCCGCCAAGTGCTTTTCTGTCTTAGGTGTAGGTGACACAGATGTTCTTCTACCTGTCCCCTCCTCCCTCCCAGCTGGCTGGCTCCTGGCCTTTCAAATCTCAGCTTGCATGTTCCTTCAAGGTCAGAAAGGGCTCCCTGTTCACTCAGTCATAGCTTTTGTTCAGCACGCCCCTAGCACAAATTATAATTACATATTTGTTTGTTTAGTGTCTGCCTTCCTCTGCTTTCAGTGAGGGGCCAAGTCTAATTTGTTTATGTTTTAAATGAATCAATGAATAATTTCCTTTCATACTCGAACCTTTGTCCACAGGATTTTTAAAGCACAATGTGTCTGAACTAAACAATTTACCCTCAATGCAGTGTTTTTGTCCTCAGCACATGGTGATGTCTGATAAATAGACAGAGTGCAGTTCTTACTCCTCTCCCCGCCTGTGTTTCTTATGTCTGTCCCTGCCCGTGTTCCATATCTCTGTCCCTGTCTGTGTTTTGTACGTCTGCCCCTGTCTGTGTTCCGTAGGTCTGTCCCTGCCCGTGTTCCGTAGGTCTGTTCCTGTCTGTGTTCCATACATCTGTCCCTGTCTGTGTTTTGTACATCTGTCCCTGCCTATGTTCCCTACATCTGTCCCCGCCCGTGTTCTATAGGTCTGTCCCCACCCGTGTTCCGTACAGCGCCTTTTTCTTGGTGTGAAATGTGTGTGAATCAGATCTCCAAGTTTTCACCAGCAACCCCAGTGGCTTTTCACTCCTGGTGTTTTCTCCGAGTGTCATTCATTGATTTGCCTTTTGCATTTAATACATTGTCCCTCTAGTCCCTTGGCCTCCTCAGGAAAGTGTGACTATACACTCAGTTTGTCTAAGAAAGTTGTGGGAGGTTGCAAATATATTCACCTGTTCATTTATACATTTTTTAAAGGGAAGGATAACCGATAAGAAATGCAGGCTACCTGTAGGGGTGAGAAGGATGAGGGCGGAGGGGCAGGATGGAAGGTAGCTTTCTGGGAGTGGCCCTGGTTTTCTAAATGTGACTTTGAAATCATATGAGTGCTTTTACATAATTATAAATAAAAATAAATCAAAGCGAGAATAAAAGCTGTTTCTAAAGATTCATAGCAAGATGCAGTGCCCAGACCTTGGTGCGTATGGTGTGGAAGGCACAGGCGCACAGAGGAGACTCGTAGTCGCCGACGGTGCTTCGGCTGCCTGCTGTCCCTCGGGGAGACACTCTGAGGGCAGAGAGAGCTGCAAAGACATTTGTGGCTGTTTTCAGTGATTAAATTGTTAGTAATAATGCTGGTGTGGATATTATGAAACTGTTATATTTCTATTATAAGATAAAACAAATATGTTGAATTTTTTGCTGTCACAGAAGAGATAAAATAAATTTAAAAAAATCAATGAAGTAAAATTCCTGTAATCCTTAATTTTTGGAAATTAAGGATTTCCAAAATTGGAAATATCAGTATGAACTCACGATGTATTTACTATTTAAAAAATTTACGCATTCTTTCTACTTAAAAGACTTTAAAAGTGTTCAAACCAGAACAGTGAGTGCCTCTAGTGCCAACTTTTGGTTTCTAAATACCTTTCCCCACTGAAAGGAACTAGGGAGTCCTTGGAGAAGTGGCTTGATTCTAGATGTGGGGCAGGAAATGTACGATAGGAGCTTAGAACTGTTTTTATCCTGGGGGAGGGGGGTGGGAAGTGAAACTTGCAGGTTTGCGGGGTCTTCAAGGTCTGGCTCCTCGACCGGCAGCATCAGCACCTCTAGGAACGAACGGGCTGGAAAGGCCGATTTGGGGACCTCATCACAGACCCACGGAATCAGAAAGTCTGGGAGTGACCCCACATTCTCTTTTTACAAGTCCCACCGGGGCTCAGGGAGCTGCTGGGTCAAAAGAAATTTAAGAGACAAATCAGTCAAATGCAGAATGTGGTGATTTTTGTAATCCAATTTAATTAGAATCAAACCAGTTGTTAAATGAAGCTGTGGTGTGGTCAGAGAAATGTGTCTGCTGACTTGCATTTGGTGACAGGAGGCGGTCATTGTCATTGTTCAAGCTCTGATCATATTGTGTGGGTTTTTTTTTAAGAGAATCGTTTTCTTTTAGAGCTATACATTAAAATGTTTTACGGATGAAATGTGATTGGCTTCTAGGATCAGTTTTCAAAGTACTCTTAGAGCGAGGATGTTGATGGAACAGTTTTGGCCACGATTTGGTCATTCCTGGGTACCTTGGTGGTCCCTCGTCCCGTTCTTTCTACTTCTGTAAATGTTCGAGTGTCTTCATTGTGAAAAAGAAAACAAATGCGACACACAAAGAATGCCCCAGCTCCAGAGTCCGGTGGACGGACGGACAGACGGATACTCATGGGGGCGGCGGGTGCTTTTTGGCTCCGCGCTCAGCTCTGTGGAGCTCCTCTGGGAGCGAGGCTCTCTGTGCTTCACTTGGGGTCTCACTTTCTCCGTGACAGTGGCCTCCAGCAAGTTAGATATTGATTACTGCCATTTTCTGGAATCCTGGACTGAAACTCCCTTGCCGCAGCATCAGCACAGCTGGAAGTGACGAATGGGGCCGTGGAACCCTGCTGTTCCCACCACGGTGTAGCCGTGCTGTAAAAGTGCTTTGGTTCAGAGGGAGAGCAGATGCATGATGATCTAACTTCCTCGTTTCAGGGCTGGATGGAACGTGTCCAGTGTGTTTTGAGACTGCACCTGACAACTAACCCCCCCACCCCACCCCCACCCATTGGCAGCTGGTCTCACAGTGCCTACTTGGTGCCAGGCACTGGTGGTCAGAAGGAAGAACTGAGTTCTGCCCTCAGGCAGCGTGTGGTCCAGGAGGGCAAGCAAACACGTAAAGGACCAGTTACCACCCGGCGTGAGATGGGCAGTGTAGGGGGAGCGTCGCGCACAGTGGGTGGGCACCCAAAGGTGCAGAAGCCAGCCTAGACTCCTGGGGTGGAGTCTCAAGGAAAGCTTCCTGGAGGAGGTGATGGCTGAGCCGACTTTAGAGGGAGGAAGAGAGGCTGGGGAGGCAGAAAGGCAGAATGGAGGTTAGCCGGGCAGGGCCACGTGACCCTCCGCCCTGCCTTCAGGGGTTACCTCCTTTGAGTCTCACCCTTGCAGTGGAGCGATGGTCGGGGAGCATCCCGGCTCTGTGATTGTCCTAGAATGTGCGGCCCTTAAAGTCGTGGCCCGAACACAAATCCCGGTGGGGCCTTAGCAGGAGGAAGAGAGTGGAGAACACCTGATGTTTACATTAGGATGTTTGGGAAGAACAGTTGAAGCCCTTGTAGCTGACACAATTGTTTAATCTCAAAAGTAGGTTAAAGCAGGGAGTAAAAAATTGATACATACCTTAAACATTTTAGTTCAACCTAAAACAGTTCAATGTACATTCATTTGCCATTCCTTTGATGTAAGGCCAGCGCCTTCCCTCTGAATGCATGTCCGCTGAGTGGAGGCCTGCGTTTCCTTCCCTTCCTAAATCACATCCATAATGTATGGCTGTCACTTCCAGTTTCTGCTTCTTTAAGGTGAAGAAGAAACTTAGACACATGAGAAGCAGTTTGAATATAGAATTCCTCTAGACCGTGTTCTTCCCACAACTTCTGTGGTTGATTCACCCACACCTAATTTGCCAGTAATGTGTTTTTTAGTGACTTGCCTTTATCACGTCTTTCCTAAGGCATATGTTAGTTTTCATACAAGCAGGTCTCTCTTTTCATGCACATTTCACAGCTTTACTTAATACTTAATCAAATCACATACAGTAAGCCTTCACCTGCCATCGTCTCTGTGACTTTTAAGCACACTGACATGTAACGAAACCAATTTTGCCATAGACTAAGTGTTACAAACAGGAGTTAAGTGTCCCTGGCACCTCATCAGCATTAGAGTGAGGCGATGTCCTCCTTTATGCGAGGACCCGGGGTCACTGTGGCGAGCGCACAGCTCCCCTCCATGTGGCAGAGGGCAGTCTGTGCCAGGGCACCGTGCAGGCGGCTCGTTTAGGAGGGCGTGTCCTTAAGCCCTGGGGCGCGTTCGGAGGAGACTGGGGAAGAGGCCTCCTTGGTGTGCACACTTTGCTCCCGAGGACGGGGTGTCTGGTTTCGTGGCCCCTCCTGCTCTGCTCACCTCTGAAAGGTCAAAATCGGCTTGTCTCATGGATCACACTCTCCTAATAATACTTTTCTATCTCTCCTTAAGATTTAACAACTAAAAAAAAAAAAATGAGCATTATAGCTTTGGTTTAAAAAGTCAACCAGATAAATTTTTAAAAACAAAAATAAAACATTCTGAATCACATTTCTTGGGGGTAATCACTCTCAATATTTTGATGATATTTCTCTGTGACCAGTTTTTTGTAGACATCTTGATACACCCATCTGTGGGTACAGAGATTATGTGTTCGATTTCATGAAACCAAGACTATGCGGGAGCTGTTCTGGGCTCCTTGTTGCTGTCACTGTACAATGTCAATAAGTAGAGCTCTACTATATCATTTTTAATAGCTGCAGAATTACCCCACTGTGTGCGAGCACCGTAATTTATTTAGCTAGCTCCTTATTGAGACGAAGCAGATAGTTTATTTTTTCCTGCCGCGAGCACCACTGAGCTGAGCATCTCTGAATACCCGCGTGTCCGGGCTTCTATTATTCCCTGGGGGCAAAGGCCACAGGGCAGAATCACTGAGTCAAAGGGTTAAGTTCATTTTACAATTTGGTTAAACCTCGACAGGACACTTGTTCCCCCTGGGCCACCAGCGGTCCTGAGAGAGCTTCCCCACACCCTCACCGTCGCTGGATTCTGCCTGTTTTTGCCATTCTGACCAGCAGAAAATGGCTTCTACTTTTCATTTGGATATCTTTTGTTAGTCAGGGTTGAGCATCTTTATACATGGTTTTATAATTCTGCCTATGTGGCAGGATGGTTTTCTATCCTCTGTTCAGTTTTCTAATTCCTCTTTTCTTTAGATTGGAGAAATGAAGGCAGAGATCACCAAACTACATAAAAGATTATTTGAACAGGAAAAGAAGCTGCAGAACACCATGAAGCTTTTGCAGCTGAGCAAACACCAGGAAAAAGTCATCTTCGATCAGTGTGAGTGAGCGGTCGGGGTGGCCGCCGTGTCTGACCACTTCCTGCCTCCGGGGACTGAAGGGCCAGCCCTGGACCAGCCCCTGGGAGCTCGGACCGTTTGCCATCACACCTCTTGTTTGTGGGTTCCTTGGGGACCCACAGAGACAAATGAATTCACTTACCAGACTTCTGCGGGCGGGCCACTGTGTGTGGACTGTCACCTCATTGGGGGCCGGTGCTTGGCCTGTGCAATGATGGGAACATGGGCAGGCCCTCAGGGAGCACTAAGGTGGCAGTGGGGCGGGTGTCACTGTGCCCTGGGAGGAGTAGGCATTGGTCAGGCGGGAACGGAACAGTGTGGACAAAGGCAGAGAGCAAAGAAATAAGGCTTTATGTGCACAAAGCCATCGACACTTCACATGGCTGGACTAAGAGCTGTAAGTGGCCACTTGAGGCAGGAGGGGTCTGGGGGACAGGACTGCATCACAAAAGGCCTGAGGTGGCGGGCTCGGGTGTCTGGCTGTCAGAGCAGAGCATCAGCCTGTCACACCTGCGTGCAGGAAAGGCTGGCAAGGGGCAGCGGGTTCATTGGCCGGGTGGACGAGAAGGAGGTGCGGGCTGGGCAGTGGGCATCCGGACGAGGGGGCGGGTGTGAGAGACACTCCTCAGACCCATACAAGGCCCAGGGTTGGAGAGGTGAAATGACTATGAGGTCCGCCTCAGCCCTGATGTGGGAGCTCCAGAGATCGCTGGGAGCAGCTGTGTGTCCCCACTGTGGACTCTCAACTCTCATTTGCACTATGTGTTCAGGGGCAGCTTCCGAGTTGCTTCCGGAGCCTCCTGGCAGCGCAGCCTCAGCCCAGCCTCGGGCTGTCAGCCTGTCACCTCCCTGTCTTAGCAGAACTGCTGACCGTGGCACTTTTCTTTCCTTGCTGTCTTCTGCGCCCTCTTATCGAAGTCCAGCGTTTCTGGGGCATTTCTGAGAAGTACAGAGCATGGATTATTGTCAAGTGGAAGTTCTTCATAGCTCTATAGGAGCCTTCTGAAAACAGACTGTGAGACTGGCAGAGTCGGAACTGCAAAGAGAGATGCTTAGTCACTAGCAGGCACTGGGTCCTGCTCTGTGCCCCTGGGCCAGGCGCTGGGACAGAGGTGAATGGGGCAGTTTGGCCAGGGGGAGCTTTGACTTAATGGGGGCAGCAGAGAGTGAGCTGCAGAATGGTGAACCTGGGGCCGCAGGGGGGCAGGAAGTTGTGCTTTTGCTTAGCCCCCAAGTCCAGGGAGAGTCGGGACTTGCTGTCTCAGCACCCCCTCGGCAGCCCCGAACGAGTCAGGGCACACTGAGTGAGCCCCGTTCACAGGTGAGCACCTTTTGGAAGCGGGCGGTAGGTTCAGGTGGGTGAGCCACCGGGCAGATATGAAGGACAGAACCCAGCCGATGCGAAGGCTGGTGAGTGTGGACTGGTTAACCAGCAAGTTCAGATCTCCACTCCCCCGTGTGACGGGAATAAGTGACGTCAGCTCTCTGAGCTTCAGATTCGCCGTCTGTGATGGGAGACAGTAATTCCGGAGGACTCATACCCGCCAGGCGGGCCTCGGTTCTCAGCACAGCTTTGTAAAGCGCCCTGTTTCCTCATCGGGTGGGAGTGACACCTGAACTTGACTGTACTCTTCCTGGGATAGGGTAGAGGCTCAACAGACGTTGTCCTCTGCCTCCTCTGTCCCAGTGGGTCGGACCGAACCCCGCGTGTGGAGGTGGTAAACCACGACTAGTGTGGAAACCCCCAGATGTGTCGCAGCATCGCCCACGCTCAGACGGCGTCACCCATCTCTTGTGTCTCCGAGGCCTGGCACAGAGCAGGTGCGCGGCTCAGTGTCGGGAGGGGAGCGTGCGCAGGGTCACGCGGGTGGTGGCAGACCTGGCTGTGGCTCTCCTAGCCAGGCTCTGCCGCTCCTCCTGACGGGTCAGGGCCTCGGTAGGTGCTCATTCCCTGCGGTCTCACAGGCCTGCCCCTGGCTCTGAGTGACTGTGTGAAAGTTGGCGTAGTGTCCCCTCCTGACCCTTCCCTGCATGGCAACGGGAGGAGCAAGGGCCTAGGCCTGTTCTCTGCCGGGGGCAAGCTGGACACTGCAGCTCCTCCCACAGTCTGCAGTGGACAGGAAGGAAAGACTGTTGCCCCGAGACCTGGGGACTTTGCCACTCCCTCGCCATGTGGCCTGGAATCACCGGCTTCACTTTCAGCCTCTGGGACAGGACCTGCTGCTCGGGGCCGGGGTAGTCACCTGGGTCACAGTTGTTACCAGCTGGACACTAGTGGGTGGTGGCTTCCTTGCCAGCACTCTGCTAATGCAGAAGGAGCCAGCACTGGGCAGGACAGACCCGGGTTCGAGTCACTCCTCTGCGCCAGGCAAGTCTGGATTTGGAACATGCCCTTTATCACTCCCTCCCTCCAGCTTCTCACGGCAGTGGGGATTTCTGTGAGTGGGGGAGGCAGGCAGTGCCCCTCAGATGTGGGGGCCCTTCACCGGGGCAGGCGAGCCTCTGTTCTTCCACCGGGAGTTGTGTTCTCTGAGCGTTTCGTGATTTTAACCTCCACGGCTGTGATACTCAGTCACTGGCGACTCGGGAGAGGTGTGATCTCTGGAAAGATGCAGACGTTCACTCACACACTCACACACGAACTTGCACTTAGTTTCCGGGGACGTGGGACACCTACCCCCGGGCCCAGGGTAGCACTGCCCTGCAGTGCGGGATTGGGGGAGACACGGAGAAGCAGCGGCACCTCTGAAGTTCTCGTTGCCTCTCTGTCCTTCCCCCGGGTGTCACAGAGGCAAACCGACTTTGTTATTGCCAGGCGGACATTTCTGTGAGGCAAGAAATAAGTATTTTCTCAAGGCCACGGAGTGGTGCCTCTGCAGAAATGAGTTGATGGGGAGCCTTGGGTGCCACCAGCCAGTGGCCCGGTTCTGGGAGCCCGAGCTGCCTCCTCCGGGAAGCAGACCGATTCCCTGGCCCTCCCCAAGCTCCGTGTAGAGCAGATCCCTGGTCAGGCACAGAGCTGTTCCTTGGCAGCGTCCATGCTGCTGGCGTTTGTGTTGGTCACGAGAAAGCTGGAGGGAAGAAGCACCTGACCCCACAGTTGTAGTCCCAACAGATGGACACTGCCGTCCCTCCCGTGGGTCCCAGTACCCTAGCCATCTGCCCCATGCACAGCTCGGAGTGCCAGGCCTGCAGGCCCCCCTGCGTCAGCCCCCCAACGCCCTCCTGCCCTGGGAGAGCATGACTTGCTCAGGAAGCACGTTGGGCTCCTCTGCCAGCTCAAGGGCAGCTAAGGAGGAAAAGTGCCGGAGTTTGTCCTCCCAGGACGTTAGGAGCTGGCTCCAAGTGCTGTTAGGGTCAAGTTCAACTTTACAGGACTGCCCTTGACCCTTCGCTTGGCTTTCACACATGGGTTTGCTTGGAGTGGGGCACACCCCCTTCCCAGCAACCAAAGATGCAGGATGCTAGCCAGGCGTAGGCCCCTCCCCACTCTGCTGTGTCGCCCTCCTGGGCCCGTAGAGGTGAGCCTGGGGTACACCTGAGTACCCAGCCGGCCTGCAGGGCCTCAGGTTTGTCCAGAACATGGCGCTGCACCCTCCGCTCTGCCTCTGGTGTTGCTAGGAGGCTGTGGCTTAGCGTGGTATCTTGAAGGGGCACCTCTGGTTCACCCTCTGTGATGGATTATTTTGGTCCTGGTGTGTGGCCTTCACACCTCTCTCTGGCCTGAGTGCTTCAGGCTTGTCTGAACCATTTGGGGTCTGGGGGGCTCCTCTTCCCTGCACCTGGCTTTGCGCTGTCTTCTTGGGCCTCTGTATCTAATCGTCCCCTTCTCTGTTCTCTCCTCAGTGGTCGTAACCCACAAAATCCTTCGGAAGGCCAGAGGAAACCTGGAGGTAAAGCCCCTTTGAGTGTCTTTCACTGGAAGCCGTTTGGGGCAGGGCAGGAGGAGAAACAGGGCCCGGGTCCTCCCCATGCTTGTGGCTCCCCGCCGCTCTCATTTAATCAGGCCGCGGCGTCCCTGGTTCTGGTTCCTAAAGTCGGTGCAGTTTTTACCATGAGAAACACAGTGAATAGTGCCTGGCACATGGTAGGCATTTAATACATATTTTTTAATGAATGAGTACAGTGTGATCTCATTGTCATTCGGTTCCACAGATGTTTACTGACCGAACGGTATCTTTGATAGTAGTTGCAGAATAAAATGTCACCTTTAACTCTAACCTCAGACCCTCGGACCTAAAACTCTCCTGTTCTCTTCTCTCTTCCCAGCTGAGGCCCGGGGGCGCCCACGCAGGAGCGGCCAGCCCCAGCAGACCAGGCTCCTGAGAGCTCTCAGACAATAAAGCTGTGGTTCTCCGCCCTCTCTGTTCCAAGTGTGGCTCCTGCTTACTGAGGGGAAATGAGCTGTCTGGTCAGAGGAAGTCTGTTTTTCCTCTTCGTGTTTTCTGTCCTAAAGTTGATTTAGGGGCTGGTGTCGAGCAAGGCCGGGGTGCTCTGCAGTGAGGTGTCGAACAGGCCTTGGGCTTCTGGGCGCTGGGCCCGTTGCCTCTGGGGCAGCCCGTGGAGTGGGGCGTCCCCACCACGCACCTCTGGGTCTCACATTTACCCGGTTTTCCTTCCTGCCCAGTCAGCCCGGTGGTTTGAAAATTCATGTGAAATGATTTGTTTCAAATGATTTGTTTCAGCTTGGTGCTGCATTTACTTTGGGTGTGGCCTCGAAGCCCAGGTCCCCAACACCCAAGTGGGGCAGGCTGGGACAGCTTGGGGGTGGCCCTCAGATGTCGCTCAAGGTCTCTGCTGATTCTAGTCGGGTCTGGAGAGGCATGATGTCACGTGGCATGGCTGGGGCACCTGGCGTCTGCACCTGGCCTGTGCACCTGGCATGGACTCAGCAGTGTACAGAGACACCCCAGAGCGGCCCCCTGAGGTGGTGCCATTCCCACCCGGGGAAAGACCAGGGAGGCTGCAGTGGGGGCTTGGCCTTGTGGTGTCCTCACAAGGACCGTGATCTTCCTGCTCCACTGTCCTCATCGCTGCCCACTGCGTGTGCTGCCACCCTGTCACTGACCTTCCTGTTTAATTGTGCTGCCTCTCTGCCCTAAGCTTCCTGATGTTCCCGAGGAGCTGACAGGCTGGGGCTCGGCCCCGTTGGCAGATGAGGCTCCGGACTGGCCAGGTGGGCCCGAGAGGCGCTGACAGCCGCACCCTGACCTCACACTGCCTGCCCTGCCGCGCTCTTTGGCCTCAGCCCTGCGCCCACCACCTGGGTGCCTGCAACGTCAGCCGGGCCCGTGAGCCGCTTTTGTGCAGCATTTCGAGCCCTCACTCCTCGCCCTCTGTGGGCCCATTTCTGCCACCGTTCTGGCGAGTTTCGCGCCGGTTTGGCTGACCTTTCAGTTTGCTTTCCTTTTGCAGTCACTCACTCTGACTTTCTGCCCTCTGCCCATTGGCACCTGCCCTCCGGCTCACCCCTGGTCCTCTCTGCTTCCACCTCCCAGAGATGCTAGTCTCTGGTCCCTTGCCTCTTGCTGTTACTGGGCTCCTTCCTCGTTCCTTTTCCATTGTGCTTCTCGAGTTGGGTCCCCCCCCCACCAGAGTCACACGGTGCCCTTGACCAGATGCTTCCTGCTCTGAACATGTGAGTGGCTTCATCTGAGCTCCTCACGCATGGACCCAGGTCTGGCCCCGTGGCACCCTGGCTCCCTCATCTCATATCCTCTCCCTTCGTGGTCCCGGGAAACTGAGCTGTCTTGCGCTCATGAAGGTGCCCTTCCCAGCCTTGGCCCAAGACGCCCCTTCTCTTCTAGCCAGCTTTTCATGGTCCTTCCGAGCCTTCCTCGGCTGTGGCGGCCGAGCAACGTGATGACTCCGTGACTTGGTCCACTGCTTCCTCAGTCCGCAGCCTCACTGGAGGTGGGGGTGATGGAGGGCCTGGGCCAGGCCTGTGTTCACAGTGCAGCTGAGTAACTCGTCCAAGGTCCCTACCTTTGTGAGGCAGAGCTGGGACTTGATCCCTCCTGTCCTAAACCCCAGAGTGCTCCCTGCTGGTGCCCCTGCAGCTCCCCAAACAGCATGGTGACTTGAGGTGCCATGATTGCATTGGCTGGAGGCACAGAAAGCAGAGGAGCAGAAGCCAGGCCGGGAGTCAGGGAACCGGCCTCATCCCTCCAACCCCACCCCCCACCCCCCACTCTTTGCCTATTTCCATCAGGTGAGGGGCGGGGCAAGTGGCAAGAAGGACCCGGTCTGTTTGGGTTCCTGTTACCTGAGCTCTCTCATGAGAAGTGTTTGTGCAGTTGGACCTTAATGCATTCCAGTGTGTGGAAACTCAGGCATAAAATCACAGGGTAGATCCTTTATCTGGAAGCCACGCCTGGATTCCTCAGTGGGAGCTCTGATCTGTGGCCAGGGTGGCTCCACATGGTTCAGCGGAGGGAGCAGGAGGCCTGGCTTCGAGTCCCAAGTCACTTCCTCTGGTCGTTCATCTAGACCCTGTAGACTGGGAATCACCTTCCTGCCCAGTCCTGATCAGTGCGTGACCCTCAAAAGTGGGAGTAGCCAGACCCTTTCCAGAAAGTACTGAGTCTTAATTCACTGTCTCCCAGGGACTGGTCTCGAGGAAGTTTTCAAAGTGCCGTTCACATTCCCATGATTGATGAGCACACATACAAGTGGTTTTTTTGGGGGTGGGGGTGGGGGCAGGGTAATTCAGACAGGACAGTGGTCAGAGCTCAGGTGGGGCTTGGAAGTCGGACCCGGGTTCACGTACCCACAGGGGAGCAATCTGCCTCCCTCACTGGCGGCTCTGAGTGTACTGCCTGTTGGGGCCAGCGCGCAGCCCCTGGGAGCTGAACTCGGTCATTGGCAAGGGCAAGGGCATGGGCGCGAAGGGCTGTGAGGGCAGATACACTTGATCTGGTACATCCCAGACTCTACAGTTGCCTGAGAGCAGGGCCTTGGGAGGCGGTGCTCTGGGCGTCCAGCGGCCACTCGCCTCGTCACTCGCAGCTTTTCGGGAACACAGCAATCCAAGGCAAAGCACATTTGTGTCCGCGGTTCAGTGCTGTGTGAAATATTCGCAGCCTTGGACCAGTGGGGGCCCTCCCTCCTCTGGGAGGTGGAGGAGCAGCCCGGCTTGGGCTGGATTCAGGCCAAGAACAAACGCTGCAAATAAGGACAATTTGGACCTTGGAAAAGGCTCCATTGTCCCTGGTGAGTTAATGTTGCCAGCAGCTGAATTCAGGGGTCTCTGAAGCAGTAATCGGAAAAAGCGCCCATTTCCGGTTGGGAAATTAATCACCACCAGTGTCCACAGAGCTGGAGCTGCACCTGAGAGGAACAGCTGCAGGGGCAGAATGTACAGAGAAGGAGGGGCAGAGAGGCCTCCACCGTGCCCCGCCCCCCGGGGGGCCACCTGCCCAGTTCCCTGTCAGTCCAAAGGGCAAAACTCTCGCCCCTCCAGGCTTCCACCCACCAGCTCAGCAGTGGCCACACTGTTCATCATCTCAGTCTGCACCGTCCTGTCCATTTTACAAATGAGAAAACGGGTGGAGAGTCACCTTAGTAAGTGCTGGAGCCAGGACTTGAACCTGAGTCTGTCAAAACCGGCTTGCTAAATTGTCCTGTCCTCTGGATTGTTCTGTCTCCCTGAAATGCTGTCTGGTCCCCAAACTGCAGTCCTTCCCTCTATCACAGCCCCAAGTTTTCTCACTGTACCTTTCGGACAAAACCTCCCTGGGTGGACAGAGCAGGGGCCCAGAGACCCACGATTGAATTGCTGCACACGGCGGCCCTGAGAATCGCTTGTAAATGGGGCTGCGGACAGGAGAAAGAGTGATCTTGTTAATAAGTTCCCAGCATTGTGGAGGCAGAGAAACCTGCCTGGGGGCTCCTGACCCTGCCAAATTGCCTCTTCAATCTTGGCCATATTTTAAGTCTAACTCAAAAATTCAATTATCAAAATTACTCATCCAGTCTCCCGAGAAGCCGGGCCTCTGCCTTCAGGGCCAGGCGTGTTTACCTCCTGCCGCACATGGGCCTGCCCAGCTCGCTCTGCTGGGCAGCAGGTGCGGGGGGCGAGTGGGCGGCCGGAGCGGGTCCGGAGGCCCAGGGCCTCGCCGTGCCTTTCTGGGGCTCTAATAGAACCTAGTCTCATTTCCACTGCCAGGCTGGGATGTGGGAAGAAAAAGACGGCTTCGAGGCCCAGACATTGGCTAAATCCCTGAGGTTTGCTTGATCTTTCAACTCAGTGAGGGTTCTGCCCTCTGCTGCCAGCAGCTTATACTGAAGTCCCCCCCATCCCCCCGCCACTGACACTACCTCCTCCCTCCCCCTGTCCTGTCCATGAGCACGACCATTGCTTCTTCATCACCACCTTAGTCCAGGTCTCTCACCTGGACCACTTGCTGTGATGGTTTCCCAGCTGACCTCCCCACATCCACCCCTGCCCTTTCCAGTGTCCCCAAACCACCGCTAGGGCGATTCTTCAAAATGCAAAGCTGATTGTATTGTCTCCGTGTTTAAAATGTCGACTGCTTCCCACATAGCATGGCCTGCAGATAGTGTGCCGAGTCCTGCCCGTTTGTTATTTTCCCCCACCTGTACCCCTCGCATGGGGCTTTCCTTTTGGGCCACAGGGCCTTTGCACAGACTTCCCTGCCTTGCACCGTCTCATCTACTTCCCTGGCATCTCTGGCTTCTCTCGCTGGTTGGCTCCTGCTTATGCCTCAGAGAAGTCTTCCACTCAGAAGCCCCTATCACACACACACAACAGGATTTCTTCCTCGCCAGCACTTGGCCACTGTTGTGACTTTGGATTGTGCGAGCATGATTTTCTTTGGTTTTGCTTTTGCCATCACTGGCCGGCAGGCCTGCGAGGGCCCAGGTCCAGCCCATGGTGCGCTCTGCTCACCATGCTGGCCCTGGTAAACATCTTTATACACCGAACACTCAGAGCTTCTCTCACCTCCTGGAAGAACCCAGACTAGGTGGGGAGAACACTGGTAGTAACGCAAACAGGGAAGACTAGTTTCCGAGCCTGCCGCATCTGTGATGTCACGTGTGGTCACGTGGCAGTCTTGTCAGGCAGGGGCTGCTTTTTTTCAGGTGAAGGACTGAGTGCAGAGTAACCTTCCCCGGGTCACAGGGCAGTGGGCCGTGGAGCTGGATTCGAACAACCCATCAGCCGGCTGCAGCCCCCAGGCCCCATGCAGTGTTTGGGGCGAGCACAGTTGAGGGAGGTGAGTGCCGAGACAGCGCGGGTGCGCCGGGCGCGGTCTGCACCCCAGCGTCTGCTCCTCCGGGCTGGCGGCCTTCCCAGAAGCTTCCCCCCACCACATCCGAAGCCCAGCCCTGCCCTGGCTT